ATAATGAAAGGAGAAACTAATTTCTTCTACAGACATGCTCCTCTTTGAAAGTGCATCTGTGTCTTAGAGGAGTGCAGTCCATAGTCATTTCATCACCACAGGTTTTTAGATGGATGATTAGAGTCTACAGCAGATTGTATGTTCTTCCACTAGACTGCTGCTTCTGCATGGCTCAACACAATGTGGAGGAACTCGAGTTAATCTACTCAACACTCACTAAAAGTGTAAAAAAAAAGTCTCCTGTAAGCAAAGTAAGAATAAGAATAATAAGAAGAACTTCATTGATCCCCGAAGGGAAATTCAACTGTCGTCTCACTTGACATGTCAATCTAAAAGTTATCTACTATTTACAGAAGTGTTGTAAAGTCTGATGGCTCTTGGTACAAAAGATCTATTAAATCTTTCTGTCCTACAGCGAAGAGAGAGGAGCCGTCCACCACCATTGGCTCTTTGGTGTTATGACGTAGGTGATCCGTGTTCTTGAGAATAGTCTCCACCTTCCTCAGTGTAGATCTCTCCACCACATCCTCCACTGAGTCCAGCTTGAATCCAACCACAAAGCCAAATATACCTTGACAGCAAGGCCTCCAAGCAATGTCGTCTCTATGATAGTATACCAGAGCACAGGCCTGTCAATTTGACAATGAATATATGATATAAACTCAACAGCAACCACAAGGGTTGACTTTAGAGCACTGTTTTGGTTTCTCAGTCGGCAAAACATCCAGAGTTGGGTCATGAATTTCCAGTGGCCCACCACTCACATTTTAGCTCAATCCAGCTTTAACTACTCTTAATTACTGGCAAACAAAGAGAATTAACACTGCTCTTCAAAATGATTACTCACTAATAACACATCCCTATCAAACAGTCCTATATGCACGAAGATTTCATCACAGAAATTCATTTCCACTGAATGACAACCCCCTCCCCATGTTCCTCTGTCCATTCCCTCTCTTCACCACTTGGGTTCTTTCCAGGGTTTCAACTCCCCTCATATGAGGACTGAGAGTAGAGAGGGACTCATCTCCATTACACATACACCTGGCTTGTGTGTGCGGCGGGTGTGCATTCCAAAAGTGAATACATTTGATCTCTCTTTTGGCTGAAATGCAAATTACTGTCACTCAGAACATCTTGTCATAACATTTCCTTCAGAACTGCGAACAACTGAACACCTCCTCTCACTTTCAGCCTTTCCTCCACCATCCTTACAATCTGTGCTGCCATTTCAGCGTCCCCACAGCCCGTTTGGGTAGCTTTATTTCCATTTACACAGCTCTATATAACACTGACTTGGACCACAGTGCATTCACACTTCGCTGCGAGTGGAGCCAAATCTATCTGCAGAGGGAATTGAAATGCAGATCTTGAATTCATTTTGAGCCCATTTACACTCAGATTGGATGTTTTCGCTTTGTCTGAAAACAATCTACTCCCTGTGAATGTTCGTAGATAAAGGAAACGGAGGGAGTCTCTGATGAATATTGTAATCCAGGCGAGAGGTTGGGGTGGATAACACGGAGGCAGGATGGTGTGGAAGGTGAGGAGCAAAGGTGAGTGGACAGATACATTTCAGAGAGAACAATTTTCTCAGTTCATTTCTGCTAAGCCCATTTCAATTGAGCTCTATTTAGAGTCCATCAAAGCATCTCTCCATCTCATTTCCCATCATTAAGTGGCTGTCTGCATTAGGGCTGTGTGTTGGTACGAATGTAGTGATATGAGAAATATCCTCATACAGGGGTAATAGGATGCACAGCACTGTACAGGAACATTGCAAGAATATACTGTATATTATGATGTTTTCCATAATAGTCTATTATTTTTTAGAAAAACCCACAGTCTACAGATCTCCCACTTTTACATGCATTAAAAATGGACTATGGTTTCCTCTCTGGACACCCTCAGAACAGTTAAAACTGCATTTGTACTTCATTGTTTCTACTACAGCGTACTGCATGTGGAAGCAGCTCTCTGTGCTGAGCAGAGAGTCTAGCACCTTTCCTTCTACCTCTGTGCTGAACTCGTCTCACTGATGTGTTGTCAGGAAGGTATGATGTGTGTCAGGACTCCAATATCAAATTACTGACTATGCTATTTTTACTGCAAGAGCAGAGGCATAATGCAATATTTATTTTAGTTTTAAGATCTTTTACCCATAGTCTGCATTGAAAGCGCAGCTTTGTTTATGGAAACACCTGAAATGAACAACTGCAGATATAAAATATATGTGATACATGTAGAAATGAGTGAAGAAACAGTCTCTGAGATCCACCCTTTCTAAGTTTTTAGGGTTTAGAGTTCAGCGGTGTTCTTGAATTGTTAATATGAGCACCAGAATATATAATGACATTCACTTATGACACTTTGTTTCATAAAGAAGATGAGACGATGAGGAGAATGCCTGCATGCTGAAAAAGACTCACATCAGAGTAAGGATCTTTCCTCTGTATTACTTGAGTAGATCAGCAGTGTCTTATTGGCAGTAAAGTCAATGATATTATACAAGTTAAAGTGTTCAGAGGGTGAAAAACTACAAATGTGTGCACCAGCACAAAAGTACGTCCAATTTCTGATGAATCGACTGAATAAGTTTGAAGTCAGAACTTGTTCTGATCTAATGAATGAATTTTGATTGACTTCAATGAGACTAAAATGTTGAGTTGTTGTCAGTTAAACTACTTAACAACTTTCAAAGGTTAAAATGACAAAAATGTGGGTAAAACTAAAAGCAAATCTAAAATGGCAGCCAGAATTATTACTGGCTGCAGCTCATCAAGCCTGACATACAGTAAGTCAAACATGAGAATGGCGGTCATTTTCAAAATAAAACACCAGGTACCTGACCATATATCAGACTGTAGAGATTAGAAATACTTACCAATAATAGATATTTCATCAACAGCTCCAAAGCTGCCACATACCCATGATCCATGTTGACCTCAACAGGACTTGTAGCTGTTTACATTGTCCAAAAGTCAAACATATTCATAGATTATCGACACGTTCAAATCTGCAAAAAACTCAGCTTCATCATCATGTAGCAAACAAAAGGAGAAGCACAACAATCACTGAATAATATGAACAGTGAATGCACCATGGAAACACAGAGGACTGTGTTTTCAGTGTGTTGTTTCTGAATGCAGAGTTCAGCTACACAATACTATACTTCAAACATGCCTCTGGGGTGCCATATCAGACTTTGTAAAACTCACACTGACAACCACAAAAAACACAGTTTGAGTTGACAGCATAAATAAGTATTGATGTAAGTCAATAAATAAATAGATCCATAAATGAACCTTTGCAGGTTTCATGGTGGTCTGGGGAAAAGGTCAGTGTTAAAACACATAAGGTCTTCACTTCACTTCACTTGGACCTGGTGGGACAGCTCAGAGCTTTAACACTTTTCTGTCCAGTGGGTCCTCATGAAGTCTTCTGGTCCAAGCGGGCACCAAAACTATTGAACAGAACTTCACAGAATTGGTTCAGTGTCACATTGTGAAATATCACAATGTTTCAGAGAATGGACATGTTCCTAGACTCCTATTCTCCATGAAGTTAATTGTGTTAAAAACTATTAACTACATGCCCACAAAGAGCGGGAACAAGGAGAGGAAGGGAGGAGAGAAAATGAGAGGAGGAGAATAAAGGAGGAGAGATGCCTCACAAACACTCATTCACTCTTTCTATTTTCCTTTCTGTGCCCGCTCAGCTGAACTCCATTTGGATTCTATCATTGAATCTCCCCGTTTAATTTCCCTTCTAATTAGCTGCCTTTCATTCCCGGGGAATGTGCTGTCTGCTGCCCAGGCTAGCTGCTGCAGCTTGTTGACATGCCAACACTCCCAGTATGTGTGTGTGTGTGTGTGTGGGGGGGTGTGTGTGTGTGTGTGTGCGTGTGTGTGTGTGTGTGTGTGTGTGTGTGAAGCTGCAGGGAAGTCAGGACTTGAAGTGTTTGTTTGTGTGAGCGTGCATTTGTGAGGGACCGAATCAATAGCTGGTTATCAGATAGGGCTGGTTAAGGGTCGCTCTCTCTGAGGAGGGAAGAGTTAGGGCCTCTCAGAAAAATGCTCACGGCAAACTTCATGTTTATTCACCGGCAAACACACACACTCATGCACACACTGGAGCAGGCAGACAGGGTGCAGCTCAGTGGTTCTGAAATGTAGCAAAAATCCCTGAGCAGCTTCTGCAGGTCATGTTGTTTATTACAGTAAGTGTGTGTGTGGTCTGCATTAGTAAGTGTGTGTGTGAGAGAGAGAGCCTTAGCCTGGCTGTTTAGCTGAATGAGCTTACCTGTACTTCTATTCCTGTCCCACTGTGATTAGCATCGAGTTTCTATGACAAGTGATGGTGTGTGTGTCTCAAGTGTTTGCTTTAGCTGTTCATGCATATGTGTGTGTGTGCGTGTGTGTGTGTGTGTGTGGGAAGCTGAAGTGTATGACATTTAATACTTTTGACAACGAGTCAGTGCAGGCTGGACCTGTGGGAATATTTCAAGTCAATATTTCAATACAACACCCACAATCCCCTGCAGCTAAGGACAGGACGTGTAAACAGAAGGCGTAATAAGCGAGGGATTTTGTCAGACTGAGGTGATATATGGAGGTTAACAATGTGTATGTCTGTACGTGTGTGTGTGTACAATGTTCTTGAATGATTTTCTATAAATGCTTCTTTTCTACCTCACTTCTCGTGTGTGTGTGTGTGTGTGTGTGTGTGTGTGTGTGTGTGTGTGTGTGTGTGTGTGTGTGTGTGTGTGTGTGTGTGTGTGTGTGTGTGTGTGTGTGTAACTCTGTGTGTGCAAGTGTCATTGCTCAGCTGCTCACTCCCTTTCACTTCACTGAGAGATGAGACCAAGCTATCGAGGGCAGTGGTCTACAACAAAGTAGCTCCACAAATCTAGCACAAGTGGAAGAAGAGCTGGGGACACAAAACACAACTGTGGATGGGGACAACATTTTATATCATGCTCGGCTGTGAATACAGCGATAACTGCAGCTCAGGGCCTCAGTGCTTTACTGTTGGGTATTTACACTCAGTCTAAGAGGGCAGTCAAAGCATGCCATTGAACTTACAGCGATGAAAGTTTAAAATGAGCCCCTACAAATGGCCACCCTCCAATGTTAGTAAGTGGAACTAGTGTGAGAAGTGCAAAAAGCTGCAGTTTCCCAACAGTCTATTTAAAGCTGGCTGCCAAAGTCAGTGAAATATCTTCAAGAGCCTATATTATAGCATCCATTTTTACAAGTCTCGTTAAAAAGCAGCTTCTTAAAATTTTATATCTTATTTATAACATTTCAACAGACCAGGATTTTGTTTCACAACTCATCAATTTAAAACTATATTTCAATCTATATACTTGAGTCAGCCTCTGGACAACTCTGAGAATGTTGATGGGAAAAAGCATTGTTTCTTTGGCCTACCCACTAGGGAAACACAGCTTCTACAAGGCCAACTGAACTGACTCCTGTGGTGCTCAAAGTACAGGAGTTCTGCATGGGTATGCATGCAAAACCACTTCAACTTCTACTCCTCAAGCATTTCTGCTCCCCAGCCATGGTTGCTATTATCTGACATGGCCAACCACAAAAAGGTAAGTAAGCAGAGTGTCACTCAAAGATATGCTGTTGTAATATACAGATACACTTTCAAAGGGTCAAATTCTGGCTGTTATATGTTGTGTAGCTGTGCTGGTTCTCCTGGAGCACTCGCCAAACTGATTTGGGGCTTTATTTTCGAGGCGGCAGGGGTGGCAGACCCCGCACAGTTGTATTTTCGTCTGGCGGAGCCCAGCGTACAGCCAATTTGGTATTTTTGTGGACTGAGGCGCACCGAGATCCGCCAAGCTGGGCGTGGTGGCGTGACAGGGGGAGGTGTCGACAGAATCAGTGGGCGCAGTGACATTTTCGTGCTCGCCACCGGCGTACAAAGTGCGCTGAAAGCTCGCCGATTCACACATACGTCACTAGCTACGTTTACATGGAGCCAAATATTCCGAATATAATCGGATTAGAAGCCCAATCGGAATGAAAATGCTCCATATAAACACCTCATTCGGAATAAACAGGCCCATTCCGAATGGAATTTCATTCCGATTCACAGGGGTAGAATATTCCTTTTCCCATTCCGATTAAAAGCAAAATCCTGTCATGTAAACGGTGAATCGGAAAGTTGTCAGGCTGGGTTCTGTCTGCGCATGCTCTGTCCTGATGTAAACAAGCAGTGACGTATGACTCACATGGAAACATGATGGCGGCTTCCAAGCAGAGCACGATGCACTGGTCTGCGTCGGAGATCACGTGATCAATCAATCACGTGATGTTTGAAGGTATCACGTGTCTGTAAATAGCTGTTCCGATTGAATGCCGTGGCACATGTAAACACCAGATCAGAATAGATTGCTTCCATGTAAACAGTTCGCCTGGGAGCTTCAATCGGAATGATTATAATCCGAATGAGAAAAAAGTCTGCATGTAAACGTGGCTACTGATGCCTCATCGGCAGGTTTCCACAGTTTCAGGCACATTTCAGTGCAATAAATAATCATCAACAACTAATAATCTGAGTCAGCACATACATTTAGATCTATATAGATATAATCTGATCTGATGAGCGCGTTTGGACACACAACCTGACCGAATCAACACAGCTGAAACCACATTAAATTAAATTAAATATCTAGTAAATAGACACACATGATGAAGTTAAAAAGATATGTAATTCATCTCCCTCCTGTTCTTTCTTCCTCTTCTTCTTATTTCTCGTGCAGCCAGACCTGGGCAGGTCTCCATGTCTTCTCCCCATCCTGCTGCAGCTGCTGCTGCGGCAGCTGAACAGATGATTTGTATCAGAGATCAAATGAGTTATTTACTTTAAGCCGAATACGGTAAAGAGCCAGACCATGGAGCGCGATGTGTCATTATGCACAGATGGTTCCGATTTTAATGCCATTTTTTTTTATGATGTGATCTCTGCACACAACCCACCTTTGTCACGTGAGGTTTGAATATGTGCAACTTTAAGTGAGTGTCTTTATTTGTGAAAAGGGATGTTTGTCTTACCAGTGGGTACAACTTTACACACACCAAATCCATCTGTGCTTATATGAGAGAGTGTGGAGGATACCCAATGCAGCGCTTACAGCAACACTTGTTGAGGAGCTGCCTTCTGTCGCCATCATGTGGCACTACTGTCTTCAGACATCTCTTGATCTCTTTGACTACTTCACGAAAATAGTAATACGCCTCGCCAGTGGGATAGGAGAGGAGCTGATGTTATTGGTCAATACAGGTCTCGGCTGTGTTAAACCCACTCCACGCCCTCTATCCTCCCTCGCTACGACCTACGCCGCTGGGAGGAGCTGAGTTAGGGAGGGGGGATACTTATGCCGGGCTGCGCCACTTACCAAAGTACCAAATTGTGCTTAGGAACGCCTTGCACGTCTCTGGCGGGGCACGAAAATAGAGCCCTTGGTGTTATTCCGCATCTGCACACCCTCTCAGAGAAACTTATCCGAGTATCACCATTTTACTCAGATCACTGCACAGATATTGAATTTGCTGTGAGGTTGCAGATCCTCCACAAAGGCTGAAAATGTTTAATAAGACAAAAAGGCCGTAAACAGCTAAAAATGCTACTCAATGGTTTACCTTACCACCTCCGTCTACCATCTTTATAGACGGTACACTGTGGTGTACCATCTATATTAGCCAAAAGTCAGATGAATTCAGCATAGATCGTCAAAAACTAATGGGTGTCATTACTGAATGCATTCAAAATGTATTCAGTCATAGCATAGTACACTTTGACAGGCACAGTTTGTAATAGAAAGAGGGTTATGCATAAGTCATCCTATCGATGTCAATTTTCACCCCCAGATCAATCAATCAATCAATCAATCAATCAATCAATTATTTATAAAGCACTTTTCCTACAGGAATGTGACTCAAAGTGCTTTACATTTTTGTTAAAACAAAATGATCCCATGCTATTCGTCTGCCTGCGGCTGGGTGGCACTCAGCCTGTTCCTGCTCTGTCAAGATCCCCCTGCTCGTCAGCTTCACCTCGCCAACTCACCTCCTCTGCAGACGTCGGTTCTGCCAGCTCCATTGCAAGCTCTGGATCCTCACCCAGTCCTCACCTGAACCACTCTCCCAGAAATCTTCCTCCAGCTGTGAGTTTGAGCGTTTTCCCCTTCACCACACTCGTAAAGCAAATTGAGACTGTGGACAATTCCCTGCTCACGAGTCCCAGATTACTTCCCTGCCCTGTGGTCCTCTGCTAACCTGCTCACCTGGCACCTGGAAGACATGGGTTCGAATCCTGCCATACCCACCTGCTATACTTTGTTGCTTCATTTGGTTTGGTGTCAAATAAAGACCGTTGTTCAAGTGAACCTGCTTGTTTGTGCTGCAATTGGGTCCAGTCAATACCCGTTACAACAAGATCACAATGGAAGACAGAACCAGGTGTTGGTCTGTCTAAAATTTTGGAGCACAGGTCTCTCAGACAGAACTTGTATTTACAGTTAATCAGAGTTATCCATCAAGTAAAAACACACGGTTGCTCTATGCTGAGTAAATCCATGTTCAGACCTTAGATGCACATTGTACTGAGTGTACAAGGCACCTTTTCAGACAGAAATAGAGCCCTTTTCACTGCAATTCAACAATCCACTCATAAAGACGACATGTGACAGAGTTTATAGGGGCTTATAATTCCAAGGAGAAAAACTGTTTTTGTCATCGTCTCCTGAGAATTGAAAACCTTCAAAGACAGATGACAAAACATCATAAATCTCACAGCCGTGCTTCTTTCTCCTCCGGTGATTTTTATTTCCCAAACACAGCCACAGCAGGCCCAAAAAAACAACAACTCGGTTATTTGGAGATTTCTGACTTACAACTTTATATGTAACCCAAGAGAAGAGAGGGTTAAAGTCAGCCTGAGGCTGGGTATCTTCACAAAGTCCTCATAATTACAGCCAGACTGGAATTTCTGTGTGTGTATGTGTGTATGTGTGCAGCCGCCCTACAAAGGACTTCATCTAGTGACTGCAGGACATCATGTCATGTATCGATGCACAGTGGGATGCTTCCCGGCTACGTTAACTGTGAGAGACACATAATGTGATGCGATCGAAACAGACACTGGGGTCATGCTATAAGGAGAAGCTCTGAATAAAAAAATCACTCATATAGTGGTAGAGGTCATTTGTGGGGCAGTGGCTGTAGAGCTGACTGGATTCTGATTGGCTGCAGTGTGTCCATGTACTCCTTTATGATGGCTGGTGTGACAAAGCACTTGTAACTGTGCTGGTTAATCATTGTCACACGCTTCACTGCTGGAGCATCTGCCACAGATATCATTTAATAATCTAACACTGGGTCTGAAGTCATCTCTCTGAATTATTGCTGATATATAACCCACTGCTCTTCAAATATGCATCAGGGGCTCTTCTATGTGGAGGTAGAGCCTCAAACAGGGGCACTGCAAAGGCACAGGATCCTGGTCTTCTGAAGGGAAGGGGAAAATGTTGAGGGGGGCTTTATTTACACGGAATGGGAACATGTTTGTACTACTGAAGCAGACCATTTACGACACGTTTGTGTAGATAAAGAGATGGTAGGGGCATCTTTGAGCACTGGAAAAACCCAACTGTACTTCATAACAACAGTGCAGCACAATGTTCAGGCTCTTGTTCTGTTCTGAGCATTTAAAAATACTCCAAGAAATCTCCTTGCCAGTGCACCAGTATGTGCACCCATATACCCAATTACATTTGGAGATTACATCTGCTTTTTCTAACATGCTGTATTTGACATTTTACAGTGGTATTAATATTAATAATAATGTATTTAATCTACAGGTGCTTGTCAAAGCTTTCAAGGTCACCTAACAAGAGAAGGTTAAAATATGACAAGATATTGTAGTTTCTGCTCAAATAATGCAAAATCGTACTGAAAAGTTTGTATTAATATTCATAGTATCAATATCTATCCTTGTTTCCTGACATATTATCAAAATGTAAACAACTCAACAGCATAGGATATGCTCTCACTTTGAAATCTTCAACCATTTAACCACTTAAACAGGAACTGAAAATTGTGAAAATGGAAAAAAAAAAAACCTTAGCTCCAGAGTCAACCTGCGCCTAAGCGAGACCCTCCTATTCCTCTTAATGTGCTCACACCAGACAGAAAGTCTGAGTCCATCCTGCAGAAACGATAAAGCTATGGTAAACGCTGAGTAACATGTACAGTAAAACACCGAGCACATGCCAGACTTTGAGTGATGAGACACCAGATTCTCCCCTCCAGCAACCTCGTGATCTACCAATCTGTAGGTGATCAGAAATATCTAACAACAGTATTGATTTAGAATTTAACTCCAAGTCTGTTTTACTTCAAACTCAGCTGCACAGCCCTGCACCTACACAGCGTTTCAAAAGTACCCACAACATCTGACTTTATAGCTGAGTGCGTCTGTTCAGTGAATTATGAAAGAGTAAGTGGAGGTGACAAGGTGTTTCTAAGCTCATGAGATGAGACGTCTTCTCCTTGCGAGCGTTGATGCAAGTTACAGCAGCAAATCAAAATGTCTACAAAGTGTTTCCTAAGAGGACTGGATGCATCAGCATGCCGTTGACTGGTGTTGACTGTGACAGAACTCAAAGATATGTAGGTTTTGTGGCGTGTTATGTGCTGCAGGCGTATAAAGCCCTTTGTTTTAGCTGTAATCAGTTCTGACAGCTCTGAACTCACTATATGACACACTGAAACCTAGTGATGTTCAGAAAGGTCACAACCAAACCTGCAGGAGAGAGAAGGTGATTTGGAGATGAAGGTAGAGGTGAACTATGAGACAGGTATGTAGCCTGACATTACAGGTTCTCCTTTGGACTTGCTTTCTTTTTTGAAATGATCACACTTTAACATTCAGTAAAGACAGACCAAAAACTGTATTTACTATGGACAACTTGGTTCGGCCTCCTGTCAGTTTAGGATTTAAAGCCAAAAAGCTCCCGGTTATTTCTGGGATTTTTCTTCATTTCCTGAACCAGGATTGCGCAGTAGTGTTGAATGCATTCGGCTGGAGAGTCACCGAGAGTCGCTGTGATGACGCTCGGCTCAAACAGCGTATCCCCCCCCCGGTGAGCTACACAATCTTTGTACACCGGCAGGCTGTATCAGGTGTCAATCATAGAAAACATGAACCTCCTCATAACATTTAAAAACGGAGCTGCACAGAAAAAAGAGGACTTAAACACAAACCAGTCTTACAGTAACTAAATGTCAACATCGCAAGCAGGGGGGAAGAAAATGTATATTCTGTGTAATAAATTTCTAAAGTTTGTTCACAGCCCCATAAGCTTTGCTGGTGGAGGTGGGATTTATGACCTATACTGCAGCCCACCAACAAAGGATGCTGTTTTCAGAGTGGCTTCACCCAGCGAGGAGGCAGATGCTGTCCATTCTATATACAGTCTATAATACAGATGTTATAATTGTGCTCATTGTATGTCTTTTAAACCTCGCCCAAGCATTAAGTGTGCTTACCTATCTGGTTATTTCTCACCAGATTAATCAAAGGATTACATGACTGGAGACCTACAGTATTTTCAAAATCCATATTGATCATTTGGCAATGCTGGATGTCCAGAAAAAAACATCGGCAAAGTTATAAGATACACAGATGTTGGCTTTACCCCTGGACCTGACTCAGGACTTTACTGAGCGGCTCATTTGGAGAACTTTCCAGGACTAAACCTGAACCTACCAGGACAAAGTTGCAGGACAGGCCCGCCCAGCAGCTCTTTCATGGAGACTCACACCTAAAAGCTCCTTCAATTTTTCCTTGGTGTAGAAAATCCATTTCACTGCTCAGACTTTCTGCTCCTTTCTGCACTTTGTTGATCTAGTATTTCTCAGAAAGTTGCTCTTAAAGTCTCAGTCAAACCAGAGCTGTTTGGTCAGCTTCAAATGAACACTGGTCTGTTTGCTTGGAGGGGTGCCATTACTCAAAGGAACACTGTATTGGCTCAAACTAGTGAACCCTGGTCTGCTCAAAAATGACGGTCTTAATTTGCTTCCCAGTAAGCTTCAGTCTCAGCTCAATGTCTTTGTCACTGATTTGTTCCTCTCATGTGAAGAACATCACGCTGACAGCTCTCTGCCTCACCTGCAGCTCATACCTGTCAAACACACTTTCTTGTCAAACACATTTGTGACATGAACACTTGAGAAAAAGAGAAACAACAAGACTGCAGAAATTTGGTGTTGCTCTATTGTCTCTGTGGCAAATAATCTGGTCAAAGGGGATGGATTTACCTCCCTCTATGACCAATAGATGAGCAGTTCTCTTCTTATGTTTGTCTTTTACTTCATTATACTGCCCTGAACAAGCAGCTGTCATAATAATGCAACATGTGACTGTTTAGTTTGTTTTCACCAAATACAGTGGAGCAAATTTCATAAAAGTGCAACATCTCTGCTATAGACAATAGAAAAGGTCCATAGGGTATGAACATAACGTGTTTTAGGAGCTCGGGTAATTTTGAACAGGTGTAGAAGGCCCTAGTTTAGGATTGTTCCCTGGGACACAAGGCACCACCTAGGGGACTTAAGTCTAGCACTAAAAAACCTGAGGTAGTTTAACCACCCTAAAGAGTTACATGAATGGTTAAAAATCACCCTAACAGAGACAAAGGTCAGTATGAGGTGGATGTATGTCTTATCACTGCAACCTGGAGCTGCTTCACCAACTAAGATATAATGGAGGTTGATGTTAACATCTAACTTTGGATGTTTTCTGTAAAGAAGTCATTGTGGGTTAAACAATGATGACAAAGCTGTGTACACAGCAACACCTACAAGCTCTGTCAAACTTTATACCAGTGTAATAGGAGACAGAATGAAGTGTGCGCCAGTAACGGAAAAGGAGGATGGTGAAAATCCTGTCAGGCTGGGACACCTGTAGTGAGTAACTCTGCATAAGAGGTGAAAAATGAGTTTACTAGGCCATCTTTAACATCAGCCTGGAAATGATAACAGGTCCCCCTTTGAATAATGTAACAGAGAACTTGAATGTGTTTTTCTGGCTTAATAAAGATAAAGAGGTGGCTGAGCGTCTGAATTTGAGAGGGAAAAAAACACATGAAAAAGATGAGAAATGGGTAAAATTATTTAAATGGACACTTTTTTCAATTGCCTGGTCCAGTAAATCACCAGTTTGACCTCATCTTTATTCACCATGGCATCACTTTGAGCAATGCCAGGCTAAATGCCAGCCTTAGATTTCTTTTTGTCTTTGCTTTAGGAGAGGGAAAGAAATCTGAACGCTGAACACGTCCTGCAGCCCAGAATCTCATCACACAGATCTGTCTGCCTCCAACTGGATGGCCTGGTTGAATCGTGGCAAGTTATTATGAGAGGAACTTCAGTGTTGTCTCAGATGTGATGATTATCTCAGTGTGGGTCTGCTTCATTTGCTTGTGTCGGTGTGTTTTTTTTATGCTGCAGACTAATGCATCTGTTTGACTGTGAAGTTACATAATTCAGATCTTAACTGCAAACACACACACACACACACACACACACACACACACACACACACACACACACACACACACACACACACACACACAAAGCCAATGCATAGTTAATGCATGGTTAACGACATGTGCAGGCTGCATCAACGTACAGCCGGCTGAGGCTGTGTGTGTTTTAGTATGCCGTCTGGCAGAGTGTGTGTGTAAGGGTGATCATGATTTATAGAGAGTATTACCGGCACTCAGAGAGGAGGAGGAGGAGGATGAAGAGGGAAGGGATGGAGGGAGAAGAAATGAAAGAGAAACTAAGACGGATAGGGAGAAGGAGAAGAGGAGGAGAGAAAAGCGTGAATAAAGGGAGCCAAAATAAAGAGTAGAAAGCATGGGCAAGCGTGGTGTGGACAGAGTGAGAGAGAGAGAGAGAGAGAGAGAGAGAGAGAGAGAGAGAGAGAGAGAGAGGTGAAGAGAGACAGAGATGAGGGATGGAGGCTTTTGCAATCTCATCCATGACTAAGATCAATGTAACCTTTCTGCCTGCCTCTGTGATTCACTTTGTGTGTGAGTGTGTGTGTGTGTGAGATTAATCTCTGAACACACACAGCCAACCCGTCACACTGAACACGTGATTTTACACTGGTGTGTGCGAGTGGGCGGGTGTGTGTGTGTGTGCATGCTCTGTGATATAGAGGGGTACAGTGAGCCACTACAGGAGGTTAAGCGGAGCAGCTCGCACCCGACGGACGTTCCCTCTCAGCCGAGACGCATTGATCTTAATAGAGAGAGAGAGAGAAGGACGGCAGGGTGGAAGAGGTGAGAGAGATGAAAGACAGAATGAAGATGGGGGAGAAATAGAGGGAAACAGACACGAGCTGGAACATGAGCTGGATCTGAGAGGAAGCAGAGCAGGCCTAGTTCAGGATGGATTAACATGAAGGTGAGTATCAGGGAGACTTTTACAAGGCTCAGACACCCATGAACACCCAGACACCCATTCTTTGTGTCTCCATGTCTGCTCTTTAACATTCCCACATGGAAAAATCATGATTGTGTGCTGTGTTTAGTATTGCATCATTCCAGGACTAACAAAAAAACCTGACCTAGATACCAGCACAGGTCTACAGGCTTTCCCAGGAGGCAGCCTGATTATGAAAGTGATGAGTGATTGAGGAGCAAAGCACTTAAGTAGAGTAAAATGATCTTATAGAGAAAAGGTCAATTCAAGAAGCAGTGTAGCACAGTAATGATAAAGAGGTGACTGAATGAGGGCTGATTTTCAAAGATTTGTGCTTCCAAATATTTGTATGATCGTAAGTAAAGGTCAGGACATTTCTTGGTCAGTTTCTGAGACGTTCATGCTCAGGACCTGATCTACGGCATGCGCCATGATGCAGATTAGAGTCTAGGAGCTGTAAAAAGAGAGAGACTCTGCAAACACCAAAAACCTGATAGTAAACTTTTTCTATTGAGAACAAGCTGGCTAATTGGAATAATCCTACATCCCCTGTCAGTTAAAGACGACCAATTATCTCTGAATCGGGCCTCAGGCTTCTAAATTCAAGGATTGGATCTGAACTATCCATTTAGTATCATTCCTTTTCTTTTTTTTCCATTTAATCTTTTCAATCTGAATTTTAATCTGAATTGGCTTCTAAGCTTTTTGAACTAGCCGAGTTGAAAAAAAAAAAAGTAAACTGCATTCAAAGTTCAGTTCTGGGAATAATTTCTCTTAATAAGTGGTCCAAGAGGTACACTGGGTTTCACATGTTAGTAGATAGCAGCTCAATGAGACACTTCCAGCTTCTACAAATCCCAGAGGATATTTTCTAGACGTTTAAACTACGACTAGGAAGGAGAGCTGGACCAGCACCTCCCAAATAGGGGTTACTCGGAGGATCTAAACAGTACATTAAATGCACAGTTAGCTTGATAAGGAGATTTAACTTGGCTTCCGTCCTTACCTACAATATACAAAAAGTACAATAAAGAAGCTATCTGGTGGTTGAATGTGATTGAAGTTGAATGAATAAGGCAGTGATTGCAAAGATGGAGTGACACAGCTGGTGCCAATCCACTAACACAAGCATGAGAGTGCTCAAACATTATTATTATGATTTCTATTAAAGGTCTGAATGAACAAAGAAAAAGGCTGGTCTATCACTGGTACTGGGTCACAGAGAAGTGAAATTATCTGTGTTCACTTTATGACGGCTATAACTCAGTCATACCTGAAAGGTAACAGGTTAGTTAACTTCAATAAAGCAGAAGGAAGTGTGTAAAACTTCAGAAAAACAGAAAAAAGGGGAAAAAAAGTAAAACTCAAAGTAAAATGTTCACGATGGTGAATGTGTTAGCACAGTAATGTTAGGCTCACAATTACTGCAAATGTAAATAACCTGCACAAACTACAAAGTTGTGGTCACAGCTGGATCAGGAGCATAGACTATGTTTCAAAGTAGACGCTACAAATGTTCAGTGACTTTGTATGTGGCTTTGTATGGCACTATGGGAAAGAAGGAAAGAAAGAAAGAAAGAAAGAAAGAAAGAAAGAAACGTGTTTACCAATTCCTTTGTCCCCAAATACTCCTTCAAAGTGCTGCAAACAATTCAATGCTAAAATCCAGAGTAGACACGCCAAAAAATTGGAAAAATAAACCCTCTCCTGACAGATTAGCAAATTTGTTATTTGTTTATGGGTTTCTGAATCTGTAGAAACAGAAAGTATCAACAACTTGCTAAATTTGTTATCACAACAAACCTGGTCACCAGAGTCTTACATTTGAATGAAATAATTCACCTTCCTGTGTCTAAGAGCTGAGAGTATAATATAATAATAATAATAATAATACGTCAGCCAGAATGAGTTGTTAATTAATACTATGAAGACAAATACACTGAAAAAGCAAAAGCCTAAAACTTCTTTACTACCCTGTCTCTGACAGAGAGAATAGAAGCATCTATTCGTTTCTTAACAGATTAAAAGTTTTATTTCATCTCTACCAGACAATGGCTATTTCTTCGTCAAACTGATCAAAGTATTCAACAAACCAAACTTCCGTTATTGAGCTCATTATTTCTGCAGTTGCACTGACCAGACAACTGACCAGACCAGAGCAGCAACATAGTGAGTGGCTTTGCTTAAATGCATCAGCTGGAATCCACTGACAGAAAGAGTGAATGTTCTTAGAAGAGGATTTGTGCTCAAGACGTTTTCATGATGGTAAAAACTTGCTTGACCAAACAGCAGCCTGTCAAAACACAAGAAGATTTTGACAAAATATGCAAAATATGACAAATTTTAGTTGCTCCAGAAAAGGCCCAGTAATTGATAATAATGGGGGAAAAAAAGTTTAATTTTAAAAAATAAATAAACCAGTCAGGTCCTTCTTTTAAACTGAATAACACTTTCTTGAATTTGTTAATGTTGCATCATTCATTAAATATTTCCACTAGTTTGGTAGTTAATTTTACATGTGCAAATCATCCCTTCACCTTAAATAATTGAAGCCACAGCATGTTGTCTCGTCCTCATCTTACAGTGTTCCTAACAAACTAGGCGCTTGTTTTTCTGACTCATGTGACACACAGTACAAAGTCAGTGAAACAAAAACAGGAGGGATGACACATGTGGTGTGCCCAACAGGCGGACTTGAACTGAATCTGAACCTATGTGTGAAAAACGTCACCAGATGTCCTGGTGACGTGTCATCAGGACGTTCTTTGTGGTTAAAAACATGAGTGACACATCAGATCTGTTGGAAAACACTGCTGTGAACATGAGAGGAAAACATCATCACGGGAACAGCATCTTGACTCATCCAGCAAGACATTTTGAGAAGAAACCATGGCCTAAAAAAAGAAACACCAACTTGTCCAATCTGACAAGAAACCAAAAAAAAAGAAAAAGAAAAAAAAAACTCCCATATGTTGCTATGATGAGAGATACCAAAAATCCTCGAGTAGAGTAATTTGGCCAGAGCAGGTAGGGTCCCACAGGTTTCCCAAAGCTCTCTCCTGTTAATTAAGACATAAGAAAACAGAATATTTGAACAGGAACATGCAGAGTTTGCTTTTCTGAGCAATTAAAATGGTATTTTCTGAGGGATGTGTCCTTTGAGAGCAACTCTGCAGTGGTATAAGAGTCTAAATCTCAGACTACTGTATATTTTCACCATGGGTTCAATGATGTTCAGGTTGTCTCATACGTGGGAGACTTTTCTGGACAGTTTCCATTCTGGGCTTCAGGAAAAGGCTGCCCTTTTAATTCTTTATTGAAAAGTAAAAATGGAATATGAAGTAGAGACAGTAAGAAAAGCTTTAAGTCTTCACCCCTGATCTTATACGATGATTTAAATGTGATAATCCCCCATCTGCTTTGTGTTGATGAAACTTCAGAGAGTCAGTCCTTCTCCTTGGATCCACAGAGCAGTAAAATAATATTCATACCTGATGGTTGGTGAGTGCCTTTTAATTCTTCTTCCCACAAGCCTGATTCACTTTGCATAAAAGTTGGACAACCACCATGATGGGGCTAAAGCGCACAGGTAACGGGTAAGTTATTGGAGGCTAAGTTTCTGTCTAACTGGTGCAAGCTTGGATGCGAAAGCAAAAGGATGCTATTTGGGACTCTTTTGGGTGCTACTTTTTGTCACACACTCGTAGTGTATGTATTTACCAAGTGACCATGCCCTGCTATTATTTGAATGGGATCACTACTTGAAAATTGTACAAAATTCTTGAAAATATGAATGCTGAAACATAAACTTATTCAGAAAATATTTGCTAAGATTAAATCAAAAATTGCAACATGCAATCATATGTGTTGTCACAGCAGTGGGATCTCTTCTGGGCAATAGAAAAAAGAAAAAGGAAGGAAAAAAGCTCATTTAGAGCACTTACATTTGGCTTCCAGGGACAGCATCCACTTATGCAAATTTTGGTCTGTTGTGTGGGATATGAGGGGCCTGATTTACAAAAGGACTGGGCAGCTTTTTGGGCCTGCTTAACCTGTGCAAATGAGCCCAAAAAAACACAGTCTAAAGCTCATCAAACATGGGATTAGTGCTACCAGGGGGCCATGTCTGTCCTTTCTGGGGTAATTCCAGGTCCCTGTGGCTGCCTCTGCACTTTTTACGGTTAAAATGATGAAGACTTCTTTGGACACTGTCTACAAAGGTTTATCAGCATTCAGGGCACAAATGAGCCAGATCACTTCACTGCACTGAGGACCCTCAACATACTGAGAAACAACAATAAAAACAAACATCTCTTTCATCACAGGCTCAATAGGCTTTCACACATGCATAATCTGAAAACATACAGGTGACACAACAATCCCTCTGTATGTAAAGTATGTTTATGTTGTGGCTCTACTTTTGCACAAAGACCCTATGCCTTTATATATGACATTTGTCTCTACGAATCTTTTTCAGAACTGCTTTTAGCCAAGGAATAGAGGGATATTCTGGTGTAAGTTTAGGTCATGGTCAAAGACACTGTAACAGAGAGTTAGACACCCCCTCAAGAGATGGATTGCCAACCGCTTGCTTCTCTGGTTATATCATCTTTAGTAACCACTGTACGATAGCAATACACAGCGGTCTATATATATGCATCAGAGTTCTTGTGTATCTTGTATGTGCACTGCAGACATGGTAGTTCTTCTGTCTCAGCGTCTCAGTCTGATTGCATTTCCATGAAGTAATAAACATACATTTTCTGCTGATTGACCTGTCAGGGCTCTCCCACAAACAAGCAGCTGCTGGAGGAGAGTGGGTGAGTTGTGTTTAGTCTCTTTGCTTAAGAAACCAGGCACAGCTAAAAAGATGTTTGGTGGCTAGTATTATGGCTGAGACCCTATATGTACTGTTGATGAAGTTAGGTGCTGTTCTGTGCATTATTTGTGGCTATAGAGCGGTGTTTTGGTTGAGGTTTGTGTGCGGAGATGTAGACCGCTGTGTATTGCTATTGTACGGTCATTACTAAAGTTGGTACAACTAGAAAAGCAAGTGGTCGGCAACATTCATCTTTCGAGGGGGTGTCTAACTTGGTATACACCATTGGCACTCTTCTTGGTGAGGAAGAGTGATGTTCAATTTTTAGTGATATTTGCAGTCACAAACTATTCAGTGGGAACTTCTATTTAGTAAACATTAGCGCTAACTTAGCAAGGAATTAGATGCTAATTTTAGCAAAACAAGACATTATTAGGACACCTCGGTAGTGGCTTGTTACCAAAAGGAGGTGTGCCCTACTTTATGAATTTTACCTTGACTGGGACAGCTATGTACAAAATGAGCTTCATGTTGTCCCTAAAAAGAGAAATCAGGAAGAACTATTTAAAAAAAAATGTACTGAGGTTAGAAAAGACAATAAAGGAACAATTACTCATGAGTTTGTTAGGAGAAATGGAGTCTCTGTGGCCAGTAAAGACTTTTATGTCTGCTTTTCCTCAACACCCAAGGTCAATGCTTACTTGTGATACATAATTCATGCTCTGGTCTGTGTAGTTTCAGTTTTTTAAATGTCAAATTGTATAAAGAATTTAGTTGTTCTTTTGTCATAACAAGACACTTGAGTTTGACAAAAAAAGTCATGGAAAACTGCCTTAGCTGAAGGAAGAGCCAACATTTTAAAGGGAGAGGCAGTTGGTTAGGGCAATGATTTAATTTTTCTGTACAGCATGCACATAGCCTTTTCTTCGCTTCATTTTGGAGCTGGAAAGGAAAAATGAAAGCGCACAAACATCCTGTCGGTACCCCGAGGGCATGGAACAGCAGGCGCTCTCAGCTCCTGTAGGTGTACACAGCATGTGTTGTTGAGAGCAGTACAAGAGCCAGACAGTGGCTTAATGTGGCTATCTTTGCTCGCCCTCTGCCTCTCAAACTAGCTGTTCTGCTAAATGAAAGAGGAAACAAATTCACCAGGCAGCTGTTGGAAACACTTGTGGTAAGGCTGAACTCGGTTTCAAAGCTCCCATCTTTAACTGCTGAATCCAGCTCCCACAGGGAAAAGCAGGTGATCAGTCTGCCGGGATGAGCAACTTCCAGAGGTGGGGATTCATTTCTCAGTTTACATGTAACATGACATGTTGTTGATGAATGAAACAAAAGGGTACATCTGGGGCCTGGGCGTTTGCTGTGTGACAAGTCGCCTCTGGGTTTATAGAGGAAATGGAGGTCACCAGACTGGGGCTCTGCAGGTGCTCACATGCTTCATTTAACCTAGGAAATATGACTGCTACATCATTTTATTCCTTCAATCAAACATTCCTGACCCTAATATAAAAAGAGAAAAAAAGGAAATGGTTCTTGATCTGCAGAAAAGTGAGTGCTTTCAAGTCATCAATGAAGTCATGTTCGTAAAATGTATGTGGGGTAATCTGGTGGTTGTGTGGTTCACAGACAGGACAGTGTTATCCTGCTGTGAGACAGAAACCACAGAAACAGCTTGTGTTACACTCTGGCAAAAACAAAATGACTGCCGTCCCACATTTACACTGTATGCCAGCCAGTCAAGTCTGAAATGCATCCAGTGTTACCCACGCTCTGACAGCATGACTGGAGCTGGAATATAGGTATTTATGTTTCTATATTTGTACTTGTTCAAATTAATTTCCCTCAAAATTGAATAAACAGGATAAATTGGCTTACATAAAGCGGGAGCTTCCGCTGCAGATTGAAAATAACATCAGAGAACATCTCTGCAGTCTGCCTCTGCAGATTATTAGGATGCCAGACTTCATATTAGGATGCCAGACTTCACATAACTGAAGAGCAGACAAGTACACATATCTACAAAAGGGATATTTTGTAGACAAATCTGTGCTAAAGGTCAGCGGAGCTCCTTACCAATACAGACAACTGACGTACAAAGCTTGACTTTCACCTTCCATAAATGTGATTATACATCAAAGTAATGTAGACTGCAAGCTGTGTGAATGATCTACTGGTTAGCATCGTATTTACAGCATTTCTGATATTGACATTTACCAGCCATAGATAACATCTCCTCTTTTTGACAGTTTTTCCATATATTCAACGTCTCCTCAACATTTACCGGCCCTGACTAACATAACACACTCAGATAAATACACTCTGAGTCACCATGCTTACTTGTGCACAAACATGTAGACACCAAAAAATCATGATATGGCAAGTATTGAGAATAAGTCCTCAGAAAATCAAGATTAAAAAATGTTACAAGATTAAAGTCATGTTGTGAGAATAAAGACTTTGTGAAGTTCGTTTCGTTTTCTTCCGCTTCATCCGGGTCTCGGGGGGAGCAGCTTCAGGAGGGAAGCCCAGACGGCCCTCACCCCGGCCACTTCCACCAGCTCCTCCGGGGGGATTCCCAGGCGCTCCCAGGCCAGGCGAGAGATAATCCCTGGTCCTAGGCCGGCCACGAGGTCTCCTCCCGGTGGAAACACTCCTCCCTGGGACATGTCTGGAAAACCTCTAACGGGAGGCGTCCAGAAGGCATCCTAACCAGATGCCCGCGCCACCTCAGCTGACTCCTCTCGACGTGGAGGAGCAGCGGTTCTACTCTGAGCGCCTCCCGAGTGTCCGAGCTCCTTACCCAATCTCTAAGGCTGAGCCCGGCCACCCTGCGAAGGAAACCCATTTCGGCCGCTTGTATCCGCGATCTTGTTCTTTCGGTCATTACCCACAGTTCATGGCCATGAGAGTCGGCACGTAGATCGACCGGTAAATCGAGAGTTTCGCCTTACGGCTCAGCTCTTTCTCCACCACGACTGGTCGGTTAAGCGTCCGCATCACTGCTGACGCTGCTCCGATCCGCCTGTCGATCTCCTGTTCCATCCTACCCTCCAAAGTGAAGTTCTGATATGGATAATTAAGCCGTTATGTAAGAAGAATAAAATCATTGTATTATGAAAAGTAAAGTCAAGTAAAGTCATAATTTCATGATGAAGTTGTAGTTTTGGTTCACCTCAAATGGCCAGCTGCATGACCGAGAATGAGGAACTTTGAGACCAGCAAATCTATGTAATCAGGTGATCACTGCAGTACAAACCAGTTTTACTGACTGGAGCCAATGGTTTTACATCAGTAGGTTAACCCTAACAAACAGGACAGACCAGCCCTCGGATTGTTAATTGGAGGGATGATTTGTCAGAACTGCCAAAGGTAAAGCTTTCAGATATTTACACTTTGATGACAGAAAAAACATGCATGTGAAACAATGATAAACGGAGAGCTCTTGGGTCCTTTATCAAGTAGTTGATTATGAAGCTCATTGTACAGACAAGGATGACAAACAGTTCCCACTGTTTGACGTTACCCTACGTGCCTATAAAGTTAGAATTATGGAAAAGTCCTGAATACTTCATGCTATGTGCTGCCATAGCATGGTACCACAAAAGCAGGTAATGGGTAGAGTTCTAGTTTTGAGACTTTACTTCCACTCTTTCTCTTCTGGCACCAACAACACAACAAGATGACATTTTAAGACTACTATGACACCTTCCTCCCTGTGGTGGTGATTCATGTGTCACTCCATTTTTGCTTTGTTTTGCCTCAAGCTATACCTATATCTAAAAACATCTATTCCTAAGTAATTTTTATGGTATTTTCTAAAGAATGTGACCTCTGAGAAGAGCTCTGCAGTGGTTTAAGAGCCTAAACAAATGTATATTTTCAGCATGTATTCAATGCTGTGTTAGCAGTTTGGGCTGTCTCAAATGGCGTGGGAGGCATTTCTGGATGCGCTGAGCACTTCAGAAAAAGGCTGCATCCTGCTGGGTTGTAGATATTTTTGTTTTACGCAGTATTAATTCTTGTAAGACTTAATTTGCCTCAAAATTCAACGAAGCACAAGTAGGCTTTAGACAGGAGTTTCCATTACAGCTGGTAATACCAAAAAAACCTCTGATTTAGTGTGTTTCTAAAGAGACACTTCTCAATTAGGTTGAATGAATGAATGAATGAATGGTTTTATTTTTGGTCACAATAACAACAAATGAGAAACAAACGGAATTATAAACTTGACCAAAAAAAGGATTAGGCGGAAGCACAATGCTTATAGTTGCCTATCCTTTACAATCCTTGTAACATCATTTTAATATTTAAAACAGTTGATAATGTTGAAATAAAATAAAAAAAAAGAAAGACACTTTAATATTAAAAGGAAAACATTAAAATAGTATGTTGCACTACGAAAGGAAAAAACAAAAACAGAAAGAATGAAAGAAAATGTCTTACTCAAAGCTGTATGTACTCCTGAATTATTTTGCTTTTTAATGCTTTTTTAAATATTACCTGTGAGTTACACAATTTTAACCCATCGTTAAGGTTATTCCATTGCTTAACTCCCCAAACTGAAACACATCTAGCTTTCACATTTGTTCTTGCTTTTTTTCTGTTTTAAAAATATAAACCCCTCTTAAATTGTACCGTCCTTCTCTTGTTTTAAAAAGACGTAGAATACAACCTGGGAGGCTTTTACTCTTAGGTTCATGGGGGGGTTGCAGTCCATCGATCTCTGATGGAGTTCTATAGGATAAAAACTAAATTATACACCAGATTGATTAACATGAAAAGAAAACAAGTCCCTTTCTGAGTGTATTCACCAGGTAAATTAGGAGTACAAGCTCTCAGTGACTTTGACATTTCACACCCTTCTCTAGAAATCTGTCCAGTTTTGGGTTCAGGTGGAAATTTGAAAGACGGTCAGACAAACAACTCAGAGACAAAAGTCCCCAGCTCTTGGTGACTTTAGCTTGGAGCAGAAAGAGGGGGATCCTGCTATAACTTCATCGACCTCCATGGTGCACAGAAAAAGACCAGAAGTTGAAAAGGTCGAAACTCCAGCAACACTTCTACTTAAAGAATTATCTTGCACACTATTACTCTCTATCCTTGACACTGGCTTGGATGCATGAACTTCACTGGTTGGTTCTTTGCTCAATCGTTGCTTTTTGCAGAAATCACTGCAGAGCCAAAGGCCAAAAGTAGCAAAAAAAAAAAAAGGCAGTTGTGAGTTGTGAGTATGCTGATATATCCAGCCCTTTGCTACCAAGGAAGCCGCAGATTATGGAGTCAGATAATTATAACTCACAATGACCCCCAGAACTGACTCTGCCTCCTGTGACTTCACCACAAACTGAAAAACAAAAACAAGGTGATTTATGTTGTCTCTAAACTGTCAGCACCAGAAAGGCTCTACACATGCAAATCTGAATGACTGTTTGTACTGTAATGTATGCAACAGTCTCAAAGACTGTTTACAATGTTAATGTATTAGTACACTGACACACTGCTGAGCAGCAGGCTAAGTAACTAACAATGAGGTGGGGAGGAGATCTATAAATGCAGCTGACATTTCACTGAGTTACTGAGCCGTCAAACACAATACATGGATGTTTTATCACAGTAAAGAACCTTGAAGCTTGGTATGTGTTGAATGTACAGTATAATAACCACCACTCATCATCTCCTGTCCTCTGAACTAACAGCTCTCTGGATATTCATGCTACTCTCTTTCCAAAGTGACAAATACTGACACCTGATCCCATCATGCTCTCTCATACAAACACACAAAGCACCTCTCAGGCCTTCATAACACCCATCAACGGTGCAGTCCAGCAACAGCAGCCTTAGAGTGATGATGTGGTTCCCTTGGCGTCAAGGTAAGGTCAGGAGTGATCCTAGGGATGAACAATAATCAGCACTGAGTGGTTAATTCTATCAACACCATTTTATTATTATTCAGATAATTAGGCTGTTATTTATGGTCATTTATTGTATGTTATTGCAGTGTTTACAATATCAGCTCAAACATTAGTGCTGTAGCACAAAGTGAATAACTGTGAAATCTACTCGCTTTGTGAGACTGACAGCATTTAAGATGAAGTCTGTTTTTACAACATCCAGGAGCTTTCCTATCCCACAGAGAAGATCAGTGTAATTTCAGAGACAATCTGTGATCTTTTCTGTATATTTTTTAGTGTGAAAGTGTTATTTCAGTTGTTAGTTGATTGTGCGAAACAGGCTTCGTCTTGGTCCGCTGATCAGATGCTGTATCTCTAGTCAGCTGATCTATCAAGGTCCAATAAGAAACAAGGGCAGCATGAGACAACGGTCTGCTCACAGTATAGAAATGGGAGAGACAGAACATTTTTGAATGGTTTTATTCTGTTCAGCTTAATGTAGCATCAGTAGATCTATGCTCTTTGTATGTTGACTATACTATACAATTAAATTTTTATCTTCAAAAAGTCTTTTCCAAAACGTTAGTCTTTGAAGGGGGGTTAGAAGAGAGTGTCCTTTACATTCAAGTCAATTTGGTATATAATAGTCAACAAATAGCAGGGTCAGAGATCCTTGAAAGAAGAGGTACCCTGAATCAGCTGCAGGGTACACAAAGTCAGTCTTCTTTCGGTAAACTGGGTTACTCTGAGCTGTTGACATAGAACTCATTAAACAGAAACAACAGTTTACCCTTTAAATCTTTCTGTGTATGAATCTTTAGTTTAATTTTCCATACAGTATCATTTCTAGGTATGCTATCTCTGTGCAAAAGTCCATGTATAAACTTGTTTGTTCGTGCCAAATTTGAGCAATATGGCTATGTGTAAGTGAACCTGCACTTTTAACTAACAGGCCCACAGCAAAGGTGCAGTTTACACCAACACCCCTGCAGCACACCAATTTTGGCACTTAAACACGCTGGTACTTTACCACTCACCTCTGCACTCAAATCACCTGTTGCTATTAGCTTTAAGTTTAACTTGAGTTCCAGTTTTTCTGAAGAGGACTTTTACAGCCACCTTTTGGAATGTTACACAGTATGTGCGTCTTTGTAAAGTTTGGTCATTCATGTTGTCTGCTTCTACGTACTTGTAATTTTATTGTTTTTGATGTTCACATATGTAAATTAATATGTTTACAAGCAACCTGTGAGGGACTACAGACTGGAATACGCTAAAGTCTGGCACATTTACATACCTACATTCATTCACGTGCATTTTAAACGTACAGCCAACATACGACAAAAGGAACACAAAAAGACCCTCAAGGACACCTACAAACAAACAAACAAACAAACAAACAAACAAACAAACAAACAAACAAACAAACAAACCATTATATAAACACACAAATAAACAAATAAAGAAAGAAAGGATGCCTTTAGAAAGATGCTAAAAAGATACCTGGAAACAGAAATGAGAATGTAGCTTCAAAAAAATGCTCAAGGGTACCCAGAGGCAGACATGTATGTCTTAGATGAAATATGGTTTTAGACTGAGAAAGAAAAATCCCCCCAACCAAAGTGGTCTTTATATTACATCTGAAAACCTTTCCAGTGTTTCTCTGGAGAGTCCCTTTGAATCTGACTGCTGTTAATTGTCTGACCTTTAGGGAATCAGAGAGAATGTAAAATCATCCCAGCAAACCCATCTGTTATGATGTCCTTTTTTACTTCACAGCTATTCATTGAGTGAGGTGCTAAACCCAGTTCAGTTACCAAAGTACATATAAAAACATGATCTTTATACTATTGGCTTACCCTGCTCTTGAAGGTAGTTTGTTTTCTTTGCTGAATCCTCCTCACCTTTACCCTGTTCCCTTTTTTTCTGTCCTGTTTGCAGTAGATTTATGTGCTTCCTTTAACGCTCATATATTCTATCTCCTCCTTCTGCGACCACCATGCCCCCTATTGAATTAAAGTCCTCTGCCGTCTACATATCCTTCCCCTTTACCCTGAACGTGTTTAAAATTCCACTTTCCCCTCACATGCTCTGCTTCCTCAATCTCTCCATCTTCTTTCCTCTCTCCTTCCCCATCAGTCTCCTCTTCTTCCTGTCCCTTTGCCCTCTATTAAATAAAAGTCCTTTTGCTCTTCCGCTCCCATGTATTGTCACTCTGGCTGAGGAGGGACGTTAAATTGAATCAGAGGAGTCATTAGTGCTCCTCTGAGGTGTGAAGCTGTGACATCAAGTGCCAGTGTCCCAAGACAAGCTTTATATGAGTTTGGCTAATAAGGCATGGCAGGCTCAGGGACAGGCCAAGATTTGCCTGATTATAGAGGGTGTGAGCACACGTGAACATGCAGTGCAGCACACAGCAATGGACAACTACAAACAAACTGAAAAACACACTCACCATCATCACACTTTTGTATTGATTCTGCTGTGGTGTGATACTAGCTTCTCTGTGGGTGACTTTACATCGTCATTGTGAACACCTAGTTTCACATATACACACAAGCACACACACTCCCCATCCCTCTCTTTCACACGCTCTCTCTCTGTTCCACCGTGCCTGCTCCACCCCATCTTGATTCTAGTGCTACCCACACCTTGTTGCCCACTCAATAACTATTACAGTACATTAATTCAAAGAACTGTCCCTGTGAATGACTTATCATGTGACAATTAAGTCCTGATATAGACATGAATAAAGTAGGTTATTGGTGCCATTTTTTTTTTCTTTTCTTTTTCTCATCATGTATCATAGTTTAAATATAAGCCTGTGAAACTGTCTGCTAAAAGTTTGTCGAAATAAATAAAATCATTTGTGTCATGATTGTCAACCCACTTACCTGGCCAAAAGAGGCCGATTCCTGTCCAACCTCAAAGTTGGTTAATGTAATACTTGACCTTTATTTTCCTTGTCTTTAAGCCAAACACTGTGTGACCTAAATGAGGTAGTGAAATAATTAGTCCAATACTTTTCATCATACTTTTTGCAGATTAAATTGGTGGCTGTGTAATAAGAGCATTAATATAAAAAAGGCTGCATGTCTCTCCTCTATGGAATTGGACCTGGTTTCATTGCAGTTTTTAACAACATTTTATTTATGATCAGATGTGGTCCTGACTACAATTCAGACTCTGAAAAAAACAAACAAAATAACAAAACAAAACACAAAAAAAAACAAAAAGCTAATTAGTGTTTTTTTGTTGTTGTTGTTGTTTTGCTGCTGTTGTCACTTAATTTTATTTTTTTGTGGTTCCAGAATAAGAAAGGGTTAATATTAAAACAATCCACAGGTAAATCTAAATATCTTCTCTTCAGCTTTTACTGGACTTTCTCCTGCAGGTTCTCAGATGCTAGCACAAGAAGCTCGACACCAAAGTGAAACAGCTTTAGTCACTTTTACAGCCAGATGAAGCACTTTTTTTTTCTATTTTTGTCAAAGAGACAAAAAAACAGGCACTTTTTCCTTCCCACGTTCTGTTGAACACAAAATAAACGTGCTGAATAAAAAGCTAGAGCCCTTGGCTTGGCGATAAACAAAAACACCTTTTGTTGCAGGAAGAAATAACCTTAAAGGGATATTGTGATTTCGGCATTGAAATATGTTATGGCTGTCAGCTAATCCATTCAATAAATCCTTTTTAAGAAAATATAATTGATTTGTTTTCAGACACTATTACAGCCGTAGGCATGTGTTAAATCAATGCCACAGACTGCTGGGTGAGCACAAAGGCCCATTCATGGTCAAGCAGCCAGACCCAACACCCACTCTTACATAAGCGGAGGAAGTGCAGGCTTTCCTTGCTGGGCAATGGAAAAAAGCTTTATTTATATCCTCATTGGAATACCAGGAAGATAAAGACTAATCTTTACAAGAGCTTTCATCTGCCCATATGTTTGAAATAATAATCGGGGACAACTTTTTCTTGTTTACTTGAAACTTTACAAATTATTCATAATCCCGCCCTTGAAGCAGTGAGACTGGAGTTGTATCAGGTGCTTTCCTCCCTCTTTAAACAAGCTTACGCCTCAGGTATATATGTATAAATATATATATATATATATATATATATATATATATATATATATATACAGTACAAGCTAAAGGTTTGGACACACCTTCTCATTAAATGTCTTTTCTTTATTTATTTTTTTATATGACTATTTACATTGTAGATTATCACTGAAGGCATCAAAACTATGAATGAACACGTGGAATTTTGTACTGATAAAAAAAGGGGGAATAACTGACATGTTTTATTTCATAGTTTTTTTTTTAAATAGCCACCCTTTGCTCTTGATGACAGAAGTACAAAGTAACCCTGACAAGGCACACCTGTGAAGTAAAAACCATTTCAGGTGACTACCTCATGAAGCTCATTGAGAGAACAGCAAAAGTTTGCAGCGCTATCAAAAAAAGCAAAGGGTGGCTACTTTGAGGAATCTAAAGTATAAAACATGTTTTCAGTTATTTCACACTTTTTTCTTAAGCACATGATTCCACATGTGTTCATTCATAGTTTTGATGCCTTCACTGAGAATCTACAATTTAAATAGTAATGAGAATAAAGAAAATGCATTGAATGAGAAGGTGTGTCCAAACTTTTGGATTGTATTGTGTTTCTGTGTGTGTATATATATATATATATATATATATATATATATAGATAGATAGATAGATAGATAGATAGATAGATAGATAGATAGATAGATAGATAGATAGATAGATAGATAGATATTCTTTTTAAATAAATAATAAATACGATTCAAACTGAGATGTGTGACTCTTTACCCCTCTAAGCCCTGCATTTTATTGTCTTTTTATGTTAATGTCAGTTTTAGTAAGTAGTCATTCTCCTGTTTCCAAATGCAGGTTGCTGTCTTCGTAACATGTCACCTCAGTGTTAGAGTCATTGGTTAGTCAAGCTCATGTCTAATGAGACCACCACAGCTTCATCCATTCATCCAGATGACTCTAATCCTTTGACAGAATTAGGGTAACAGTCTCTTACTTTCCTTGAACTATAACAACTTTGCTCTGAATGATTCCACACCAACCATTACTTTGGAGTTGATTGCATTAATTTAAATAATTATTTTTTTTTCTTTAGGACAAAAATTTTTTACAATATGCTCACAGTCAGAGCTGTATTCACTGAACTCTATCGCTAACTTAGCTGTTTTTACTCATGTTAAAAAAATTACACTCATTGTAAAGTGAAACCAGATGAACAGAACCACATTAATCAGCATAGCACCAAATGCAAGCTTTCCTATCCACCAAAATTTGAAATTTCCTTTCCCATAAATTAGTTATTAGTCATTTAGTTTATAACCTCATAATAATAAATGTACATTTCACACGTCTTGGACGTCTTTGACCCAAACAGGGCTTTACATTCAAACTGCCAATGAGATACAGCATTTCATTAAGGCTTCATTTAAAGCAGTTAAGTTTACGATAAAAAAGAAATAAAACAAAATAAATACTAACTTCAGACGGCCCAGACTTTCAAATCAAACTTTCTGGACAATAAAAACATCATTTTAGAAGTTTTGTTAGCGCAACAAAAAATCTAAATGATGTTGTGTGCTGCATTGATGCTGCACACACGTTCAGGTGTGAATAAATCTTATCTCCAATTCATATCCCAAAACACAGCAGGGTTAGACAGCAGCCCAGTCTGTGTGTGTTTACCCAGTTCTTTTGTTTTGAAATGCAGCCAATGATTCCTGAGGGGGGTTGTGCCCTCTCTATCACTGCTGTTTCCTGCTGCAGAGGGAAAGCATCTTGTAAGAGAAGAGCAGGAGTGCCCAGGGGGAAACTTTTCCCACAGAGTGATGAATTGATGATCCAGCCCCCTGATGCAATCTGTATAATGGAGGTTGCCCGTTTGACAACCCCTGACTGCACCGCTGCATTTGACCCTGGAATCTTGGAACAGGTTTGTGAATATGCACACTTTGAGGGCCCATCCTCTGGGCTGTTTTACATTAATCCTTCAACAAGTTAAAATGTCTGACTGTACCGCAGCTGAGCCATTTTGAGAAGCAGCCAGGTGGTCCTGAGGGAGAGAGCTTCAACAAAGCTCTGAATTAATAACCTCAGCCTGTGTACCATCTATCCATCCCGCTGCTCAGTGCTTTTATTTCTGTCTCTCTGTTGCCCAATTCATTGCTTTAAAAGAGCAGAAAGTGCCCCAGAGGAGTGTGATGGAAGCAGAGGTGGATTTCTTTGCTTCTGGTGCTGTGTCTGTGGGAAGCTGCCTGCTTGATTATGCCTGAGATGTACCTGCTCTTAACCTCATTTCCTTCAACATCTGTCTGAGGCTTTTGAGTTAACTACACAATCATGCCTGATTACGACCCCCTTTACTCCTGGCTGTGCTGTCCCTCTGCAGATAAAAGACACGGTTCATGTGTGAAGGATAATGTCACTGTGTCCAGGTTCAATTCCTGAGGGAGGATGTGAGAGGAGAGCTGCTGTCTCTGCGATAGCAGAGCCTCTCTTTATAGCCCAAACAGTCTAACAGGGCTCCTTAGACACAGGGAACATCATTTTTGATCGACCTTTCTTGTTTTAATACATGCATATCTCCTGTACTCCCTTGATGTCTCAGATCAGGTGCCACTGGGGACTGTTTTACTACTTCAGAGCCTCAGAGACTGTTATTTTCACTACCACTCGTGTGTCTGACACAGAAGCACATGTTAGTCTCGCAATGATCAGACCCTGAATCCAACATACAGATTTAATGACTCTCTTAGACATGTTGTGATGGCTTGGCAAGGGAAGTAGTTAGGTTGAAAAGCCTAACAATATCAAAGCAAGGGTTCACTTTGAGTCTGTGGGCCTTATCCCAATGGTCCGTATGCTCAGTCTGAGGTGCATGGCACCAAATGAATTAGGGCATGTGTATTACTAAAAGTCAAGGCTAAAACACACAGGATCCGTATTGAGTGCGCTCCGTCAGTGTTGGGTATCATGCAGCAAATAGGTTGCCATTCTAATCAATGCAGCATCGCACACAGGACGCGTCTCAGCTCCGTCTCAGAAGCATGTTAAGCTCGGCTCTGCTAAAGATTCACGCAGAGTCTATTTTTTCTGCTCTTGCGGTTCCAACACGCGTCAATCAACACAGAGAGGATTGTTCCAGAAATACTACCTGGTTCTGGATTTATCAGTAACACAGAACAATCCGATGGTCAATCCCTGATCCATGTGGACCCCAACAGGACAGGAAACACGAGTAAATCTGCAAAAGCCAAAACTGTAAAATCATGTTGTTTTTTCACATACAGCAGAAGCTCAACAGTCACTGAATTATATCCAAATTAGCAGGAAATAGACCACAGGAAGGAAAAACAACCCATTGTGAATATGTTGTTTCCTCTAGACTGAGCCCAGCTAACCGGGGCTGCAGTGCGCTGCTGCCACATTCCAAATACGCATCCTGTGGTGATGAAGAGTGATGCCCAACGGAGCAGATATGCAACGCTGACGAAACAAGCTCATTATGGATCCTGTATGTTTTCTCAGTACATACTGGGCTCTATGTGAGGCACAGGGTGCCAAAAGTTTTAACTGAGTCCTCCAGTTGCGTTTAGGACATGACATGAACCTAACAAATCACTGTGTCTGTTGTCATTCACTTTTAAAATGCCCAAAGGTCATTGTATGACTAATGTTGACACATGGACAGATGTTCAATCTACTGAAACTTTCATACTGAAGAGCAGAAACAAGTTGAGACATGCATTCGTTTATCATTGAGGTCTTGCAGACCAGGGGCCTCATGTATCAATACTTGCATGGAACTCATACCAGAAACGAGCGCACGCAAGGTCCGTCACGCTGAAAAAAATCCGTATGTATCAATGTGTGCGGGCGCCGAAATCCACGTGTGTTTCCTTGATAAATCCCAATCAGCGTGGAATTGAGCGCAGATGTCGGAGTGACTGGGCCCGTCCCCGTTACGCCCTCCTATAAATATTCAGATTTATTTAAATATGGTCTCCCTGTCCTCGCACGCAGACAAAATGACAAGAAAAACTAAATTTACGGCGTGCGAGGTGGAGGTGCTGGTGGCGGAGGTGGAGGAGCGACAGCGTGTTTTGTTTGGCAGCCTGTCCAGTGGCGTCAGTGCAAAACGAAAACGCTTGGAGTGGGAGAAAGTTTGCGAGAGGGTGAATGCGGTGGGTTCCGAGACACGCACCCCCGCGAAGATTAAAAAAAAGTGGTCGGACCTCAAGGTGGAGGTCAAGCGGCGTACAGCTGCCCTCCGGAGGAGTACCGGCCAGACAGGTGGGGGTCCGGGGGAGGAGACCCTCACACCGTTTGAGCAGCGGGTGGTGGCGATTATTATTATAGGGTAAGTGGCGTGTCACACAAATGTCCACATGCTTTGTCATCCCACTGAGCAAAAGACGTATATTAGACGTCTAGTCTAAGTTTATACTTCATTTCAACGTCGGGATCCAGTCTATTTTTAGACGTGATTTATACTTCGCCCTTAACTTCATTTTTCGATAACTTTTTATGCAATAAACAACTGTAATGTGCATAACTGACCTCGAAATACTGGATTACATTACCTATGATACCGTGGAGAGAGATGTAAACGCAACAGATACACAGAAGCAGGAATTGAAATGAACAAATATCTTTATTGTGTCACAGAAATCAATATGTCGGCCGTGTCGCCGGCTTGCGGAACCCCGGCCCGCGGCAGCCCGTCCGCCGGCTCGGAGTCATCGGCCAGGACCAGCGGCATTCGGGCCACCCCGGCCCCCCGGCCCCCCGGCCCCAGCACCAGCACCAGCGCGCCGACAAGCGGTGGAGCGTCCACCAGCCGCGGCACTTCTGCTGGACCACCCGGATGCAGTGGAAGGGTCCTCGCGGAGGGGGTCCTGCAATCGCAGGAAGAAATCATCAGGGGGATCGCGGGGATCAACGAGCGGCTGGACCGGCTCGTAAATGTCCTCGAGCGTCTGGTGGAGAAAATAAATTAATTTGGCTCATTGAACTGTGTATTCACTTCTTACCCATTCACACTGTGGCGATGAGATTCTCCCGCGCGAGGACGGCGGCCCGGCAGGGATCAGCTCGCATCCCTCCGTCTGCTGCTGGTTGGTCATGTGGGGCGACGTGCTGCTCGGCCACGGGGATGTGGTGCACGCTTGTCACATAGTGAGTCACCAAACACCGCCACACAGCGTCGCCAAAGTGCGAATCACAGTCAACGCAAATATCGGCTCAACGCCAATTTCTACACCACCTCCTGACTTTGCGTTGATTAGCGCTGGAACCGACGCTCGTTTCGCGATGATAAATCTGGACGTGTGCGCCGATTTTGGCGTACGCAAGGTTTTCTTGCGCCGCAAGCGTTGATACATGAGGCCCCAGATTTACTTTAGACTGCCTGTTAAAAACGTCACAAATACTGTGTAGTTTCAGTTAATATCTGTGAATGTTGCCCACATGTATCCTGAGCAGATAAGGATTACAAAAAACAAACAAACACAAAAAACTTTAATTTTTTTTTTGTCTACATGTATTTGAAAGCACACATGCTGTAGAGCTTGGAGGTAGTCAGGTCAGGCAGAAAAAGTACAAGCATTCCTAGGCCTTGCTCCCATTGAAAAACACTGTTCCGAAAAAAAAAAAAAGAGAGAGAGAGAGAGAAAAAAAAAAAATGTAAGAAGTGGAAATCCAGTTGTTCATCTCCATAAGTGAATAAAAAAAAAGAATGTGCATCATACCTTCTTAATTTATCATGTAAGCACCCTTTACATATCAGAAAAGCTTTGCATCTTTGGTTTTCAATTTCACACCAGGTTGTTGTTGGTCCAAGGTGCTTTTTTTTTTATTGATTTCAGTGGTAGTTAGATTGTGATGAAACTCCACAGGAGAACTGCATGTTGTAATTTGATGTTGTTTTGATGTAAATACGTTACTGTTTTATAGTGTATGCACCAGATTCTTTTTACATTTTTGCATGAGAAATGAATGTGGTCTGCAGCTGTTAGACCTCATGCATGTCTTAACTTGGAAGTCACTTTTGTTTTTCAGCAGTGACAAAAGAAGTGATCTCTTCAAAAAACCTGACCCTGAAACCAGGTCTTCAAAAGATTACACCCAAACACCATGTCTGTGCAAAAAATCAAAATCGCAACAATGGTTTACAAAGTTTTTATGAACAGCTCTTATTTTCTTACATCTCTCAGTCAGCAATGTTGTTGTGCTGACTGATTTCTTTTCGGTGAACTCTGATTTGAACTTTCCCGTGTGTGTGAAAGTGCCTTTTCTTTTCAGAACAGCCTGAAACATCCAAGCACCACCAGGATTTCTCCTGATCCACCAGATTATACCTCCAGTACAGACAGTAACCCGTCTTTATCCTGCGGGAGAAAATAAACCAACCTGAAACATTCTGGATATAAGGAGAAATTGGATGTAGAATACTTGGCTAACATGGAGAAAATAGTTGTCTTGCTGCCATTTTGGAGCCGCCGGTGTGTAATTTAGTGTACCTAATGCAGCTTTAACAATCTTAGCCCTCCACTATCAGCTCTTCCCTCCAGCCATGTTTCAGAGCCAGCTCCTCTGAGCGCACAGGATGAGTCACATTGTGAGACTCACTTTCCCAGAGGTTCAATGATTTTATAATTGAGCCTAGTCGTGTCTCCTTCATAATGGAAAGCACCCATTTGATAAACCCACCGGCACCTCTGCTGTTAACTGTTGTTGAAATATGTGTGTATCGCTCAGTGGCACAGCTGAATGCCAAGGGGTTTCTAAAGGTGCCCACTCACTGACTCTGTCTATTTTCAGCAGTTTTTTATTTATTTTTTTGCAATGTGCATGCAATCCCATAGTAGGTGATTCAACAAAGCAGTGAATTATTAACCTCACCCCCGAACCAGTCATGTAGACTGCAACTGATTTCTTTTTTTAACACACCTGAAAAGAAAGGAGAGCAAGTGGAGTGTCCCGCAGATAAGCCCTCACAACAAAGCGATGAATTGATAATCTGGCCCTCAGCAGTGTTTCTGTAGTGCCATATGTGCTCCAACAGCCTGTGGGAAGTGACACGAGGGCTCTGAAGCCTAAAATAGGGTGAGCCACGTCTGATAACACAAGCCAGGAAGCGGATAACAGAAGGAAAAAAGGAACCAAGCTCAGGTTTACACCACACCAAATCAGATTTTTGCACCTAATGTCATCCTTCAAGCTCTTATGTTTACAAGCTTAACTTCACTGCCCTCAGAGAGAGGAGCTGCTATGTCATTCTGATAACACTACCTCAGCTCCGGGCAGTGATACAACAGCAGCTTTATTGCACAATGTTTGCAGTTGTTAGGGGAGAGGAGTTACCACTTTAAAACTTCTGCAAAATAGAAGCTAAGTTTTGATTGTGGTAAGAGACAAGGTCAAAAGAACAGGGGAAAAAAAGGTGCAAAAGGAAAAGGCAGGTCCTCGACACAAAGGGCTCTATTTTCGTGCTTTGCTGGAGACGTGGCACAGGCACGGCGTAAGTCAGGCGTTCCCAAGCACAATTTGGTATTTTGGTGAGCAGCGCAGCCCGGAGTAAGTATCCCCCCTCCCTAACTCAGCTCCTCCCAGCAGCTTAAGTCATAGGGAGGGAGGAGAGAGGGCGTGGAGTGGTTTTAACACAGCCGAGACCCGTATTGACCAATAACATAAACTCCTCTCCTCACTTTTAAATCCGCCCCTGGCAATTTTCCTGAAGTAGTCAAAGAGATCAAAAGATGTCTGAAGACAGCAATGCCACACAATGGCGACAGAAGGCAGCCCCTCAACAAGTGTCACTGTAAGCACTGCGGAGGGCGTCCTGCACACTGTCTCATATAAGCACAGATGGATTCGGTGTGTGTAATGTTGGACCCACTGGTAAGACAAACACCCTTTTCCACAAATAAAGACACTCACATAAAGTTGCACATATTCAAAACTCACGTGACAAAGGTGGGTTGTGCACAGAGATCACATTATAAATTCCAATGGCATTAAAATCAGAACCATCTGTGCGTAAAGGGCACATCACGCTCCCTGGCCTGGCTCTTTCTTTCATAGATGTTGGCATATAAAATAAATTTGGCTCACAAAACTGAATATTATAATATTCGTATGTAGGCTTAAAGTAAATAACTCATCTGATCACTAAAACAAATCATCTGTTCAGCCACAGCAGCTGCAGCAGGACAGGGAGAGGACACGGAGACATGTCCAGGTCGAGCTGCGCGAGAAAAAAGAGGAAGAGGAAGAAAGAAAAGGAGGGAGACGAATTAAATATCTTGTTAACTTCATCATGTGTGTGTATTTACTGGATATTTAATTTAATGCAGTTTCAGCTGTGTTAATTCGGTCAGGTTGTGTGTCCAAATGCGTGCCAAACGCGCTCATCAGATCAGATATAGATCAGAATATATCGATATAGATCTAAATGTATGTGCTGACTCAGATTATTAGTTGATGATGATTATTTATTGCACTAAAATGTGCCTGACACTGTGGAAACCTGCCAGTGAGGCATCAGTGACGTATGCCGATACAGTGCCGGTCTACCAAAATACCATTAGACCAGCTGTGCTCCGCGTGTGCTGAAAGCTGACCAGGTTTGAATCGGCGAGCTTTCAGCGTACTTTATATGCCACCGGCACCACCACGCCCAGCTTGGTGGACCTTGGTGCGCCTCAGTCCACAAAAATACCAAACTGGCTGTACGCTGAGCTGTATGCTTTTGGGAAAAGCATTGGGATCCAAGGAAAAACTTGACCCTTGATAAACCCAGAAGCTTCCGAACCTTTATATTACTCAGTGGTTTATCTTCACGTAAGGTATATTGCTGTAATTCTGCTAAAGGGGCACTCATCTTGTTACATGTTTCTGTCTTCAGAAGTATGCACCAAGGATCTTCCATTGTATGTAAAACCCTTTCATCTCACCCTTTGTTTTTGAGATCAGGTATCCTCACTCTATTGAATCAAGCAATTACCTACTTGTCTTTGGCTCGTATTATCTCTCATTTCTCAAGCCTCTCATGTACAGTTTGGTCTAATTTACAGAGATTTAGTGATTAGGTTTGCTTTATCATTTTTCAAATATGTAACTGGTAAAGTTTATTAAAGATGTGGAATGGCTGGCTGTCTCTGCAATATTATCCTTTTGGGTCACCTTTACAAACAACTGATTTATCTGTATTATATCACATTATGTGTACTTGTATATCCTTTTTTCCTCCAAATAATTTGTCTTTTCTCTTTTAGATTAATGTAATTACTGTACATGATTCTACCCAGATCAGACCCTTGGAGGGTATTTTGCACCTCTCCTTCACACAATTATCCAAGTGTATGTTAATCAGAACTATTGGTATGAGTGTTAATGAATGAACTAACCCAACCAGCAAAAGCATGCAGATTTGTCCTGCAAGATGGACTTGAAACTGATGATGCTATATCCGCTAACCCTGGCTTCCTGTGGTTCCAATATTTTCTGAATGTTTCTGACATTTACACTACAGGCCAAAAGTTTGGAAGCAAGATCAGATTTGTACAAAAAAAAATCTTAGTTTCATATATATATTATTTGCAACACAATAAACATGACTATTGTGTAAAGAGTAACTTATCAGAAGACATTTTGACTATAATTATTAGGTATTAGAGTTATTGTTGCTTAGACTGCGCTTTCTTTTAAGTAACCTCCTCTGGCTTTGACAACAGCTTGGCATATACCAGGCATTCGTTCCACAAGTTTTTTAAGGTATGTTCCAGGGATTGCATTCCAAGCTTTCTTAAGTTCATTGAAAAGAGACTGCAGATTCGTGGGACGCGTTTTTCTGACCGATCAATCCAATTCATCCCGCACAAGCTCAATTGGAGAAAGGTCTGGAGACTGGGGGGGCCAAACCATCTTTTGAAGAACACCTTCCTCTTCTTTTTTTTGTCTAGGTAACCCTGACAGAGCTTGGCAGAATGCTTAGGATCATTGTCTTGCTGCAAAACAAACGTATGAGCCACAATTCTGAGTCCAGATGGAACAGCATGGTGCTGGAGGATGGAGTGGTACTGTTCCTTCTTCATGATACCCTTTACTTCAAACAAATCTCCTACTCCATCACCTGCAAAACATCCCCATACCATGGAACTACCACCTCCATGCTGAATTATGGGTGTAACACATGGTGCTTTCAGACATTCACCAGTTTGTCAGCGAACATAGACTCTGCGTTTTGAACCAAACAGTTCAAACTTGTTTCTGGTCATCATAAGTATAATTTTTGTGAGCTTTTGCCCACTCATATCTCTTTTTCTTGTTCTGTTGACGAAGTAGTCTTTTTTTTTGCAGATACACAACCCTTCAGACCAGCCTTTCTCAAACGTCTTTTCACAGTTGTCAGAGATATGGGTTTTGACCTTGTCATGTTGATTTCCTCCCTTATTTTTGGTGCTGTCTTTCTCCGATCTCTCTTCCAGGTGACAATACTATGTTTATCCTCTGCTTTTGTAGTAACTCTCTTTCGTCCAGGTCTTTTTCTATCATCATAACTTCCAGGTTCCTCTAGTCTCTTCAGAGTGTAGTGGACTCCTTTGTTAAACACCTTAAGATGTTTTGCAATTTCTCTTTCTGTGTATCCTTCTTTCCTCAATGTACAAATATGTACTTTTGTTTCTTTACTCAGTTACTTCTTTCTAGCAGTTTTTGCAGTAGTTTGAACGCAGTTGAGATTTATTAGGATTTTTGTATGCAGACTCTCAAAAGCCAAAAAGTTGAAGTGAATAATCCAACTGTGATTTTTTTTTTTTTTTCCTTTTACACTGAAGTTGTGACTCTTGCAAATGTTTTCAACCCTAAAACTAAGCCCTTATTTTCTTTTGCTGACATATATTTAGCAATGGTCTGTTAACATCAATGTATATCTAAAGGTAAATGGAGTAAAATGGTGCATTTCCATGAAAGCAACATCTGATCATGGAGTAAATACATCCCAAAATACATAAAACTCATGCTGGATTTAAAAAAAGCATTGTGAACAAAAACTTGAAGTTACTCCCAACTGTTCGGCCTGTAATGGCCTTGTTTCCAAACTTTTGGCCTGTAGTGTAGATAAGCTGGTCAAATGAAAACTGCTGTTAAAACAACTGGAAAATTTGTCAAAATTGAAATTGAAAAATTGAAAATTTACAAGCTTGCACTTTCATGACCAGGTGTCCAACAATGATGCCTAAACTATATAATTTTTTGAGACTGAAATAAGTGGTAATGTCATTAATTTAATTGTTTTAGGTCGGTAATAGCTCAGTGGCTCAAAATGACAGAATTTTCATCAGTCTAAACAGAATACAGCTCTCTTCTATCCTAAAAGTCTTGGTGGTGGTCTCAAACCCTGTCAATATGAAACACATTAAACAGCACATTGGCTCTCTCACCTGATTTGAATTTGAGTTCAAAAACCCATGACGAAACAGTCGACTGACACAAGTATTGCACACACTCTGCAGGAAGAAGTTTTCTTCTCACTGAAGCACTTCCAGCTTAAAATACCACATTAATGAGAAGCATCAGTGTTAAATTAACACGTTAAGTATATATATTCCCTTCTTTCTGGAGTCTCCTTACTCAAAAAAAAATAAAAAATCAAACACAATTTTTATAGATTAAAAATGAATAAAATTTAATCATGATTAGTCGAAATTAATCTACAGCAACCCTGTGATTAATCTGATTTTTAAAAAATGATCATTTGATTGCACTAGTTTATATGAATGATATTTTATTGATATCTGTCAGGAGAAACTAATAATTATCTGAGAAACTGAAGAGCAGGTTTCTTTAAAGCTATTGTAATGCACTCTCCATGAGTGCTTGAGGAAAATGAGGACAGAGAAAGTCAGCATGCCTCAAAGCTTCTACAGAAAATAACCCCTGATGTATGCTACCTTCAAGTGCGCTGGAAATGACATGCAACATTGAGACTGATAAGAGACTTCAGACTAAATCTATTCCCATTCATTCATTCAGCAAATCGAATAAAAGAAGTAAAGCACTGGATTATTTCAGGCCGAACACAAATCTCTCTCTCTCTCTCTCTGTCTCTCTCTCTACAAATATATATATATATATATATATATATATATATATATATATATATATATTTATATATATATAGTATATATATATATTGCTGTTAAAAGTTGCCCTATAGAATTGCACCAAGATGCCTGGTTAAAGGGTAGACTTAATGGTGCCCTGCAGGACACATTTAAAGGGGAGTACACAGGGAGTTTAGTAAACTCAGATCTAAATGATCTGAGGTGAAAATAAAGCATCGGTGGTCTTTGGAGTTTAAAGAGGAGAGTAAACGAGATATCTGCTGCTCTGCTTCAGGCTTCTTTTGCCAGAGCTCCCATTAAAAAAAGCCTCAGCAGTCTTACAACACACCAGTTTGGTTCAGATGACCCTCCGATGAAAGGGCTTCATACTGCTGTTCCCTAACTGTCCACTTTAGGCTCTTATTGTTTTGGAATTTTGAGGTAATGAATTTTGCATAATTAGGGGCACAGCTGACTGGAGTGACTGACAGGCAGTGTTGTGCTTGTAAATGAAAAATAGTAACTAGTTACAGTTACTTGTTACTTTGTAAAAAAAAGTAAATCAGTTTGTGACTCAGTTACTTAAACCAAAAAGTAATGCGTTCCTTTTTAGTTACTGTCAAATGTTCTTCCAATGTTCCCATTACATAATGGTGGATTGATTAAGTTCCCCTCTAGCCATCATTTCAGTTCTGTATTGATGCTAAAATTAAACAAACTGTTGATTAAAACAACTGTTTCAATTCATTTTCATCCACATCACTGAATCTAATCATCTAAGTAATATGATCTATTGTGCACCAACACAAACCTTGACACTAACACCAGAATTTTACCTTTGGACCCTTGAAATAATATTCTGATAGTACCAAAAGAGATCCATATAAACTATTAAACATACCCTGCTATTGTTTTATCAAGTTGGGTCAGGCTATGGGTCCTTCTTTCCAACTCCAACCTCTGTTGCTTGGGCGGGGTGGTGTGTGCTTGCAGCTGTGACTCTCAAGTCTTGGATGCTATGTTAGCTACCTTAGCTGCTTACTTTGTTGAAGCATGCCACTTCTCTAGGTGCTTCAGTAGATTGCTGTTGCTGTTGTTCACCATAGAAAAATTTTTTGACCCAGGACACAGTTTACATGTCACCGAAATATTGTTTTTCCCTTTGCTCTCCAGTTAAAAATAATGTATCTCCATGAGGAGAAACTTATCTTCCCCTTCTCGCTCCCCATCATGCCTTCATGGAGCGTGTTTAATTAAATGTATGATGCTGGAGGGTGACAAGTGCTTTGTGTTTCCAAGTCAACTCAACTTAATTGATAACAACAATTTCATGGGATCTGTGTGCAGTTATAAAACCTCACCAAAAGGAACAGAGTAACACAACTAAAGAAAGTAACAGCTTTACTCATAACACATTACTACCCAACACTGCTGACAGGTGCTCTGTAACTGATAGTAAGTTGTCTAAAAGCCTTGGTAGGTTGACTTAAATGTAGGTTAAGTCAGCTTGACTTTCTTTTCAGCATCTGTTTTGCACCACAGACAGGATAAGAAGAACTTTATTTATCTATGAGGGGAAATTCAATAGTTCAGTTAAACTGTCAAAAAGAAAAAAGTCTAGTTTGGGATTATTGATCAACTCACAGCCAACAACCAAAATGTGCAGTTAGTTAGTTAGTTAGTTAGTTAGTTGGTTAAAGTTCAGCATAGTAGCAAGGAGGCTGGCGGACTTCCTCTCCAGTAACAACTACATAGACACGTCGGTGCAAAAGGGAGGGATCGTCTGAGTACCGGGGTGTCAAGAACACACTGGAGTGGTGACTCAGCTCATCCGGGAGAACAAGGGAGACCTCACAGTTCTGTGTTTAGACTTAGCCAATGCATATGGCTCCATCCCACACAAACTGGTTCAGACCACCATGACCAAACACCATGTGCCACACCACGTTGCAGAACTCATCCTGGATTATTATGATCAGTTCAGGATGAGAGTCACAGCAGGGGAAGTAACATCAGAGTGGCACTGGTTGGAGGTGGGGATAATTACAGGCTGCAACATCTCGGTAAGCCTGTGAAGAGCTTGGGCAAGGTGTTTGACAGCGGCCTCAAAGACTTCACATCAGTCCAGTCAAGCTGCCAGGAACTGGACAGCTGGCTGAGAGCAGTAGACAGATCTAGCCTCCCAGGCAAGTTGAAGGCATTGATATACCAGCATGGGATCTTACCACGGATACTCTGGCCACTATTTGTCTATGAGGTCCCCGTCTCCACGGTGGAGACCTTGGAGAGGAAGGTCAGCACCTGTCTCAGAAGATGGTTGGGGTTGCCCAGGAGCCTCAGTAACATTGCCCTCTATGGGAACACCACAAAGTTGCCCTTGAAGTGTCTGGAGGAGGAGTTCAAGGTGACTCGGACCAGAGAGGTGCTGCTGTACCGAGACTCAAAGGACCCAAAGGTTGCCCAGGCAGGAGTCAGGGTGAAGACCGGGAGGAAGTGGAGTGCCCAATCTGCTGTGCTGGATTCAGAGGCAAGGCTGCGCCACAGAGATCTGGTGGGTGTAGTGGCCCACGGCAGAGCAGGTCTGGGGATGTTCCCAACACCACCTCGACACAGGGAGTGCAAGAGGAAGGAACAGCGAAGGCAGATTCAGGAGGAGGTCAGGACTGCAGTGGAGGAAGGGAGAGCAAGCAGAGCGGCTGGTCTCAGGCAGCCGGGGGCCTGGACCAGATGGGAGCACGCCATGGACAGGAAAGTCACCTGGACGTACCTGTGGCAGGCTGACCCACACCGTATCAGCTTCCTAATCCGGGCAGTCTATGACATCCTACCTAGCCCAGCAAACCTATTCACCTGGGGGAAGGCAGAGACCCGAGCTGCCAGCTGTGCTCAGGGAGAGGAACACTGGAACACGTCCTGAGCTCCTGCCTAACAGCACTCGGCCAGGGCTGATACACCTGGCACCACAACCAGGTGCTGAAGCCATCAGCAGGGGTATCAGCAGCTGTTGCCAGGTGCGCAACACCATCACTTTTGTCAAAGCAGGAGTTCAGCCAAAGGCAGGTGGAAAGAAGGCACCAGCAGGGATCCTGGCAACTACCCAAGATTGGCAGCTCTCGGTAGATGTAGAGAAGCAGCTACAGTTCCCCCAGCACGTCGTCAGCACCACCCTGAGGCCAGACATCCTCCTGGTCTCAGAGAGCACCAAGAACATCGTGATCATGGAGCTGACGCTGCCATGGGAGGACCGCTTGGGGGAGGCCCATGAAAGGAAGAGGATCAAGTATGAACATCTGGTAATCGAATGTCATCAACAGGGCTGGAAGGCACGATGTATGCCCATCGAAGTTGGCAGCAGGGGATTTGTGGGACGCTCACTTTACAAAGCCCTGAGCGTGTTGGGCACTACGGGAACAGCAAGGAGCAGAGCCATCAAGAACACCACTGAGGCAGCTGATAAAGCCTCGAGATGGCTCTGGATCCGAAGAGGAGAACCATGGGGACAAGTGAATGCCACCTGAACACAAGCCGCGGCTTGATCAACCACGGCTGGGTCGCCTGGGCGAGGGTGTATAATGTTGCAAGACCTGAAACAACCTATGAACCCAGGATACATTACTGATGATGTGTTCAGGTTGCATCAGAAGATGTATTTTAGAACCAATACTTAATTGTCACAATCTTCTCTGAAAAATTTTCTTGCAACCACACTATTACACCACACAAACATCCGACAAAGAGACAAACATCAGACATGTAATGTGCTATATACTGTATATATAACATCAAAGTGGCTGCAGCACCTCCAAGTCCCTACTCTAACAGCTATTCTATCCTGCCAAATTCAACTGATGCAACGCATCAACAATTACAGTAGTTCAGGTGCCAGAATGCTAAGCTGCTTAGCTAAACTGCAAATTTCAGTTAATGGCTCAGGATTATGAAAGTACTATTTTACAAAACTGAACTCACCTATTCATTGTTTTCCAACTCGTAATTTCTTTTTACAGAGTCTTCATAAAATGCAGACTGGTCTTTGGAGATCTGGGCTTCAATAAGGGGGTATGTAGTTCTCTGTTGGTATTCTGAAGTGTAAGCTGTCTAGACTGATCATTTATCAGAAGGCTCTATACAGAAGACAGTCCTTGTAAACAGAACACGTGGGCTGAATTCAATTCTCTGTAATCTACTTAAAATGTTTTCACTTTAATTAAAAGATAACTGCAAGGGAGTACAACCAACAGTCCAATCAGCATCACAAATCCAAGTTAGAAACAATTTGCATGACACTGTCAAGAAGGACCACTAGTGTTGAGATTTCTCAATCTTCTGGAATGAATGAGAGACAATTAGTCCCGGTCCAAATCAGTTCAAATGTTTTTTTTTTGTTTGTTTGTTTTTTTGCTCCTCTTTAGGGTAGATCCATAAGCCAATGGTAAAAGAACAAAAAGTCTCCTTCTTAGAAAAGATCTACCTTCTATATTGAAATTGTTCAAGAAATGTAGGTACTTGTTCTTACCTATGTCTTCTTGATGAAAGCCAGGTCTCTCTCAAGTCTGAAGGTGAAATGGGGCTGTGTCCTTAATGTAAATCCTGTGTGGGTATTTGTCTCGTTTTTCTTTCCATATCTCTTCAATGTTATTCAAGTGGGCTTTTACGGGAGCTCTAGCGTAACCACAGCTCCTCAAATGGCCCAGTTTACTTTGATGTGTTTGAACATACAGTGCATCCGGAAAGTATTCATACCACTTCACTTTTTCCACATTTTGTTATGTTACAGCCTTATTCCAATATGGATTAAATTCCTTTTTTCCCTCAAAAATTCTACACAAAATACCCCATGATGACAGAGCGAAAAACTTTTTTTAGAACATTTTGCAAATTTATTACAAATAAGAACACTCAAATGTTGCATATACATAAATATTCACACCTTTTACTCAATACATGGTCGAAGCACCTTCGGCAGTGATTACAGCCTCCAGTCTTCTTGTGTGTGATGCAACAAGCTTGGCACACCTGGATTTGGGGAGTTTTTCCCACTCTTCCTCGCACATCCTCTCAAGCTCAGTGAGGTTGGACAGCTACTTTCAGGTCTTTCCAAAGATGTTCAATCGGGTTCAAGTCTGGGCTCTGGTTGGGCCACTCAAGACTTGTCCTGAAGCCACTCCTTTGTCTTGCTGGAAGATGAAGCGTCGCCCCAGTCGAAGGTCTTGGATTTCGATGTACTTAGCTGCATTCATTTTTCCCTCAATCCTGACAAGTCTCCCAGTTCCTGCCGCTGAAAAACATCCCCACAGCATGATGCTGCCACGACCATGCTTCACTGTAGGGATGGTATTGGCGAGGTGGTGAGCGGTGCCTGGTTTCCTCCAGACATGACGCTTGGCATTCAGGCCAAAGAGTTTGATCTTCATTTCATCAGACCAGAGAATTTTGTTTCTCCTGGTTTGTGAGTCCTTCAGGTACCTTCTAGCAAAGTCCAAGTGGGCTGTCATGTGCTTTTTACTGGAGAGTGGCTTCTGTCTGGCCACTCTACCATAAATGCCTGACTGGTGGAGTGCTGCAGAGATGGTGGTCCTTCTGTAGGGTTCTCCCATCTCCTCAGAGGAACGCTGGAGCTCTGTCAGAGTGACCATCGGGTTCTTGGTCACCTCCCTGACGAAGGCCCTTCTCCCCCGCTTGCTCATTTTAGCTGGGTGGCCAGCTCTAGGAAGAGTCCTGGTGGTTCCAAACGTCTTCCATTTCTTAATGATGGAGACCACTGTGCTTTTTGGGATCTTCAATGCAGCAGATATTTTTCTGTAACCTTCCCCAGAACTGTGCACCGATACAACCCTGTTTCAGAGGTCTACAGACAATTCTTTCGACTTCATGGCTTGGTTTGTGCTCTGACGTGCTCTGTCAGCTGTGGGATCTTATATAGACAGGTGTGGCTTTCCAAATCATGTCCAGTCAGCTGAATTTGGACTGCAATCAAGTTGGAGGAACATTTCAGGGATGATCAGTGGAAACAGGATTCACCTGAGCTCAATTTTGAGTTTTATAGCAAAGGGTGTGAATACTTATGTATATGAAACATTTGAGTGTCTTATTTTTAATAAATTTGCAAAATGTTCTAAAAAGGGTTTTCGCTTTGTTATTATGGGGTATTTTGTGTAGAATTTTTGAGAGAAAAAAGGAATTTCATCCATTTTGGAATAAGGCTGTAACATAACAAAATGTGGAAAAAGTGAAGTGGTATGAATACTTTCCGGATGCACTATAAACATTATGAACCCAAATTCATTTTACTGACAAATCACAGTCAAGGGCTTTTTAGCTTTTGAAAGCTTCATGAAGCTTTTATGTCTATGGACAGTTTTCTTTTTCCTGAACCCTTCTAGGCCTTAAAGAGTCTCTCTGTACAGTTCAACTGTAAAGGTAACATTACGCTTCTATCAAGTCTGTGCTTTACATCCTAATTTATTTTACTCTTGGAGTATATGGGTGACATGAACAGCAAAAGGGTTGTTTCCATTCAAGCAATGTGAAGCAGTAGTGCCTACAGTCTGACAGTCAGCTGAGAGTTGAGCTGCTTCAATGAGATGATTGGCTGGATTCTGCTTAGTCAAGTGTTGCAGTGCTTAGTCTACCATCAGAGGTAATGTCTCATGCTCACCATTACCTGATTTTTTAAAATCTTTTTATTTTTCCTTTTTTAAATAGTAACCTTGCAAATATGGAAAATTGAAGATATGTCCACACTGATGATACAACTTGTGCAGCCAGAATGGTAAAAAGTCTCGTGATTCACATAAATGAAGAAATTTCATTTGCATTAAGAATAACGGTAGGAAGCGCACTCAACCGTTTCAACTCATGCAGAGTGCATCCCCCTGCAGCACACTCTCTCGGCCCCAATCTCTGCTTCTGAATAAATCATACAAGGAACACATCTGCTTCCTTCGAGAGATGAGTAAAAAAAAGAGAGAACCAGAGCAATGAGGGGAACAGTAATGATAGCAGGGGATAAAAGGTGAAGATAAAAAGCAGGAGGAGGAGAGAGAAAGGGAATGAGGAAGAGATGTGAATGATAGAGAAACCAAAAGGCAATAAGATGAGGAGGAAATAAGGAGTGCAGCAAGGGTGCTCTGCTCTACCAGCTCTTTTTCTTAGCAGCTGGATTTTTTTAAATTGCATCATGCTGCACAGATAGACTCACCGCTCTGAAAATATCCTACACCCTGACAGCAGGGGACGGTAAACAATAGAACACGCTCCTATAATATGAGCACTATGTGCACAGCCATGCTCAGACCACAACCAGCCCATTTTCTCCCCTAACCATCTGTCTAAGGCCATTTTGTAGAAAGAGCCAATTTACTGTGTGTACAAAACAGAGAGGACATGTTCCTGATGCTGAGCTGCAGCATTGTCACAATACTCACCTTATGTCTGACTTCTGGGGTCCAATAACACTGCAGTGGGTGAAAAAAAAAAAAAGACACTGAAGGATTGAGAACCTTTACTGTAAATACAACATACATGGGTCAGATCCTACAGGCGTGAGCTGAAATGTTGAATAATTATAAACACCATGAGTGATGTGTCAGAGTGTATGTTCTGGTTTGGGGAAGGTGGACACTTAAGTGGAGTTAACGGCGTGACTGTGGCGATCCTTAATAAGACCTCAAATAAATAAGACTTCTTGTCATAGAAACTTTGATGGACAGATGTTCTGTTTCTGCTAATGAGACAGTACAAAATGTTACCACTTGACCTTCAGATTCTAAAAATCCATTATATATTATTATCTGACTTTGAATCTCATTTGTCCAAACACTATCAATGCATAACTGTACCAGGCTTATAGTAAGAAGAGGGGGGCAGTGTTGATTCTGTCGCTCATCTGCTCATAGCAAGTATTAAGCAGGTGTAATATCTGACTGCCTAACCCTAACCCTCTCATTCTCATTGAGGTTTTTTTTATTTCCTGAAATGTGTCTGTGACAAAGCCAACACCGGCCACTGAAGTAACACCAGTTTCATACTTCCCATTTACCTTTTGTTTAGCTGCTGTTTAAAGCTCAATCTGCAACATGGCACAGTTTTGATCAACTGAAAATCATCAGAGATGGAATGGTTCAGAGATGGTTCAGAGTGCAGTGGACTGAATATCTCTGTTTACCTGTATGTCTGTTAGCACAGGTAGGTATAGATGTAAAAGTACAAAACATATATTTTATCTATATGTTGCTGCAACCAATTGGTAACAGATATGCAAACCCAATTTGAGTTAAACTAAATGGGGAAAACCTGGTGTTACTTTACACTTTAACAGGGTCTTTTAGTTTCTGCATTTATGGTTGTTATATTATGATTTTTCTGCAGTTAAATTAGACATAAATTGTCTAAGTCTTATTTTGAAGAATTTAAAACAGCATAATCCACAGTGAGCTAACCAAAGGCTCTGCACCACAGACTGCGGTCCCAATAGCTCTCTGAGGGTGAGCTACACTGTGTTGAAGATAATAGCAGATATTTAAGTTTACCTGTAGACTAACTGGAATGAAAAACAAATATTATTATTAGATGTTAACTAATGATAGATGTTAATTAATGTGACCTCCCTATTCTCACTGTAGTATACCCTTAACACGAGCTTTGCCTTAAGTGTCCTGAGGAAAAATACAGTAGCGCTTTAGCCCTCTGCAATGGACTATAAGGAGGGAAGTTTACAAGGCTCCATGCACATGCACATACTTACTTTTATAATGTATCATTTCTTATTTACAAGGCACACCGAGATGAGATGAGACTGGGAATAAATCCTCCCTTTATGATTAACATACAGTGAACTTATGTGATTACTATATCAGTGTGTGAGGGATGCTTGATGACTTTCATCAATTTTGCATATAGCATGAATGAATTTCAATTAACTTCTTGACCATTTGAACTGTAGTGTGTTATTCTGTCAACTATTTGAATAATATGTATTTAATTTTGGATAGAAACAGAGTAAATATTAGTTACAACAGTCAGCATAGCCTTATACAGATGAACATAAAAATGTTGGAGTAACAGAATACATTTGCAAGAAAATAGATACTGCTGTAAGTGCTGCTGTAAAAATCTTTTAAATACACCATTTATGTGTTTGGATGAAACTGAGATAGGTGACTATCATAGATTAAATAACCTTAGCTGTTATCTTTTTTTGCATTATAAAAAAAAAAACAATTTGGCCAAAAATGTTGGTTTGGGATGATTTAATTGAATATTTCTTTTCTGATTTGCACAATTAATCCAACATTATATCTTCCTTTTGTTACACTAAAGTAACAGTATCCCCATTTTGTAACAATATGTCCATGTTGTAGTAAGAATGAAAATAATGAAGCCCTCTAAGATACAGAGGTTGCCCATCCAGGATTTCCTCACTTCAACATTCTGAACAGTTTAAAAATTTGAAAAGCAAAGAATTAATCAAACTGAACAATTGGTAAACAATATAAACATAGGAAATACCCCCCCCCCCCCCCTATATATATATATATATATATATATATATATATATATATACTGTATATATATACTAATAGGTTAACTGTTTAAGTCGTTGTTGCATCCTCGACATAAAAAACGGCATGTATACAACACCTGACAAAAGAATTGCAGAGCATAACAATCAGTCTTTATGTTGATGAGATGGCAGTGTTTGAGTTGAAAGTAAAAACAGTATAACTGCCCAACACTTAATTCCAGGACTTTTGTATTACATTATATTGTTTGTTATATCACTGCAGCAAGTATTTATATTTATCAAGTACATCTATGTATTTATTTCTGAACAAACAATAATTAGTTGGGACAACTTTCAGGGTATGAAAGTTTTAGTTTGTAAGACTTCAAATTCCAAGTTGTATTACTCAGGAATCGTGAGTTACTTCAACTAAGGATCTTTGTTGGCTCAACTTTGCTTTAAAACTTGAAAATTGATGAACATACATTAAATTATCAGAAAGCTTGCCTTAAATACTAGACAATGATTCTCTGCTCTCCCCCTAGTCCAGCAGCACTAGGGGGAGAGCAGAGAATCTAGAGCAGAATCTAGAGCAGAGAATCTTGTCCTCTATGGCTAAAGTTGCAGTCATGTTGTCTGTGGTTTTGTCCACTGAACAGCTATTCTTGTAAACAAAAAAAAAAAAACAAAAAAAAAGGAGAACATGACCAGATGAAGTATATCCATGCATGGGACTTTTAAAGATGTAATCTAGGTGAGGCCTGTCTAAGCCTGAAGCAGCACGAGCGCAGGCTGCAGGAAGTACAGTTTAATATGATTCGGGCAACTGCGCCTGGTCTGAGTGCGCCCTAAAACTTAAAAAAAAAAAAAAAGATTTTAAAGGGAATTTCACCCATGTTGATACAGACATGCTCCCCAATTTTAAAGCCTGACTAATGGTTATTTTTGCAAATCATTTGGATGAGACATGTTTGTTTTATTTTCAGTAATCAGCCTGTTCAATCATCTGGTTTTTGATAGTCACTGCCTTGTATTTGCCAGCAAATGGTCCTCCAGTTGGCACCCTGACTGGTACAAATCTTTTCAGTTTTCACCTCCAAAATACCAGCCGTAAACACACTGCCTTCTTTTTCTTGTTTATTCCACTTTTCATCATTTCTGCTACGTCACATTTATCTGGAGGGTTACGAGATCATGACTCGCCTAGAATTGTAATGTCAGAAAATACAGCCTTTCAGGGTCTAGTTGCTTTTGTGGATACTATCCAACAGCAACAGCAGATTGATTGTCATCATGGTTGTGAAAAGGCATGAAATATTTCCTCTCTGCAATGTTGCAAACATCGTATTGACATTCCCGTATTTGCAAATGTCATGCATGTCTTCTCCAACTGCAAAAGTTTAAGAGAACCATCAAAAAAGGCCAAAATACCCGGGTTGTTTGCATATAACCGTGAGTTGTATCTCTGTTGTTTTGTTCATAGCATGTGAGTTATATGAAAAAACTTAAAACTTCACTTTAAAACTTCACTTAAAACTTTCAGTCACTGAAAAGTTTATCCATTAGGATTAGACTTTAATAGCCCAGACCTGGTTTAGAAAGTGGAATAAAAACAAAAAGCGTGAGGAGTCAGCAAACATCAGTGTGCAGAGTTATACAGTAATCAGAGCAAAGTCAAATTGTGCTGCAGCAGGAAAAATTCCAAAACCAAAGCAGGCAGCTTAAAGGCTAAAGTCTATTTAAATCCAGGCTAAATAAAGAAAAGGCAGCGTCTCGCTAAGTCTGCCCACAAGATCCTTCATTAACGGTTTTAACACACAAACATGCTGGCTGTGAATCATTCAATGCTAAGCCTCTTTGAGAGAAATCCCTGAGAGTTGCCTCAGGTTTGACCTTACACTCAGACAGGGAAAATAAGTGATGTGACCTTAAATAGGCATCTCTGCATGCTTGTATGAGCCCCAGAGTACAGATAATCCTAAAAATTAGGTCTGTGAATTAGCTGGTTGGTCCACCATACCACTGATGGTTTTGTGAAGTCAGAGCATTTTGACAGATATAGCCATTTACTGACTATAGGAAAAACCGAGTAAATCCTTTTACTTGAATACAAAGAGGATGATTTCAGTCCCTTTTCAGCTGCCAATAAATTCTCAAATCTCAGGATGCTTTTCTACGTACCTGTAATTCGGATCATTAAGTCTGTGCCAGACTAAAAATAAAAAGGACAGAGATGAGCTCTCAGTTCTGGTCCAGTTGTTCTACATACTGGGTGATTATTGATGAGCCAAGAGCTGCAAACTTAAGGGACTCTATTTCCGTGCTTCGCCGGAGACGTGGCGTAGGTCCAACAGGTCCGACAAGGTGTTCCCAAGCACAATTTGGTATTTTGGTGGGGGGCGCGGCCCGGCGTAAGTATCCCCTCTCCCTAACTCAGCTCCTCCCAGCGGTGTAAGTCGTAGCGAGGGAGGAGAGAGGGCGTGGAGTGGATTTAACACAGCTGAGACCTGTATTGACCAATAACATCAGCTCCTCTCCTCACCTTTAAATCTGCCACTGGCGAGGCGTACTGCAGTTTTCATGAAGTAGTCAAAGAGATAAAGAGATGTCTGAAGACAGCAATGCCAGGCGATGGCTACAGAAGGCAGCCTCTCAACAAGTGTCGCTGTAAGCGCTGCAGAGGGCGTCCTCCACACTCTCTCAATAAATCATCTGTTCAGCCACAGCAGCAGCAGCTGCAGCAGGATGGAGAGAGGACACAGAGACATGTTCAGGTCTAGCTGAGGAATAAGAGGAAGAGGAAGAAAGAAAGGGAGGGAGACAAATTACATATCCTGTTAAGTTCATCATGTGTGTTTATTTACTAGATATTTTATTTTATTTAATGCGGCTCCAGCTGTGTTGATTTGGTCAGGTTGTGTGTCCAAACGCGTGCCAAACGCACTCATCAGATCAAATATAGATCAGAATATATCTATATAGATCTAAATGTATGTGCTGACTCAGATTATTAGTTGTTGATGATTATTTATTGCACTGAAATGTGCCTGACACTGTGGAAACCTGCCTGTGAGGCATCGGTGACGTATACCGATACGCGCTGGTCTACCAAAATACCACTAGACCCACCTGAAAGACTAGACAGGCCACCCTCTGCCACGTCCCCTGTGGACACGAAAATAGAGCCCAAGGTGTTACAGAGGGAAAAATAAGATTCTGGTAAATGTAGGAGACATGCAGCTCTTCTCTGCTTTATGTGCATTTATCTTTTTATTTCTCAAAAAGTCAGGGCAAAGATGACATCCATGTTTACACAGTCATGGATGCTCCCCAGTGCTACCTGTTCCCCCTTACCTGTTAGCTCTTTTTCATGACAAGACCAGACCTGCCCCATGCTCCACAGCCACCAACTCTGAGCCAACCAGTTGCAGCATAACACTTCGCCCGGCTCGTCTGAATCACTTAGCCGGAATTGTTTTCAGCTTAGGAAGAGAGAGAGCATCTGATAGGATCAGCACAGTCACACTTGCTAGCTTACCACAGCCACTCGTGCTATCACAATCTGTGTTGTGGCGTTTTATGAGTCATCCTACCTCGTTACTGTGTTGGTTGGCAGAATGTTAAAGTCCCACCACGATTGTATTTGTATTTTTTTTTTAATTGTTTTTAAGTGTTCTTAGCATAGACTGTATATATAATGGATGTTATCTGCCTCCTCACTGGGTGAAGCCTCCACGAGAACAGCACCCTCTAGTGACGAGCTGCAGAATAGGTCATAAGCCACGCCTCCTCCAGGAAATTTTACTACACAGAATATGAATGTGATGTTGACGTAGTTATATTAAGACTGGTTTGTGTTCAAGTCCACTTTTTTCTGTACAGCTCCGTTTTTTAAAGTTTTTAGGGGGTTCATGTACAATGATTGACACTTGATACAGCCTATGGGCATATGAAGATTGCGTAGATCATCCGGGCGATATGCTGTTTGGGCAGAGCGTCATCACAGCGACCTTCCCGCAAGATGCATACAATACTACTACGCAAGTGGTGGTTCCAGGAAGTGGAGAAAATCCCTGAAATACAGAGAGCAATTCGGCTTCAAATGCATTTAATGACGGAAGGTGGAACCAAGTTGTCCATAGTTTATAAAGTCTATAGTTCTCAGAGGTCATTCAATTGTGAATATGAAGTTTTTTGCCAAAATCATACGACTTGTATCATTTTCAAGGACTTTTCTTAGGTAGAGCGTCAATAGCTCATGAGCAGTTCGCCTCTGAGTTGTGGGCGGAGACAGCGCTGCTCTGCACACTCCTCTTCATGCTAGCTTGCAGCCTAACATTAACATTGCAGCAGAAGTGGCAGGTTTCAATAATTCACACACTTGTCCCACAATCATCCTTTGTACTTCTCGGAGTGTGGCCTGCATAGCGGGGCTCTGAGGGCAATTATTTGCAATTTTATGGGGTTTAAGCTGCCACCTGGAGCTGGACGGCATGTCCTAATTGCTGACTGACTGACTGGTACAGTGAGTACAATATGTTTTAAAGTGTGTTTTTGATTCTTCAGTGCAAGAGACGCTTGTGCGTCATTCCATTTTTGTACTCCAGTGTGTGTTTATAGGGGATGCAAGAATACCTGTGATAATGTTGTGTATTTTTATTTGCATTTAAAAATCAGTCTGAGCTGTGGAAATGGGACTGTAAAAAAGAAGACAGACTTTCTTTTTCTGTTTTTCCCTCAAAGAGTACACTTTAACTGTTTGACACAAACTGAACTGTGTTACACGCACATGATTGCACCTTCCTTTTTCACTGTTTTGTTTGTTTTGTCATTACAAATGATTCTGCTTGAGATTGTTTTGCCGACTGGTGATTCTTTTCTTAATTTTTTTGGTGCAATGTTGTCCGGTAGGATAGGAATAAATACAGTATTATGTAATGCCATCTGATATAACATCCTATGATCTGATGATCCTATGATCTATTTTATAACACATATATTATGATATGATACAGTTTTACAAGACAAAATGGTACAATAAGATGAGATATGAAAATATGTCTGGAGTGAAAGAGTTGAACATTAAATCCTCACCTTTTTTTCTGGGAAGAAGATAATGTGTTGAAAGTTGTTGTGTTGTCTAATGTTGACTGCATCATCCAGCAACATGCAAGCAGGGCAGGCAAACTACAAGAGTTCAGCAGTCAGACCTGTCTAGTCTTTCAGGTTGGTCAATATAAATCTTTTCCAGATAGGAGGACCTTGAACCTTCAGTTTGTTACCCCCCCCACTCCCCACCCTCCCATACCGTCATGTAATCCGGAACGACGCTGTGGCATTTGAAGACTTAAAGGATCTACAGCTCTAGTGAACTATCAAATGTGCTTGAAAATGTGTTGAACTTATCAAAACTGACTCTTGGGCAAGATGGTGACACACTGTCTGCTCCTATTGTTGTCTTAAATGTATCTATAGCATAACATTTGCTATATTTATGCCAAGCACCCACAGGGATATTATACTGCAGTAGTATATGTGGATGACAGAATGTGAAAAATGTTGGAGAGCATACATGAGTTTGTAATGTGGGAATTTCACTGCCACTGATGCGTCTTTTCTGGACCTGAATCTAATGAGCCTTTTCTGGAAGAGAAAAAGGACACTGTCTGGACTTTTAGCAGTCTGATATAAGGCATTGCTGGCTCTGCTTGCAGCACATCTTTCATTTTATGTGTGATTTCTTGAGCGAAAATGTGTTTTGATGCGAAGGACAACAGATGCATGAATTCAGTAACTATTTTGCCTGTTTAAACTTCTATGTGCGTGCCAGGATGACACAAGTGTTTATGTGATGCTGCAGTACTGGGAATAGCAGGCACCGTTAATAAACAAAGACACACTGAGAAGAAATTTGTCTAGACTGACAACTTGAGCCAGATAACAGATGTGTTTTCAAGCTCGTGATGATGGATACAGAGTTGTTCTCAGACATCGCCAGGACACTTGTCTGTTTCAAGAAAGACAGTTTGAAAAATGATTGCATAAAAGCGACGGGGATTAGGACCATATTGAGTTTGATTTTTTTGTTTTTTTCACAGACCTTGAAAATAGAGTCATTAATTTACAGGAATGAAGTCATCATATTAAAAGAATAAAGTCATTAATTTACAAGAGTAAAGTCAAACTTACGAGATTGAATTTTTGACCTGTTGTTTTAGAGGAGAGTTGTTAGAATTCGAGCAGTGGAGCATTTAGATGAATTGTACTTTAGTACAAACAAGGGGATACTTAATCAGCTGTGTGTTGTCATAAGTATAAGGATTTTTAAAAGAATATGCAAGAAATGGATCTTTTCCGGGAAAAGAACCAGATTTTAATAAAGAATCCAACTGATCATCAAGATTTTGGATCCAAAAGGAGCTCCGATGAACACAGCATCAGTAGTACACCTGCAAAAGCCCCAACACCTTATTGCATATGGATTGATATGGAAAACCCTATGGCATTGCTATGAATGGCTGCTGACATTATTCTCTTAATATTGTGACTTTATTCATGTAAATTATGACTTTTCTCTCAGTCTGTGATTATTTTTTTTTTCAATGTGGCCTTAATACTCAGTGTGAACAGAAGACCTTGAGTCTTGTGGGTTTTTAGAATGGTTTCCGTGCATGCTGTTGTGAAAGTATAAATTTGTCATTGCCTGTCTGCATCAAAAATAAAACAAACAGCAAAACAAGCTTTTTCTGCATTGAGAGACCCACACTAACTCATTTCTGAACCACAGCATACCTTTGTGTTGCTGGAGCAGGGCCATCCACCTACAGGCTCTGATAGAACACGCTCATTTTCACAGTGTGACAGAAAAATATGGGTTTATTTTTTATTGTGACAGGAAGCCGATGCAGTGTTACAATGGGTTATGACAGTCAAACAAAAAGACAAACATGCTTTACACGGGGTTCTGTAGCCTAGCAACCATCTGCAGCTCACAAGAAGTCACAGAAATATAAAAGATCATGACTAAAATTCTCAGCTGAGATTCCATTGTAGTACAATCACTTAATGTCTGATCAGCCAAACAGTCTTCAACAATCTGCATGCAACAGCAGCATCTAATTGCAATATTTGTTCTTTAGTATTGACAGTAACAAAGAGTTTAAATGTAGGTAATTATTTATACTATTGACAACATGTTACACATTATGGATAACAGAGCCATATCCGGGACCATCAAGCATGTTCTCTTTGCAGGGACCTGAAGGTCTTTTCATTCTCCTCCAGCTTTGAACAATCATGCTCAGCTAAATGATCCTGTAAATGCTACAACACATGGAGGATTATGCATGAATAAACATGAGCCTGCCAGTACTAAATGAACATGTGTGTGACATTAGCATCTGAATACTAATCAAACAGTCTTCATGTTTCTTTTTCTCCGTGTGAAACACATTCACGAAAGAGGCATTGCAGGTTTTCGGCCAGTTGATTCTAAGACTGTTAATTTAGTGTTTTAGTAATATGTGGGATCTGAAACAGATTCGCATACAGGCCTGCTTGTTGTATGTTTCTTAACCACATATAGGCATGTAGTGGGGTGTAAATTGGTTGGGCAAGTGGGGTGCACCCTTGTGAAAGTGGAACAACTGATTTTATCAGTAGTAGAGAGATAGTCTTCAGATTTCAGACGTCAGCCTTGTTTGAAGGTTGTGAGTGCAGATTAGTAATGTTGTGTTGGTTTTGTCCATAATGTTGGTTCTGTTGGAAGAGGTATCTGTCAGTGTCAAGGCTGCTCATGCACCTGTTCCAATTAGTGTTAAACTGCAAGTTCTTGGGGCTTAAACTCCCTTGTGAGCAGAGCAGGAAAATGTTTTATTGAAATATTGACCTTGGTGCCCTGTGTGGGATCAGTACCTGTGCAGCTGGACTATACTGCGGGGAGAGAAAAGGCCAGATCCCAAAGCTCTTCCATTAAAGTTACATGGTCCTCAGTTGAAACAGAAGTATTTGCAGATCCACCATGCAGCGGTGCCGTATAATTAGGAACTGTACACACATACACACACACACACACACACACACACACACACACACATATATATATATGTTAAATATAAAATTCTTAGAATTATTGACCTCTTTGTTTTTACTTGTTTTTGGCAGTTAATGTTAAAAATTCCAATTGACTGCAAAATAAACATCCCTGTTGACCGACCACCCCATTGTATGAAATGGTTTGGTCCTGTAGCTGCCTTAGCGCATCAGAAACGTGTTTTATTGCAGTGGGGACAGGAGATTTAAGTTACTATAATGAGTGACCACAATGTTGCCCAAGAAGGTAAAACCAGTTATTTTTTTCAGAAAAGAAAAGACAGGAAAGCAAGAGAGAGAGACAAAAGAGCTTAACACCTCTTTACTAAGAAAGATAGGTTGCCTATTTCTGTCTATTGCGAAGTAAGCTAGCAAGCTACGGACTAGCGTTAGCCTATTTCATCAACGTGTAATCATTGCAGGAAAACATTTAGCAAGATATTCATATCAAATCATTGTCCTTGTCCCTATTACCAGACTAAACAACAGATGATTCAGCAGCACCCAAGTCTCCCCATACCCTCACCCACTCCTATCCCAGTGAAGAAGGTGAGCAACACTGTGTTCTATGACATGACAGTTAGCATCATTGCAGGGAGTCTGTGGATCTCTCTGTCTCTCTTGCTTTTTTTTACAGTTCAAAAAAAGAGAAATATTTATTCATTACATAAATTTAAACACAAATTATTTCTCACTTAATGATCATTATGAAATAATAAAAGATTAGAAACAGCCTACTGTCTGTACTGGTTGCTGGACAGTTGGAAAAAGTGAGTAGCTTACCTCAACCTGCATGCAAGTGATATTAATATTGATACATTCATTTAGATTATGACTGTTAAATGACATCTTTAGATACAGGCTTATTATTTTAATTATGAACATGGCCGGAAGTTGACTATGCAATTGTGTCAAATAGTAAACTGCATCCTGTAGACTTGGATGTACAAATCACAAGCAGTAAATATTGTGCTAGTAGTAGTAATAAACTACAAGAAGCAAGTTAAAAGCCTTTAATTTCAGTTATGTAAAATGTTTGATGGGACAGTTAGGTCCTCCAGAGGTGATGACAAATGAGGACCAATTGATTTTTTGTCATGGGGCCCAAAATTCCTGGCGGCGCCCCTGTCACCATGTGAAAGAGTTTTGCAAAGCTCTGACTGCTGCGTGGAAGAGAGAGAACACAAAAAAGAGAGAGCAGGGAAATCTCTAAGACGATAAGTGAGGAGATACCTGAACACCCTCCACAGAAGTGTTTCAAAGGAAACACACACTCACTGAGGTTTATGAACAGAGCGCTACCTGGAAACAGATCACAATCTCTCATCGGTTTCTAAACAGCCTGTATGTAATGAGCTGCAGGTTATTCTTGATGAACGGGTGTTTTTTGAGTCAGGATACAGGTAACAGGATAGAGACACAACATAATGTTAATGTGTGTTTTTCTTATTAAAACACATGCAGAGCAGGGCATATTCTGGGACAAACAGCTGTAAAAGACCTCCACAAAAACAGTCTGTAGTTATTTTTTTAACAAACATACAACATTGCCATAGTTCTTAGATGACACATCCTCTAAAATGCACCAACAACACAAACATGGCCGAGTTTAAGTTCACTGACTGGAATTAACTAAGTTGACACTGAGCGCACAGCTAGGGGCTCCCATCTGTCACCAAAACTGCTTTTGGTAGTGGCTGTAAACAAGGAACCATAGCTTTTTCTTCACTGATGAGGTTACTACTAGATTCAGCCCTGAGGGTTTCTGCTGAGCAGTGAATAGCAGCATGCATGTATGTACATCACCATAAATCTACTGCCAATGCCAGTACTAAAGAGTTGTTGGGTTTTTTTTTTCGTTAGTCTGATTTATAAAAGAAATAAAGAAAAGGACAGAAGGCGAGCAAGCCAAAGCAGAGAATGAGAAACAGGCAGACCAGAAATGAGACGGTAAATTTCAGTCTGCTTTCTCTCAGAAACAGTGAGAGGCGACTGGAGGTAGGAGAAGGAGACAGTAAGAATGAGAGTGCAGATATTAGTATATTTATTGTGACTCACAGAAAGAAGCAGCTGTCACTATGACTTACTGTAAGCTCATCTGCTTCAGCGCCGCAAGCTTCTGCTGTGCCTAAGTGCGCGAGAGCCAGTGTGTTTGTTTTAACATGTCAGTGTGGCTATGTAGGTCTCATCAGCTGACTTAGAAGACTATTGTACCATCACTGAATTAATGGTGACCTCGCCATAGCCATTTTGGTGTTGATTTAGAAAAGAGTAGAACTGAACAATCTTACTTATGGATTGGACAGACTGAAATCTTTTGTGTGTATTTACAGGGATATCACAAGAAGCAAAAAATGAGAGAGAGAGCGAGAGAGAGAGAGATTATAACACACACTCATTGCGCTGAGGAGCTCCTTAAAGGACAGGATGCTCCAGTCAAAGTGTGTGATGGAGAGTTATCGCAGGTTATTCCTTCCTGCAGCTGTCAGACTCCACAACAGAAACTTCAGTGTGCAATAAACTATATTTATATGTATATGCTTTACACATGTATATAGAAAATAACACTTGAGTATATTTCTTTTTTAACTCAAAGGGCATGAGCTACTAAAGGTTTGCGTGCGTCTGTCAAATGAGGAACGCAGCATGCGCAATCCATTTAGCATATTTGCCTTCATGAATATGCAGAATGTATGTAGACCATCAGACCGCACAAAATTCTGGGAGGAGCAGATGCAAATGGAATCATTTAGCATCCACAACGAGATTTACCAAACCAGGAAACCAGTTGTGGTCGCTATTTTGCATCTTCATGTAGCACGTTTGAAAGGCACGTGCTAACTAGTACAGTGTTTCGCACAAATGGCTGCAGTCATTGCATGGAGAAAGAGGCAAAAGTGTTTTTCTAGTGACGGTTTTGATAAATGATTAGGTCAAACATGGAGCAGTCACAAAATTTATCTCTTTGTGTTATTGATTTTAAATTATTTGAATCTTTTTTTTTTCATTTCAAATACATTTTCTTACATCTGTAAAGCACTTTGAATTGCCTTGTGTATAAATGGTGTTTTACAAATAAACTTTTTCTGCAGTTCCCCCAAACGATAGGTGAAACTCCATGGCTTCAAACTTCATTTTTCATCTACAACCACTCTGCTCTCACAAACTTTCCATGGTGACAGCAGATAGCGCACACAAAATCCTCGTCAAAAGAGGGCAGTCTGCACCACTTTTGCACCTGTTATCAATCGCGCACGCAATGATAGTAGATCACCCGCAACATGCACACGCAACTTAGCGCTCGATATTTGGGATCTTAGTAGATCAGGCCCTAAGTTTCTTATCCTTTTTTTTTTCTTTTTGTATTTATGCAGCTGTAATTTGGAATATCTGATTTTATAAGCAAATGAAGAGGTTTTAATAACACAAATTTCAGTAAAAAGTAAAAAATGGTAGCCGGACACTACGTGCTGTCAAGGGAGCCTTGATGGCCACCTAGGACAGGCAGGGGTGGTGGATGGCACAGGATTACAGAAGCATCGGCTTCAGAGTAACAGCAGAGGCCACAGGGAGCAGACAGGCCCTGTGAACCTTCTGTAAAGACTGCACATTTATTTATTTTAGTGATTAAGTGAGTCATTGATTTGGATTTTGAAAATGTTAACAAAACAATAAAAAAAAGACACTTTCATGCCGTTATTATAATATTCACTTGCATGAGTCAAGTTCATTTTACATGCAAACATTAGTGGAAGAAAAAGCCAGGCCATGGAGCGCACTTTTACCTTTAGGAGGATCACAATGGTTCAGTCTTTCTCCAGCCTAACATGAAATGTGGGTGTCACAGCATGAGGAAGGTATCATCAGCTGGCAACAACACACCACTACTGTTCAACTTGACCTCAGAGGAGGGTTTGTGTGACATTTCTAAACAGCATGTATCTGCCATTGCTGCTTTATCATGGATTTATAATGAGTGGAGCACTTTCCACAACAGCTGGAGCAGATGTTGTGAGAACAGCAGGTCCCATGACTCTTCATCAGCTGTGGGGGCTTTGGGATTACTTGTCATTTATCCAACAAGTCCTCCAAGCCAAACAACCACAGAGGTCATTTATTCCCACCAGCTAATACAACCTACAGGAACACTTGGGAGCAATAAACAACTGCCTCTGCTGACGGCAGGTAACAGGTATTGTTTTTTTTTAAACGTCTCGGGATAACATTTGTCATGAAATGGCGCGGTGCAATTTAGATTGATTAACCTGCAAGATCTTACACATAAAACACATGGTTTATGTCAAGAAGAGCTTTGCTTTGACCTGGTTTAAACTTAAATAGTACATGGTCACCTCTGCTTTCTGCCATTATTATCTCATTACTTCCTGCCTTCTGAATTATTTGAGTGAATGAAAGTAAATCTTAGCAGCATTTCAATCCAAGACTACTCTTTTAGGGCGGCACAGTGTTGTAGTGGTTAGCACAATCGCCTCACAGCAAGAAGGTCAGGGGTTCGAATCTGGGTCAGGGCGTTTCTTTGTGGAGTTTGCATGTTCTCCCTGTGTCTGCGTGGGTTTATTCCGGTTTCCTCTCACATCCCAAAAACAGGCAGAAGTGGGGTTAGGTTGATTGGCCACTGTCAAATTGCCTGTAGGTTTGAATGTGAGCGTGGATGGTTGTTCATCTCTTAATGTCAGCCCTGTGATGAACTGGCGACTTGTCCAGGGTGTCCCCTGCTTTTGTCCGAAGATGCTGGAAAAGTCCCCAGGAACAGGAATAAGCGGTAGAAAATGGTTGCACCACTCTTTTTTAAAGAGGACAATGAGGCTTATGTCTTTGTATTATATACAAGATCACATCATACTGTATAATACTATGTCCTAGCATAGCCCATTCAGTCCTGTCAATTCTGTATCATTTTACAGTCCAAGTCCAAGTTAATCTGAAAGTCATGTAAAGATATTAAAGATATTGTCTATACCTTGATCCATGCCTTCATAACATCCAGACTAGATTATTGTAACAGTCCTCAATAAACTCCAATATATTCAGAACTCTGTTGCCCGCCTGCTCACCCTCACCAACTCCCGAGAACACATCACCCCTGCCCTGGCTCCCCATCTCACACCACTTACAATTCAAAATCCTCCTGCTCACCCACAACTCACTCAACAACCTGGCCCTGACCTACCTCAGACCTCCACCACTACACCCCTCCCGTGCCCTCTGATCCTCAGAGGGAACTCTTCTTGCCCTACCCCCTCGGACCAAGCACCAAACTTGAGGGGACAGAGCCCTCTCCGTTGCTGCCCCCAACCTCTTGAACTCACTCCCCAAACCCATCCAAGACTGTACAGACCCCCATACTTTTAAATCACTCCTTAAAACACACCTTTTAAAATGGGCTTTTAACCTGTAAACTGTTCTTTTATTCTCTTTTCATGTTATGTCCTTTTTAACCTTTTACATTGTTGGTGTATTACTCCAAATTTTTCTGTATTTAAATTGTGTTCCTTATAAAGCGTTTCTGAGCACTTGTAAAAGCACGTTATAAATACAAATTATTATTTTTATTATTATTTAGTGAAGAGGAGTCAGAGAGGAAGTATAGAGTCGAAAAGAAGTGCATCCTACCCCCTCTTCAAACGGCTGTGTAGGTTCTCATTCATTCAGGTCATGGTCGTCTGGAGTTTTTTGAGGATGTCTTACCTCTCTTCCAAAAGGCTTCTCCAGTTCTGCAGGTCTCCTCTTTAAATTTTTGCTGCGTTTTTACCCACTTTTAACCTAAATGTAAGAAAGCAATAGACAAACTGCCCATTTACAAGCCCAGTTTCCTTTGCATGTATTTTATTCTGTAAGGGGACAGTTCTGCGGAATATGTGGTACCAAAAAAAGTGTAATAAGAGTAATGTGTGGCCTCATTTAACGAGTCCACATAGGTAAATACAGCGACTGTGGAAAGAGAAAACTGTAAGGCCAGGTGAACAGAGATGTGAGGTGACATTGAGACGAGCATTAATAGTCCCAGGGAAAATAAGAAAAAAAAAAAAAAACAATACCCTAACAGGCTCAGCAGATGGTGCTTCTGTGGGGTCTGAATAAGTTTATTGTGGCATATGCTTCCCATGGTACCAGGTTTTGTGGCAACAGAGGGATTAAGGAATGACTGGGTTTTCAAAACAAAATCAAACACAACCAAATGCTTAAAACTGACAGATAAGTGACGCATTTATCACCTTCTAATTCATCTGTTGTTTGTTTACATATTTGCCTGTGCAGGTCATACTAATTTCATAGCAATCAAGAAGCAATTTCAGCCCATAATTGTTGTTCAATACAATCCGACACAACAGAGTGTGATGGCTGGTTATGCAGTGGACTGTTAGGAGGACCATCATGACTCATTTCACATGATGATGATGGTCAATTTAAAGCTGAGCACCAAGATGATTAGCCAATTCATGTGGAAAAGGAAAGACAAAGAGAAGGATAATATATGGGCAAGTAACACGAGAATCATCTTCCAGGTCAATGTATGAGAGGAGATATGTGATTATCCCACCTTTACTGCTGTGCAGCTGGTTTGATCTGCAGGCAGGTGGCCTTGAGGTACGCGTCTGTGACTGAGATGCGCCAGAAGGCTGTTTTTATACTCTGTAGTTTTCTGAAAGGTTGTTTTACAGTTCATTCATAGAGACACATAGAGTTTGAGCCTATTATCTTTCCCATAAATGTTGTTTTTGCCAGAGATGCATTTTCTCAAACTTATAACCTGTAGTCAGTAATGATGAAATGCTAACCCTCTTTGTTTTCACCTTAAAGTTAGGGTAGACAGGGTCTCAGAAGTGACAGTATTGGGGAGTTATTTTGAATGTAAACACTACCCCTCCCCACCAGTTCTCCCCTCAGCTCCTCCTCTCCCCTCCCTTGCTGCTCCAGCAGGCCCCAACCACAAACAGACACTCGTTCCGACTCCCTAGGCAATTTACTAGCAGACTAGTAAATTATAATTATCATTGACAATAACATCAGCAAAGACTTGAACAACTTTTGTCACAACAGAGTCAGCAGTAGTAATGGTGCATACAAGATGACACATAAGATAAAATATAACATAAATAAGTCCTCTTGGTCAGATGTACATCTTGTGGGGCCTTTCTGGTGAACAAACTCGTTGCTCTGGACTTTCTGTTATACAGCTTGCGGTACCTAAAATGAGGAGAAGGAGAGTGTGGTATGAAGACAGTACTCTGTCTAAAATATCTGCAGTAGTTATTTATCTGTAATCTTTCCAAGCTGAGGGGAGCTGGGCGGGCGCGGGCGCGGGGCAAGACTTGAAGGCATCTGATTGGTTCTTTACATTCGGATCGAATGCAATGATTGGTCAAAGTTTTTACAGTATTGCGGCTGCCACAGATCTCGGATTCTCTTCCTTTCTCTTTCTGAATACATAATGAATTGACTGCTCTCAGAGTGGAAGAACTATTTCATCCACTATGACAAAAAGTGTCTCTGAACATCACTACCTACCCTACCTTTAAGTCAGGGGAAAGGGTGAAACATGATAACTTATAAGATGTTACATGCCTTGTTCTCAAACCAGGCAACCTGAAATGCAATTACTCTGTAAAGAATGTCCTAAAAATTTAAGTGCGCTTTTGGGCTCCAATTTTTTTTTTCCTGATTATATGTCAAGTATCAATGCATGAAAGGAAAGTACAAAGCTTCTGTTTCCATAAATTGAAAAAAATATATATATATATAAACCTTTTTCCATTCATTTTTAAATCTGAATTAAAAATGTTTCTCAACACAATCATAAGATTTCAGTCAAAAAGCACAAGACATTAAGTTGCATTAAAAAATGTGAATATTTGGCAATTCAAAGCAGAAAATTCATGGGCTTGATAGTGTGACCCCAGAAGGTCTGCGTACATCAGATGCACAAGCAGCCATCACAATAAATTTGCGATGTGTCAATTTTCTTATACGCTGTCGGGTATAACAAGCTTTGATAATTTTCTTCTAACTTCTAACTGTTCACGTCTCCTTGTGTTTGGTTTTTGAAAAATTCAAGTGTATTATATCTGGTGAACACATACAGGATACAGGATCAAGATAAATAATTTCACAACTTTTTCCACCTTTAATGTGACCTATAATCTGTACAATGCAATTGAAAAGCAAACAGAAATCTTTCAGGGAGGTGAGATAAAAATAAAGAACTGAGATCATGTGGTTGCATAAGTGTGCACACCCTTTAATAAGTGGGGATGTGGCTGTGTTCAGATTTAGCCAATAACATAAAAACCCAGGGTTAATTGGAGTCAGCACACACCTGTCACCAATTAAAGAGCCTCTGATCAACTCCAAATAAAGTTCAGCTGTTCTAGTAGTTTTTCCTGACATTTTAGTAGCCACATCTTCCAGCACAAGCCATGGTCTGCAGAGAACTTCCAAAGCATCAGAGGGATCTCATTATTCAAAGATATCAGTCAGATACCATTGAAGTGAAGACCATCATCATCAAGAGAAAATACGGCACATTGGTGACATCACCAAGAACAGGATGTCCGTCCTGTTCTTGGTAATATACACACACAAACACACACACACACACACACACACACACACACACACACACACACACACACACACACACACACACACACACACACACACACACACACACACATATATATATATAATGATGCGCTTAAACCAAGAGGTTGCTGCAAGTCTGGTCTCTCTGCATTATCTGTAATTTCTGAAATTTTTGCTAGATTTTTTTTCATATTTTTGTTGTCATTTTGTTGGCTGCCGATGGATACTTCTGCTGGGCGCAGAGTTCACTCAAGAGAAGAGCTCCTTTCATTGAGGAAAAGCAAATCTGGGCAACGACATACAATTCCAGAGGACATCAGGAGGTGTTATTGTGGATGGTGTGCTGGTGCAAAGGTGAAGGCAAAGCTGAATGCTAGGAGGTGGCGATATAAACCCTTTCTTCCATCAATCATCATGGGAAACGTCAACTCTCTGCCCAACTAAAGTGATGAGCTGGAGATATTGCTGAAAACTGAGAAAGCATACCGTGAGTGCAGTCTCCTGTGTTTTACTGAAACCTGGTTGAATCAAAACAACTCGGACTCCAGTGTGGATCTACCTGGTTTCACTCTCATAAGGTCAGACAGAGATGCTCAAGCTAGTGGCAAGAAGAAAGGAGGAGGTCTGGCTTTATTTGTCAACCAGAGATGGTGTAACCCTTCACACATAACTGTCAAGGAGAAGTTGTGTTGTCCAGATATTGAACTGTTGGCAGTTGCTCTTCGGCCATATTATGTTCCAAAAGAATTTAGTCATATCATAACAGTAGTTCTTTACATTCCACCCAGATCAACTGAAGAATGTTGCAATGTTTTGCAAAATTGTGTTGCCAGGCTACAGACTCAACACCCTGAGGTACTAATAATAATATCGGGAGACTCCCTCTCCTCTCACCTGACTGGTAGTACAGTTCACCAACTGTGTGAATCCAGAGAAAACATGACCCTGGATCTGCTGTATGCCAACGTCAAAGAAGCCTACAGAGCCACTGTCTTATCACCTCTGGGCAAGTCAGATCATAACTTGGTCTATCTGCAGACCTGTTACAGACCTTGTGTGCTGAGGCAGCCTGTGACCAAAGTCAAAATCAGAAGATAGACACCTCAAGCCAGTGAAGCTCTAAGGGACTGTTTTAAATCAACAGACTGGAATGTGCTGCTGGAAACAGATGTGGATAATATGAACATTGATGAACAGGTTGACTGTTTTACTGATTATGTCAACTTCTGTAGAAGGCTTTTCATATAAGGAGTTCACCTTATCTCTCTCTCTCTATATATATATATATATACATATATATATATGTATATGGAGAGAGAGAGAGAGAGAGAGAGAGAGAGAGAGAGAGAGAGAGAGAGAGAGATAAGGTGAACTCCTTCTATGAAAAGCCTTTTAGAACTGAAAAGCATACAAGAAGTTGAATAATCTCTTGTTTTTAATATCAGGATTGTCAGCCCTGCCCTGTGTTCACTGATACACCAAATATATAAACTAATTTATCATTCTCGTCTAGAGAAGGCCAGGGCACAATATGCGTAAGGCCTCTTTTCCCCAAGTCCCAACATGGGTAAGACCCTTTTTCCCTAAATCCCAAGCAGCCACAACCAGAAATGGGTTAGAAGTTAATTTACAGGGATATTTATTTCAATATTATATCAACAATGAAGGAACTGGTTTAAATTAACTTTAGGGTGAATCAAGGCCAGAAAACAAAAAACAAATACCCGTCTACAAGTGTATAAGGCCTAAATGAGACATACAAGAAGAAGGAACTTAAAAACTAAACCAGAAAATACACATGTGCGCGCGCGCGCACACACACACACACACACACACACACACACACACACACACACACAACACACACACAAAACCAACCACAAGTATTGAACTCTGAAAACACACGAGACAGAAACACAGGGGAACTCTAGACCAAAAATGGAACAGAAAATACAAAAGAAAGAAAAAATATATTACACTGACATATTTTAAGCTAATAAAAAAAATTAGACAGCATATAATAACCACTGTTTGACATACCAGACTTTTTTTCTTTTTTTTCCTCTGTAAGAAACAGTCTATTTATGTTTTTATTGGTGTCATCTGTGAAGTAGAATGAGGTAATTGTATGTTTTTAGTAATCTTGCACTGATCATGTTCAGTGTATTTTTGTGACTAGCTGTCTTCAAACTGTCAGATGTATTCCTTGTATATTTAAAACAAAGACAGTCCCAACCTGAGCACTGTGATCACATCCTTTGATGCAGACACGGACCAAAAATGACCATATGGCATCTTGTTCAGGGAACTTACAAATTGTTTTAAAACATTTTTCTCTGTAACTGTTGGAATCTAAATGTTTAGATAATAAAATGTGGTACACCATCAGGTTAACAGCTATTTCCTTAAAGGTCCTTTAGTTATGTGTTAGAGTTAAATTCTTGTGGAGAAATCAACACATTCATATGAATAGGTGATTGTTAGAGAGCATTATTGTTTCTGAGAACTTCTTCAAGAAAAGTATTTGTAGCTTTTGAATAAGAAATCAGATATCTATGCACAACTTGGCACTTGGCCCACAAAACCCTTGAATATCGAATTGTTACCCTTCTCAACTTCTTTGTTTTCTATTTATTTCCGTGTTCTTACCTGAAGGCATCAAGGTAAAGTCCTCCGTCCATAAATGATTGGATGTTGAGAGGAGAGATGGAGAGAGAGAAATAGCTCTGCAAAATTTATCAGTATTGTTGCCAGCACAGAAGTTATCTACTCTCTGCTAAGGGAGAGTAATCAATTTCTGCCTTTTCTGCTAGAAAACAGCTTCAAACTCTCTGTGCTGCAGATTTATCGGCACCCCCGGCCATTCTTTAAGCAGTTCGGCCCATCTAAATATAATTTATACTTACTTGCTGGTGATATTTTTTTCAGAGCAGAAATAGATGGCCAGTTTAATGTAAGTTACGGTGTGGACCTGCAGCGCCTGTAAAGAAAAAAGGGTAGCAATGAGACAAATGTACTTTAGAAAGGAGAATTTGGCACACATTAAAAGTCATGAGCTGCTGACTGAGAAGGAAAGGGAACAAACTAAACTGTAAGCATGCACACACTGGGCTCTAGTAACACAGCAAACACTGATTGTCCCTCAGACAGATTCTGCAAAAATGTAGACACACACCTGGGACACAGAGCATACCTGTGTAACTGCAGCATCACTCAGTGGCTGCTCCAGTCTGCTTTCCTCCATTTGTTTGTGGTCTCTGTTACTCTGCTTCTTGTGCATTTAACATCCTTGGCATATTTTTACAGTTTTGCTCATTATCTTCTCTCTGTTGTCAACTGGTCAGTTATAAATCACCACCCTAGAGCTCTGTGAGAAACCATATTTCTCAGTGTACACATGATAAATGTCAAAAGATCCATTGTGTTTTTTCCAGTGCTGTCAAGCACTAAGGTTTTTACCAAAGTGTCAACAGGAAGAGTTTAAACATGCCTTGTGCAATGTATGTGTGAACTATTTTTCACTGGTATTTCTCTTGTTATTCAAAACTGATTCTTGTTATGAAGTTTTGACCAATCAGAGTCAAGTATTTAACAGCACGAGGTTAAGTGTGTGTGTGTGTGTGTGTGTGTGTGTGTGTGTGTGTGTGTGTGTGTGTGTGTGTGTGTGTGTGTGTGTGTGTGTGTGTGTGTGTGTGTGTGTTACCAGAAAATCACATGGGCAGCAGGATTGAAGTAAGTAGCATGTAAGCTAGTAAGCACCCTGCTCTCAAGTCACTCAAAAATCTAAAAGCAAATGTTCACATTTTGGAACGTAATTTAGAAACTTCTGAACAAACTATTCTATCTGGGAGAGGTTTTGCTGACACATCAAACATCTATATAATAATCAAGCAATGGTTCATGCTGCCCATAAACCAAAAGATTAGGAAGAAAATACAAATGACTATTCTCTGACACCCTCTGAAATCTTCAGACATGGTGCTGCTACCAAGTCACAAAGGTTTTCATCAGACAGAGATTTTGCAAAGACTGAAGATCTTGCAGGGTCACTGATCACAAGTATAACTGTTAAGCAGAAAACAGGAGTGTCAATGGTTGCCAACAGTGGCAGACCAAACTGAAGACCTCCATAATTTTGACTCATTAAACAGCAGCACCTTAATCAATGTCTGCAAATCCATTGCAGAAAGGAGGAGAGTGTTACCTGATAGCAGCCTTGGGTTGATGAGTTAGTCAAGGAAAAGGGACAAAACACTTAGAAGGACTGAAATTAGCAAGATTAAGTGTTGTGTTGAAAAAAAAACTAACAGCACGTTTCTTGTCTTTCTTCTCCTCCCTGTGGTTTAAAGTGACTGCATGCATCATGCATGTTGCAACCATTAGTCAGCCTTCACATCCCACTCAGCCATCTGCAGAGGAGCAACACCTGCTCACCCTGTCATATAGATGAATTACAGGTAGGTAAAGCCTGAGCATCAGACTGCCAGCACACGCCCACATACAGTCACACACCAACACACAATTATACAATCAGAGGCAGCCCAGGCCATCTGACTGCTTCAACTGCGCATGATACACATTGGATTAGCTCTCAGACATGCATGAAACACACTTACCCACAGTTTACTGAGTGTGTCAGTGGATGAGGAACTGTATGCTGTACGCACATGGTTGCACATTCACAGGCTAAGTCAGGTTAATTCCAAACACTTACAGACACATTCAAAAACATGTTTTTTTTCTCAGTTCTCAAAACCAGAATTATTTTTGACTAACTCTGTCCACATAACAACATACAGATGGTTCAAAATGATTACACAGGCTTGACAGAGGAACTGTGTCCATGATTATTGAATGTCTTCTTGAGCAAGTGGTCATCATAATCAGCTTTCTTTTTGTTGGATGCAGAGTGGAAAATTAAAACTACTAAGCGTGAAATGTTAATCCCCCCTTGCACTGAAGTATATAAATTAAGTAAAGCTCAGTTTTCTTGCAAACATCAAAGACATCTACAGCATTAGGGTTTCCTAAAACTTTGCACTGTACACAAGACTTTGCCTAAAATTCAAATTAGCTTTAGGCAAAAGGCCAGAACCAAGCAGCAACTTTAGGTCTTGAGAAATGAAGCCAACAAGGAATAAAAGTTCAGTTCTCTGAGTGACCACTTGAGGCTGGCTGCAAAAGGTGACAGTTGCCAACAGGCTTCAAAAATCAGCCTCACAAACAAATGACTGGAGTCACCAACACTACACTCCTGTATTATAAAGTCAACGGTAAAAATACTAAGAACAGAAATGACTCCTCAGATATTGGCCTTAGTGCCTGCTCTTAGTGTCTTTAGTTTGTTTTTTACTGTTTAAACGAGGTGGGTTTTTATATCAAAGTCAGTCTGAGAATTATAACTGCTCACGTTTTACACAAAATGAAGGTCTTATTTAGTAACTCCAGCCAATACAGACATTTCATTGTTCTAAGACACGAAGGATCTTTTGTGCCAGTGATGTTAGCATTGATTTAAATGGTTCCTTATGTCTTTATTTAGAGTTAATTTCACCTCTGTCTCTGTGTAAATCAGCCTTACAGAAAAGAAAAAATAAAACATTCAGGGGTATTTTACTTACTGGTGAGTCTTGATGAACATCATTAGACTAAACTTTTAGTGATTAGGAAATAGAGACAGAGCTGCAGATACCCAGTACAACATTTTCAGTCAGTGCAAACTGGAAAGATATCATTTTTCAATTGAAGAAAAACATATGAGGTGTAGGAGTCAAAGAGGTGGAAACAGAGAGAACTATGAATGCTGAACCTAAACCCGACTGGTGAATGTGTCACTGTCAAAACCTCTACACCTCATTCCCTCCATGTTTGCTTTACCCAGAAGCCTGAACCAGACTACTTTCCTTCTGTCTGTCTAAGTTCATGGCGCCATGTTTGCCCCCATCCAGTGAGAGGAAAGACTAAAAAAACAAAACAAAACAAAAAACCTGTCAAATGTACTTACTCCTCTCGTCTGTACTGATGGACAAAGACAAAAAGAGTCCGAGCATAGAGGACAGATGGCAAATATGAGGTACAGAGCTAAGACCTGAGGGCATTTAGGTAAAAAAAATCATGAAACCCCATCCAGTGGAGCACCTCTCCCTTTTTCATCTTCATGTCTGTCTCATTTGCAGCTTTTTATTCATTTACCTCTCCTGGTTCACAGCTTTCCTGCTCTGACACTATGATGTTCATGCAACTGTAGGATGTGGTGATTTGTCAGCAAAGAGTTATGGTTTTGCTATTCTCAGTTCCTGGTTGGTACGATTGGAGTGGACTGTCCAATATGTCTCTGTCACACCAAAGCACCGTCCATAAAGCTTTTCTGTTCCTCTTGAGCATTTTTCTTTTTCAGGCTGAGGGACATTGTGTTTCTTTCTCCGTCTTTCCCTCTCATTTTTGCTTGTTTTATGATGCAGCTTTAGTCATCCATCCAAAACTTCAGCTTGCATGATGTTTTACATCCTCAAATGGGCAAGGGGAAAATTTCTCCATATTAAAAACCGCTTTGAAAGCCGTTCATGTCTGTCGTAAAGGGTGTAAATGTGTTGCAGTGATTTCTCCCTCTGCTCACTGCAGCAGTCATTTCTCCTTTTTTATATTTACAGGGCGGCTCATTCTAGATGTATATCTGCTCTGTTCATTTAGTTGGCAGGTGTGTGTTGTGATCCGAACTGCCAGCAGTCTGCTGTTTGCGTGATTGAGATCTTTACTGAGAGATTTTTTTCCATTTCCACATAACACAATCTGATCAAAGGGACATTGTGTTTAACCCTTGGTTCCTATACCTTATTCGTTTTACGGTCAATGAAGTAAGCTGTGTTTAACATAGGCCCCCTTAAACCTCTATTTTAAACAACAACAAAAAAAAATATGTTATTTCATGCAACAGTTAACTCTTTCTAAACTCAATGGGATAGTGGAACAAATCTGCAGCGGTGCCCAGATGGCAACAGATATACTGGATCCTCCAACACAAGTCACAACTCCTTCTCAGACCAGAGTACTGCCAAGATCTCAGCTGAAGTGACCCGCCTTCACCTGCTATGGGAGGGATGGCTGTTGCAGGCTTGAAGTCAGAAATTCTTCTTACTGTAAAAGCAGACATTTCAACAGTGACACGGCCAAACTGAGGAAGGGCCTTGCCAATGATTTCCAAATTCTCAAAAATGAACTGAAGGCGGTGAAAACGGCGGTAATAACACCACAGCGCCAAAGCCTGAGATTGACTAGGTGAAAGAGGCTAACTGAAGTGCTACAATTGGACAAAGAGCGGCTGATTGATCGCTCAAAGGCTAAGGGCGTTGCTGTTATGATCAGAAAAATCATACAGTTCACAGTATCTTATGTGCAAACTGACTCTGCAGGGCGATATACCATCGTAATAGTAAGATTATACACACTCCCAGTTATTTTAGCCTGTATTTATGCCCTAATGTGGGATGACCCTACACTCTTCACCAATGATTATTGTCTTACTAACCAGATATGCCAACACATGATCTTACACTTGGTGGTGACATTAACAGTGCACTTTCTCCTCATTTGGATAGGAGTATTTCTTGAGGGGCATCCCTATTGAAGTCAGCACACTATTCAGCTCCTCCTGAAGACTGATGGTGTAGTGGCTGTGTGGCGGTTTTGTAACCCCACCTCCAGGGCTTACTGTTACTTTTCCCTACTTCATAAAGACATATGTCTTATGCACGACAAGTCTACCAGTTTTTCACACAGTGGGGGGCAGGCCACAGCAGAGCCAACGCCACTCAACTCTAAAATTGCCTCGATCCTTGGAACAGCCAGTGTGTCCGGTGTGGTTTCACAGGCAGAACTCACAGGGTCCTGAACGGCTCCGCTCCGCTCCACCATGGCCAGCGTATCAAATCCGCAAGCATTATAATCAATGTGAGTCATTCCACAGAATCCGTCTGGCATTCAGTTCCCCTGCGGACTGGCTCTGGCGGCTGGATCAGATATGCAGGGCTTCTATTTTTGGCGTATCAATTCAGTGCAGCACTGCACAAGCAGCAGTGGAAGTTTTATGCGGTTACAGAGTAAAATATCCGGTTAATTTTCAAAATAAAATAAAGTCAATACATTGAACTGTTCTTAACTTGATAAAGGGAGAGGCCAAAATTGTGGGATGTGGGTGATTATAAACACTGTTGTTTATATACATCACCATTTATATACACCAATCAGCGGATCTTATTCTATGACTCCCAGGGAAACATGGGAAAGCTCATGAGATCTCGTCCAGTCCCATGAGAAATGTTGGTAATCTCGTGAGCACTTCTCCTTTGATGGCGGTGGTGGATCGGATCCGATGGGCGCTGTATGCTTGCGGAGCCGATCCCCCTGCTGGTCCAGAGCGGAGCCGTTCTGGATCCTGTGAGTTTAGCCAGTCAGTGAGGGAGCGGTGGGTGAGGCGTAGGTGGAGGAGGTTCCCAGTATGTCTGGCACACTGACTGCAGGCCCACCTGCCCCTAGCGGTGGGTCCTCACCAATAGAGTCCTTCAGACACAGAGGGACACCATGAAGGCAATTAGATCAGTCAGAGACGAACTGACACAAATACGCATGGTCATGCAAAACATTAGATACCAAAAAGATCACAGTGTTGGTTCTACTGGATGTAAGCGCCGCTTCTCACACAGTAGACCATCTCATTTAGTAAATAGACTTTGGCACCTTGTAGACCTCTCTGGTACTGTTTTTAAATGGTTTTGTTCTTATCTCACCGATCAATATATATACTGTATATATGTAAATGTATTAGATGGAAATGGAAATAGAATACAATGATTTTCAAATCCTTTTCAACCTATATTCAATCGAATATACTCCAAAGACAAGATATTGAATTTTCAAGCTCATAAATCTCTTTTTTTTTTTTTTTTTTTTGCAAATAATAATTAATATCATGGCTGCAACAAGTGCCAAAGTAGTTGGGTCAGGGGCATGTTTACCACTGAGTTACATCACCTTTCTTTTTAGCAACACTCAATAAACGTTTAAGAACTGAGGAGACTAATTGTTGAAGCTTTGAAGGTGGAATTCTTTCCCATTCTTGCTTGATGTACAGCTTCAGTTGTTCAACAGTCCGGGGTTTCTGTCGTCGTATTTTATGCTTTATAATGCGCCACACATTTTCAATGGCAGACAGGTCTGGACTGCAGGCAGACTAGTCGAGTACCCGCACTCTTTTACTAAAAACCCACACTGTTGTAACATATGCAGAATGTGGCTTGGCATTGTCTCTCTGAAATAAGCAGGGGCATCGATGAAGAAGACGTTGCTTGGATGGCAGCATATGTTGCTCCAAAACCTGTATGTACCTTTCAGCATTAATGTTGCCTTCACAGATGTGTGAGTTACTCATGCCTTGGGCACTAATACACCCCCATACCATCACAGATGCTGGCTTTTGAACTTTGTGTCAATAACAGTCCGGATGGTTCTTTTCCTCTTTGGCCTGGAGGACACGACGTCCACTATTTCCAAAAACAATTTGAAATATGGACTCGTCAGACCACAGAACACTTTTCCACTTTGCATCAGTTATGAACTGATCATAAACTGTATATACTATGGACAACTTGGTTCTGCCTACCGCCTGTATACGGATTTGAAGCCAAAAAGCTCTCTGTATTTCCGTGATTTTTCTTCATTTCCTGAAACCAGCGCTGCGCAGTAGCACATTCGGCAGGAGAGTCGCCGAGAGTCGCTGTGATGACGCTCGGCTCAAACAGCGTATCCCCTGGGTGAGCTACGCAATTCCTGAACGCCCATAGGCTGTATCAGGTGTCAATCATAGAAAACATGAACCCCCTAATAACCTTTAAAAACTGAGCTTCAAAGAAAAAAAGAGGACTTGAGCACAAACCAGTCTTACAATAATTACATGTGAACATCACAAGCAGGGGGGAGAAAAATGTATATTCTGTGTAATAAATTTCTAAAGTTTGTCCACAGTCCCATAAGCTTTGCTGGCGGAGGCGGGATTTATACTGCAGCCCATCAACAGAGGGTGCTGTTCTCAGAGTGGCTTCACCCAGCAAGGAGGCAGATGCTGTCCATTCTATATACGGTCTATGGCAGTGATTTCTCCAGATTCTCTGAACCTTTTGATGATGTTATGGACAGTAGATGTTAAAATCCCTAAATTCCTTGCAATTGTACTTTGAGAAACGTTGTTCTTAAACTGTTGTTCACAGAGTGGTGAACCTTGCCCCATCCTTGCTTGTAAATGACTGAGAATTTGGGGGAATTCCCAATTAGCCTGCTCACCTGTGGGATGTTCCAAATAGGTGTTTGATGAGCATTCCTCAAATTTCTCAGTATTTTTTGCCACCTTTCCCAACTTCGTTGGCACGTGTTGCAGCTATGAAATTCTGAGTTAATTATTATTTGCAAAAAAATAGTGTAGTGTATTCAATTAAATAAAGGTTGAAAAGGATTTGCAAATCATTGTATTCTGTTTTTATTTATGTTTCAGAATTTCCCAACTTTAATGGAATTGGGTTTTGTATATATACTTTTTTTTTTTTTCATATGACAGGCTTTAGCTGCTTGCTTATCTTCATCAACTTGAAGCAAGAGAAGAAGATCTGCGAGGGTAGGGAGGTTGTCTCTTCTCTGCTCTAGCTGGAGGTCACTGATGAGAGCACTGCCCCAGCATTCAAAACAACTTGAAGACGATGCAAATAATCTGAAGGTTCTTCACCAGAATTCTGAAAAGTGTTCAAATTTTGCAAAACACTCATCTCCATCTTCTACAGTACCGTATGCTGAGTCTAAAGCTCAAGGTAAGCTTTGGGCAAAGCTTGGGGACCAAGTTGTTTGAAGACATCAGGTGCAGAAGGTGACATCAGACTATATACAATCTGCCGTGAACACTCCAAATCGGACACAGAAGGATCAGTGAGAAACAAATCCACATTGGTTCTCCAGGTATCATAATCAGTTTCATAACTGACGTGTGATTTTTCCAGAAAAGCTCTAAGGCGGGAGAAGCCATAGACATGGGACATAGCATTATCAGTCTTGACAATGTGCTCTATAACAACTTTCTGGATCTCAAGTGGGCTAACTGCATCTCCTGGGAGAGTAAAAGGACATTTTTCTGTGGTAGGAAGCACAAAGAAAGAAGCAAAGTCAGTGGTCAGACTTTTTTGGGGTTTGTTTGGTTGAGGTTGAATTTGAGGGTCTGGCACTGGAAGTTTTATTTCAGGTTTTATTGGGAGATGTTTTTTCCTGTTTGAGATCAGCTTTTGACTCCATGGAGGAAGGGGTTATAACAGTTAGCTTTGCAAGTTCCTCTTGAAGCAAAGTCTCTAGGGGTTTTTCTGTTAACTTGGAGATTGCCTGCAATTCTTCAATGCAGCTCTTGGTGGCCCTTGTGCAAGCAAGTGGACTGTAAGTACCAGCTAATGAACATTCTTGAAGGTGATATCTAGTTTAGATAGACTATGGAAAAGGCAGTAAAGATGAAAGTGACTACATTGCAGTACCAAAATTAAACTCTACGATTGCACTTCCATGATGCTCAGACTTGGGATTATCAATGTGCAAAACCCTATTAATGAAACCAAGTACTTGGTACTTTTCTAAGTACTTCACTGAGTTTGGCACGTTTATGGACTCTTGCATCACAGTTTCCATGATTGACACGTAATATGTCTATTAATTTTCAAAACCAGCTCCTGGCTAGCTTGCCAATTTATGTAACACTTATGAAATATATACTATATTTATATTATGATATATTAGATAATGCTTTATGAATTTTAAATTTAAATTATAAATGATTATACATATAACACAAGGTAAGATTTGGGCTAGTGGTTTGGCTCTGGAGCTGGGTAGAAATTAATAGACACAAATGAAAAATGTGACTTATACCAACTGTATTGAAAAACTCAAAATACTTGATAGAATACCAGGAAAATACATTAAAAATAAAGCAAAATTTTGAAATGCAAATAAAATATATCAATCAAATTTCAATTTAAATGCACTGAAATATCAAAAAGTTCCTTTTAAGTTAGACCAGTTATCTTTTTTCAGTTAAACAAAATTCACATTTAATAAAAAACAGTTCAATTCAACTCACTGACCCCAATTTACTGAGCAGACCTAATAAATAGCATACCATAGGGCAGTACATTTAAAAAATCTTGCCTCATAAACAAGTTCATTTTTACAAACCTGTTTGCCAAAGCAACACAGACAAACACTCTTGTGTCCTGGTCCCAGAAGCTATGAATTGAACCGAATTCTGAAACGTTCAGCTGTGTATCAGTTCAGGAGGTCAGAGTCGCAGACTTCTCCAACAAAATGATTCAGTGATTTGGTGAACAAATCTTTTTAGTGAACTGGTTCTAGTGATTCAGTACATCCAAAAGAACTGCCGTGCCCATCACTAGGTCCAAGGTTAAGTAAAGAATGTCCAGATCCAGTTTCCTGTGGGTTCATTTTCTTTTTTTTCCCCAAGTTGGGAAAAATTGTGGAGGAAAGTTTGGTGAGATCTCGTTGTTGAGATACTGCTGCTGCTGCTCACAGACTGAGTTGGTGTGAATGACTGATCAGGGAGGTGGTTAAGAGCTGGTGAGCTGCTGCACAGAGGGAACGAGGAGGTTCACTGGTGAGAGGTTGTGATTTGTGCTCTATGGGTTTGACTGACAGGGAAGGTGTCCAATGGGGGGTGAAGGGATGAAAGGGAGCAGAAATATGTGGATTGAGGATGAGGATATGAGGATTTTGTAACCTGGGTTACAATTAACTGTAAAAAATTACATATTTTATTTTTGATAAGATCCTGCAGACAGTTTTCATTGAACTTGGCTTCACTGCAGAGGGATGGTGTGTGTGTGTGTGTGTGTGTGTGTGTGTGTGTGTGTGTGTGTGTGTGTGTGTGTGTGTGTGTTTGTCTGCATGTGTGTGTGCATGCGTGTGTGTGTGTACGTGTGTGTTGTAGAATAATTTAGATAGTTGATCATTACCATTTCCAAGGAGCATTTACAGAGAATGTCTTGATTTTGAATCCCTGATCACGATGCATGCACACAAAGGGAACTTAATTGGGAAAGACTAAAGTGCACTTTCTTAACAAAGTTTCCTTTTTTTTAATTCCATCTCTTGCTGAAAACAAATCAGTTCAGTGTTATCTCCTAAGGGACTCTATCTTTTTTTGCACCCTCTGTTTGGTCCTTCCCTCTGCCTAACTGAAGCACATTGTTTCTATCACCTTCTACCTCTCTTTCCTGCCTCGGTCTCACACTTTTATTCAGAGTGTACTTTTCAAAGTCATCTTACCATTGTATTCAATGGCAATGCAGCAACACAGCTCTCTGCATCCAGATTTCTGGCATTTTTGAAACAGAGGTACTGTTTTTTTTATTTTTTAAACTTTCCACAGACGTGTCTCTCACTATGTACGATGTGCTAACCTTTACAGAGAAGAGACATACTTCTTACCTGAAAAAGGATGCCGGGAGTAGTGGCATTCAGAAGAAACTTCTCCCTAACTTTTTTTATTTTTTTTCTGAACATCTTACTTTGCTGAATAACAAACAAGTACATACAGTTTCTTACTTCCCAAAGGCCAGCACAACAAGTGCTAAAAGACTCAAATTTAAAACTGTTCTGGACTAAAATAGAACAAAACAAGAATCATTCAACCCTGTACTTTAAACTCAGCATGTCACTACTGCCGTGTGGTACTAATCTTTTGTGTCCTGTTCCTACAGACATATGCTTTCAACCAATCAAGATTTTATACAGAGAAATGAAATAAAAAAAAAATAAAAAAAACTCACTTCAGCCAGCCTTGGAGTTAAAGAGAAAAAGGCGTTAGGCGTGAAATTCTGTATAAAGTAAATTCAATTGTACAAAGCACTGCATGAGAGTACAAGCAGAGAAAAGAGAAGAGAAAAGCAAGTAGGTGGCAGAAAAAGAAAGAGCAGGCTGCAGAGAGGGATAATTTCGAAACAACAGGCATAAAGACTGTGATTTTTATGAAGGGTCGTGTGTGTGTGTGTGTGTGTGTGTGTATGTGTGTGTGTGTGTGTGTGAACAGTCATGGTCAAATGATTAGCCCACCCGTGTTTTCCTCAATTTCTTGTTCACTTTAATGCCTGATATCACCAAAGGTTTATCACCTGAGGAATACAATGAACGTAACTAAAAATTCAGCTTATTTCACGATATTTTATGTCCTGTTTGACACACATGAGCTTAATTGTATTCCCAGGCTGGTGCGGCTTTATGCACAGGCTGGCCTAGGCTGCAGCCCAGGGGCCCCACATGTGCAGGAGTCCCAGATTGGCTTCACTATTTTACATTTTCCCTAAACAGAAACAGCAAAAATGACCTGTATTGGCCCATAAAATAAATAAACAATTGATTGAAAGGATGTGACCCAAGTGTTAAATCTATCCAATCTGTTGTATTGGTCACATCATGTGGCATGTCAGTTATTTTTAGTTGTCATTTGACAGAGAGAAAGTATGACAGTGGACCCTCCAAACAAAAACAGCAACAATCAAAAGAACAACATGATGAAGAGCTTAAATTAACTGGATGTTTCAAGCCTTCATTGAGTCAAAAAGTTGCAATCGCGGAGGATGAAACACCTATAGATGCACAGGGATCCTTAGCTAGCTCATCTCCTCTGTAATATTTAAGGGAATTTTATGTCACAAAACGCATATCATATATAATGTGGGAGTGCGCATGTATTTGGGTTGCTTCCTTGTCACTCAATCATGGGTAAGAAAGGCTGTGGGCCTGCATAGGGTTAGGGTCTGCTTTCCTCACTGCGATTTGCCGCTGGGAGGCTGATAGGGAGATCTGTCTAACACACAGTCCAAAGAAATACTCCATAGCTACTATATGTTGCTTTATTTACAAAGAAGGTTGCCATAGCAAAAACGTGTTGTCTCTCCTCAATCTCTAGTCGTGGTAACAGCTGCTGTTTGCTGAGGTTGGAACACTGAGCTATGAGCTGTTTCGGTGTTAGCATTGACTGCGGTTGATGACTGCGGTTGACACTGGTTGATGTAACTTGTTTCTTACAGATGTGTGTCATGCAGGAGTCGAACCCCTACCTGCTTGACTAAATACATATATATGTGTGTGTGTGTGTGTGTGTGTGTGTGTTATTAACTTGTTCTGTCTCCACTTCATGCGCCATTTTCAATTTCTACCATAGCCAATAGTTTTCCATCTTTAACCTTTGTTGTCTTTCCTTTACTGCCCCCATTTTTTCATCCGAATATTCTTATATTCTTACTTCTTTCTATGCATAATTGTGATCAAAGTTAGTCCAATAGGTGGCTCAGCCTTAACTCACAGACTGTGAGCTCTGCCTCTGTGACTTCAGATTCCTTTGGCTCTTCTCCTTGGCTGTTTTGTTGTTGCTCAATTTAGATCAGTCTAAGTTTACCTTGATGCCAGTGATTTGTGGAACCACTTAAGGGCTGTTTACACTGAAACACAAACTTTATTACTACTTTTCGTGGCTGGTTGTTTTCATTAAACAGTATTTGAGTGGCTGAATGTGCAGCCAGTCAGGTAGTTTGTACTTTAAGTCCCATTGAAATATGCCTTTATGCACAGGAAAAGGTGTTCTTCATTGTTGTTTCAAATCAAAGTGCCAACTAGAAACATGCTTATACAGTATCAAAATTTACCATTTTAAATGAGACTGTTCTTGTCTGAATAAGGCTGTTTTTTTACTGTAGGGTTACCCATTCCCCCTGCTTTCTTATTCTTGTACTCTTTCTGACTGTCAGCTGCTGTTTGGTCCATCTGTCTCTCTGTTGTACATCCTTACCCTGCAGTTCAATGGTTCTGCTGCCCAGTTTTGAAAAATGGTGTGTATAAGATGCTTTCAAGCCTCACACATTTATTACCAGCTGTGACCTGAACAGCCTTAGATACTGAGGATAACAGTAATAGCAGTATGATATTAATAATTCAAAAGAGGGTTGCTTCAACATCCTGCTGACAGCACATGGACAAGAGACGGGTAAACTATACTGTAGGTAAGAACTAGAATAGTACCGCAACAAAAGCAGCTCAAACCTGTGAAACTGATACAGCCACAGCTGACAACAGACACAAAGAAGCTAATTATTGATGTGGTGCAGCTCCTGAGACTAGGATCACAGAACAAGGGCTGACAAAGTAATGAGCCAAAGCTGAGAGAGACAGGGAGACACACTGAGGACATCTAATGGACAGGTAAAGAAAGACAAGTAAAAAAAAAATAGAATAAATAAATTAAGACTACTGACTGTAGCAGTCAAAAAAGCTACAAAATTGCAATTAACAGGAAATTCAGATTGATCTATTCCTGGTGTACTTCTCAGCCATCTAGTTGAGATATTTCTGCAACTGGCAGGTAAAAAAGATAATCATAACTGTAATAACGTTTTCAAATGACTGTATCTGGTGAAAAGGATATGGACAAAGACACTGCATAGAAATTGTAACATGATTTTAAGAGTGCCAGAAAAAAAGGCATCACTAAAAATACCATATTTTACAGAGGAGTTCTTATGTGTTGGTGTTGTAGTCTTATTTAAAGCAGTGTTTTAGTACTGTATGCTCTAGTGTTCAAACACTTGAGTTTGATATTGAGTCTGGTGAGATCCAGATTTTTATACCTGATATATTTTTTTGTATTTCTAAATAACTGGGTCTGGGTCGGCTTCCACCAGATGCACCAAGGTCTCTGCTGAACAAGACTTTCATCCTGAAGGATTATTTCACCTCGCCAGCCCTGGATTTTCTGTTCTGTAATTTACTGGCCGCCAAAGTACAATAAGGACTTTATTGATCAATTCTCTGACATCTTGGTTGGTAGTGCCAAATTATGACACTATCTTGATTGTCAGAAATTTCAGTGTTCATGTCTGCTGTCCACAGAAGCTGCTGGCTTAAGACTTTTTAAATATTGTTGACGCTTGTAACCTTGTGCAACATGTTTCTGGAGCCACACAAGAGCACACACTAGACCTGGTTTTATCGTGTTGTTTACCGATTATGTCTCTTCAGGTATGCAATGCCTTTTTTTCTGACCATATGCCTGTATATTTTGAATTTATTCCACCTGGTCTGGTGACTAAACCGTGTGCTCCTACAGGTGCTGGATAGTCAATCCTTCCACAGCGGCTCTCTTTTCTGCTGCCTTTAATGCAATGGTGTCTGGCACTGAGCCACTTAGTGGACCAAACACTGAACAGTTAATCTCCTGCTTCCTTAGCACTTGAGGTAATATTCTTGATGATGTCACTCCTCTTATAATGATGCCCCCAATCCCATATCCAAGCTGTGGCTGAATGACATCACTCGTGCTGCTAGACACGAGTGCAGACAGGCAGAGCGCAAGTGGAAAAAAAAAAAGGTTCAAGAGTCTTATGAAATCATGAGAGACACCTGGAAAAAAAATATCAGAGTTGTTAAAGAACACAAGACTACACATTTTTCTGATATAATTTCAGTCAACCTTCATAATTCACGCGTTCTTTTAAAACTTGATTCCATTTTAAATGCCTCTCAGTCCAATTATCTTGAAGCTTCACCTGAGGTCTGTGAAAAATGTCTTTGCTTTTTTATTGATAAAGTCAGAAATATCAGAGCACTCATATCCCCACCTTTGCATGACCCTTATGTTGCTTGCCCACTCTCTGCCCACTCTTCACAAAATTGTCAATCAGCGTAAACCTGCTGGATGTCCCAATGATGTTTTCCCCCCTCGCCTCTTTAAAGAGGTTTGGGTTACCATTGTTCCTATAGTCCAACAAATTATAAACTGCAGTTTTGCTTCAGGCAGTGTTCCTCCTTATTTTAAAAAAGCGGTAGTGGAACCTTTAATTAAAAAATCCTATCTAGATCACTCTATTGTGTCTAATTTCAGACCTATATTGAAGCTTCCTTTTATCTCAAAAATCCTTGAGAAAGCAGTGCTCCTTCAAATCCAGTCTTATTTAGATGATCACGGCATTCTTGACATTTTTCAATCTGGTTCTAAGGCATTTCACAGCACTGACTCTGCACTTTGAAAGGTTTTTAATTATCTTGTACTGACTCTGGTGACTCAACTCTTAATGCTTTTAGATCTAACAGCTGCATTTGTAGATCACACAACTCTCATTGCTCGCCTCGAACACTGTGTCGGTTTAACAGGTACAGCTCTTAACTGGTTCAGGTCCCACTTGTCTGAGAGGTGTTTAAAAGTGAACTTTGGTGACTGTGTCTCTTCTTGTGCCCCCCTACCTGTGGAGTACCCCAAGGCTCTATTCTTGGTCCCATCCTCTTCTCCCTATACCTTCTCCCACTTGGCTTGATTTTTACCATCTGTATGCAGACGACACTCAGAACTACCTCCCATGCTTACTAGATTCTAGATGGCCAACAGGAAAGATGGGATGGTGGGGAGACTGATTTCATTATGAAGTGTTTACACATTGCACTGAAGTTGCCTGTTCACACATTTCACTGGTCACACAATACTGACCTATTGACATATTGGAGACTGGAGACAGCTTACAACCACACCTTAATTAACACCTGTTCCAGAACAATGCTACAAATGCACCAGGAGCATCCCCCACAACTGCTTTGACTTAGAATTGATAGGAGCATTTTCTTATCAATAGAGACTAAAACAAAGGGGAGACATGCACAAACAGAATTTCTTTGTTAGAAAGTCCTGCATTTTGTGATGAGGAGAAAATACTGAGAGTGTTGAAGGTGGTTAGAAATCATTATAAGTAAATGAAAATGTTTAGATACAGCAATATATATTAATATATAGTTTCTAATACAATAAAATATGTAATCCAATATAAGGCTAAGGCTAGAATATGTAAATCATGTGTAGTTTAAAGATATATTGTGAACGTTTTAATTGAAGTTCCTCTCAAGACACTCCTCTCAAAAACAGGGCTGTTTTGGCTACCACTTTGACCCAACGTTGTAATATTGCAACAATTATAAAACAAGCTCTAAATAAAATGTAGGGCATATTTACTGCAACAACTACATATGTTCATGTTCTAGACATTGTAACAAACACAAAAAAATATTCAAAGCATTTTACTTACTTGATTCAGATGAATCCAGTCCAGTAAATCGAAGGGATGTTGCTCGATCAAAAAAATTGAGGTTGTGTGACTTCTTCACCTGAGGGCGGGCCTTATATAAAAATGTTGGATCCAATCGCATTGTGAGAACAAACAATAGGACCAAATGATCATGTAAATTTGGTTGAACTAAAAAAAAAATTATAAATTAGAGTTTTTTTGGGGATAACCAAAATTGTTGTAATCCTGCAACACTGTGTCTTACAGGGTTGAATCTTGGTGTAAAAGTTGACAATGATTTTAAATCGGATCAACAAATTAACTCTGTTGTTAAATCCAGTTTTATTATCTGAGGATTTTGAGTGAATATTTTTAAATCAGTTTAACCTGTTGATGATTTTAAGTGAGTAATTCATGCTTTTATTTCGACACGGTTGGACGATTGTAATGCTGCTTGTCTTTTAACAGGTAAAAGAAAACATGAAAACATAGTATTCATTTTAAAATGTTATTGTTTGTTTTTTAAACGGATCAGCACCACAGTGCATCTCCAACCTCTTAAATGTTAAAACCCCCACACATTCCTGGAGGTCTGCTGATCAGCTTCAACTTGTCCCAATAACTCGTTTAAAAACCTGAGGTGATTGAGCTTTCTCAGCTGTGCCTTCCAAATTGTGGAACGAATTGCCACTCAAGATTAAAACATCCCCCACCCTCCATAGTTTTAAATCATGTCTTAAAACTCCTTTTTGTTCCTTGGTTTTTAGTTCAGCATGAGAGTTGTGGGATCTCTGTCCTTTTATGTCTTTTATGGTCCTCTTATCACTTTTATTCCTTTTATGCTTTTGTCTTTTTATTTCATTCATTTTATTTCATTTTAAATGGTTTTTACCTGCTTTTATTTATTTCCTCTTGATGTTTTCTGCAGTGTTTTATTTTACTGTGCAGTACTTTGGTAAACTTGAATGTTTTTTTTAAAACATGCTATATAAATAAAGTGGATTGGATCAGATTTGACACAGATCCAACCAACCAACCAACCAATTAACAGACCAGCCAATCAGCCAACACTATTAAAGGGATATTCCAGCATAAAATTAAGTTAGGGTCAAACACACCATAACACCGAGTCAGACACCCGTCGAGAGATGAATGTTGCCAACAGCTTGCTTCTCAAGATACACCAATTTTAATAACGGCCGCACGATAGCAACACAAAGAGCCATGCGCTTAACCAAAAAGCCACTCTATAGCCACAAATAATGCTCAGAACAGCACCTAACTTCAGTACATATAGGGTCACTAGCCACCAAATATCTTTTTAGGTTTGCCTAATTTCTTTAGCAAAGAGACTAAACACAACTAACCCACTCTCTTCCAGCAGCTGCTTGTTTGTACGGAGTCCTCTGGGTGAGTCCATAGACTACAGCATGGTGATGCAGCTCAAGGAAGAACATTTATGATTATTTCTTTATCATTTCCTTGAAGTAATAATCACCATATTAATCATTTTGCACTGGAGACGCAAAAGTTATTCTGCCTTAGCGTCTTGGTCTGATTGCATTTCCATGAGGAAATGATCATAAATGTTTTGCTTTGAGCTGCGTCCCCCCACTGCAGTCAATGGACTCACCCAGAGGTCTCCATACAAACAAGCGGCTGCTGGAGGAGAGTGGGTGAGTTGTGTTTAGGCTCTTTGCTAAAGAAATCAAGCAAATCTAAAAAGATGTTTGGTGGCTAGTATTATGGCTGGGACCCTGTATGTACTGTTGATGAAGTTAGGTGCTGTTCTGAGCATTATTTGTGGCTTTAGAGTGGCTTTTTGGTTGAGCTTGTGGCTCTCTGTATTGCTATTGTGCGGTCGTTACTAAAGTTGGTAGAACTAGAGAAGCAAGCGGTCAGCAACATTCGTCTCTCGATGGGATGTCTAACTCAGTGTTACAGTGTGTTTGACCCTAACTTAATTTTACACCAGAATATCCCTTTAACTAGGTCCATCAACAGACTAAATGAACACCCAGGCAGCCAGCTTTGTTTTATCAGCCCAGTAATGTGTTTCTATTTCATTGATAAAGTAACTTTTATCTCCATCGGACATCAAATAATTATGAAGAAGAATCATAATATTGTTACTGCATTGCTGATCACTCTCATGATTAAATGTTCATATCCTCATTCATCTAGCATCTAGTAATGTTGAATTACCTCGGTTAACACACTACAGTAATGCAGTTAGTCTGTTTTCCATTTAGAGGGAATGGATTTCAATTGTAAGAGAATAAATGGGAATAGACAAGCTATGGGCAGAGGAAGAAAGAGGAGGGAAAAAAAAGGATTGGTCTGAGAAAGACAAATATTGATGTAATCAAAAACAGGAGGGAGAATGAAGTGTTCGGCAGAGAGCAGGAGAGAAAAATAAAGATGGATAGACACCAGCGGATGGAAAGAGAAAAAAATATGGGTTTAAGAAATTCAAGGATTACAGAGGACTAAAAAAGAACATAGTCTGACCAAAAAGGAAAAAAAAAAGGGGGAAAAAACCCTTTCTTCATTCCCTGACAATAACCCCTCGACCTTAAGTAAATTACAAGCATGGGTACACAGTTCTGCTTTAAAGTACACAAATCTCCAGCTACAACTTCAAATCCCACTCAGCTACTGAACCAAGAACTCAAGTAGCTGACCACTCCACTTTCCCACTGTTCTGTAAAAAACAGGGATGCATTTATTTGGTTTGTTTTAAATAAATTAACCTCTGCCGAAAACTACATGTTTCAACTGTCCATTTGCTGGCTCTACTCTTCCCTTGTCCAAAGGTAGAATAAGTTCTTCTTAACTGAGTCCTTACATTTTAAGTCATTTTACTCACTCCTGAAGAACATGCTTCAGTGCCCTTCAGCAGGATCAAATCTAAAGGCCTCATTGCATCTTGGAAATGCAGGAAGTGTATTCCTCCATTATTCTACTGCAGGTGGTATGGGGCCTCACTGAGGGTGCCAGGACACATGCTGAAACCGACACATACTAAAACACTTGCAAACAGTCTTATAGAAAGCAGGGCCCTGACCAGAGATATTTGACTATTACGGTGCACAGAGTACAAAATAAGGGTTTTAAACAAATCATGCAATGGAATAAATAAAGTACATGTGCACTCCTAGAAGGGACAAATGCATTTGTTTGTATTTTAATAAGAGACTTCTATATTTCCACCTATATTAAAGGGAGGGAGAAAAGACACTCTAATTAGTTTGCTTTATATTACACCCAAAACACACCTTTAAATAACCGAGGGATTTAATCCAACCTCTATGCGTCCTGTGTCTCACTTTGCACCTAGGTTGTGCACTGCTTAAAACCTGCCTGTGAGGTATTGATGACATGTGTGTACTGCTCAGCCAGTCCACAAATTAATCCAGTTGACCAGCTGTGCTCCAATTGCTCTTAAAGCTGACTGAGTTTTCAGCACACTCTCTGTGCCGCCTGCGAACACAATTTACGCCAGCTGAATCTGTAGATATTTCTCCCTAACTGCACTTCCATGCCTATCTTGGCACATCTCTGTGCACCTTGGTTTACCAATTTCCCAAACTGTCTGCGCACAGGACTGCGCTGCACGGTTTTACCACTGTGGGTGGTTTGCCACCCTGCACCAAGCCACCAGAGGGCAAGATTGCACCAACAGACCGGAAGAAAATGTCCTATTTATTAAAGAAGAAGAAGAAGAAGAACTTTATTGATCCCCAAAGGGAAATTCAATTGTCTGTTGTCTCACATAACATATCTGTATAAGTTATCTAGTATTTACATAAGAGTTATAAAGCCTGATGGCTGTTGGTACAAAAGATCTTCTGACTCTTTCTGTCCTTCAGTGAAGAGAGAGGAGCCGTCCACCACCATTTGCCCTTTGGTCCATCAAGGTGTTGTGAAGTGGGTGATCCATGTTCTTAAGAATAGTCTCCACCTTCCTCAGTGTAGATCACTCCACCACATCCTCCACTGAGTCCAGCTTGAGTCCTACCACAGAGCCAGCCTTTTTCACCAGTTTGTTAAGACGTCTTGCATCTTTGTGTTTGATGCTTCCTCCCCAGCAGACTGCAGCATAGAACAGAACACTTGCCACCACAGACTGATGAAACATCTGCAGCATCTTACTACAGATGTCTATTGATCAGAGTCTTCTCAGGCAAAAGAGGCGGCTCTGCCCCTTTCTGTAGATGTAGTCTATATTCTTAGACCAATCCATGTATTTTTATGATGTCAACACTTCAATGTCCACTCCACAGGTGTTCACTGGCTGAAGAGGGGGTTTGGATCTATGGAAGTCTATGACCATCACCTGTGTTGAGGAGGAGGCAGTTTTTGTGACTCCAGTCACTGAAGGCTCTTATTAGATCTCTGTACTCAGCTTCTTGTCCATTTCCAATACATGCCACAATAGCGGTGTCATCTAAATATTTCTGGATGTGTCAGGACTCAGTACTGTATTTGAAGTCTGACGTGTACAGTGTGAACAGGAATGGCTCCAGCACTGTCCCTTGTGGAGCCCCTGTACTGCTCGTTAATGTCCCAGAAACACAGTTCCCCAGCCTGACAAACTGTGGCCTTCCTGTCAGGTAATCTGTGATCAAGGAAACACGGGCAGGATCCACTCCCATCTCTGTGAGCTTGTCTTTGAGTATGGTGGGTTGGATGGTGTTGAATGCACTTGAAAAGTCGAAGAACATGATCCTCACATAAACCCCAGGTTCCACCAGATGAGACAGGGCACGGTGAAGCATGTAGAGGACAGCATCATCCACTCCAATGTGTTCTTTGTATGCAAACTGCAGGGAGTCCAGTTTGTCTTAGACCTTAGGCCTCAGAAGACGTAGATTGTTTTTGTTTTTAGATTATTGTGCTTGTTGGCTGGCTTTTTTCAGTTCAGTTATGGCTCTATGGTAGAGTCTGGAGGTGTGGGCACTGAGCACCCTGTAGTGCCTTTCAGAGGGTAGCAGAGAAAACAGGTGATGACTCGGGTGGCTTGGATCTCTGAGTATGTTGGTGGTAGTGTGAAGGCAGTGTTCTGAAAATGTCTTCCAGTGAGAGCAGACTGAGTCTGATGATCTTTTCTGGTGTTTTTATGACTCGTTGCAGACCTTTCTGGTCAGTTCACATACCAAGCTTTCAAGCAGTATGTCAGAATATTGGATGAAGCAGAGGTAGAAAGCTCTGAGCAGCTCAGCAGACAAGGTTTTTTTTTTTTTTTTTTAGTGTCTGCAGGAAGGATAGCCACTGTTGAGCTGTTCTTACCAGAGTGAAGTTGAATGACCATGTTGGTTCTGAGGAACTTGAAGTTGGTGACCCATTCCGCTTGTTTTCTCTTCATGGTTAGGGAGACATGGTCTTCACAATCAAAAATGATTTCCTTGGTAGTGTTGTGTCATTCATGAACGTCTTATTCAAAAAAAAAAAAAAACTGCTGAGTGAACAACGTGGATGGAATCAGTCCAAGACCTGATTCGTTCTCTTCCCAGTTTAGTTGAGCTCAGCCGCCAGCATGGCATGCCAGTCAGGAGTGGAACTGCCACCTTTGACTCTTTGGCGAATGGCACACAGCCAGTCAGCCAGTCAGCGAGTGAGCGAGCGGGCCGAGTTTCGTGATTTGCTCACAGTGAGTGAACGATATGTATCAGTCAGACTGTGAATTAAACAAACGACTTCTGAGCAACTTGAGGCAGGCGGAGGAGGGAAGGGCATAGCAACGTTTACGAACTGCCAAGCACCAGGTCGTTCACTGTGAGGATGAACGTAGGCTGAGATAAAACAGTGAATTCTAGTGCCTTTACATTAATACACATAAACTGTGTATTAATGTAAATGTAATGTAAACTTTCCTGCAAGAAGGATTTTATTTCAGCCGATGTAAAGCAATATGCTATTTGATATCCCCGCTACAGCTGCGATGTTTATTTATTTTTAATCTCTCCACTTATCCGCGATACAAAAGAATGACTTGTGCTCGTTTAGTGGGCGTGCTGCTTGCTGCTGTGTTGTTTCCGGCGATGGGGGAACACCGAGAGGTGAGTTTTTCAGGGCAGGGGAGTGATTCTTTCCTGGGGTTTTGGCGGATGAATAATTGATATGTGTCACCCAGTGAACAATGCTGTGACTTCAGCAGCAGGGGAGGGGAGGGGCTGGTTTGGTGAACAAACTCCCAATCAGCACGGCTGTGTCACTCACTCGTGTACTGCACCGGCAGGATGGGGCTCCGAAGCATTGACTGATTCAGTGAACAAATCTTTTGAACAAATTGTTTTAATGAATGGATTCGTAAGATTTAGTACAGTCAAAAGAACTGTTCTTCCCATCACTATTCTTTGGTCTTTTTGATGTGTAGTGTACGGTTGCTGTCTGTGCACCTGTCCATCAGCCTGTCTATTTCCTCTCTGTAGTGTGTTTCATAATTGTCCAAAATCAGTCCCACCACTGTTGTATCATTTGTATGCATGTGCTCCATCTAATATCAATTGCATGACAAAGAGCAGGACACCTGTGTGAGTTTGTGCTAATTGACTCTTAATGCCCACTTACATAAAACGGACCAGCATCAGTGACACTCTTTGCATTTATATTGTGTGTGTGTGTGAGTACCCTGGAGGCCATAAAAATCAAACTAGGCCAATTAACCGGTCCAAACACAACCTGCGGCAGAGAGAGACAGAGAATGACAAAATGTGCTGCAGAAATGTCTGCCACTACGTTACCCAGACAAAAGACCTTTAGTCTGTGTTTGATAAGAGCACACAGACATTGACACAAGCCTTTGCATTGACACACAACCAATGTGGCCTTTTGACTAATAAAGTGCCTCATTAAAAGTTTAGGCATTTTATCCAAACTGCGTCACTCTTTCGGAATAATGCAAGATGTTACACTCAGAGTGTCCTGGAGTCTTATCGTTAAGAGCTTACAAAAATGTAACGACCTCTTTGAAAAAATTTGGCATGGATATCCTGATTAGTTTTTTATTTTGTGTGACAGTTGAAGGCTGAATTCTCGGACACATGGATAATGCTAGAATGGACACATTAAGCTATAGCACAAAGTTTAAAGCACAAACATAAAATCATCTTCAGCAATTTTCTATTTTCGCATAACTTCTGCTGATGATCACTTCATGCACATGTGTTAAAGTGTTGCACCCTGTTGTGTAAGCGATCGCTGTTGATTGCTCAACTTTACTGACAGAGTCCAATAATCACAACGCTTGCTCCTGCAATTACCTTTCAGAACATTGAGTGAAGCATTGATTTGTGAGAGCCACTATTGACATTTGTTACACGTGTTGTGTTTACACTATCACACTGTGCAGACTGTCCGTCCCTGAGGGACAAGATACAAGTCTGCATTGTGTTAATCATCAAATATACAGCTCTCTCTTTTTTAGTTATTTCATTATTGGAGAAGCAGTGAAAAACAATACTATCCTACAAAAGCCAACTTTGAGTAAAATTAGTGTTGGTTTAAGTGCATATCATAAATAAAAGATACATTAAAACACTCAAATAACTTCAGAGCAATTACAAATGAAATTTTGCACTACACATGCCATGCCCTGTACCAACTGGTTTAAAACAGAGACAATAATCAAATTAAGAAAAGAAATATCACTGACCATGTAAGTAGAGGATCTTCAAAGCACAAGGTCAGATATGGAAATATGTTGAAGTTTAATTTGTTGATTCATCTATTTGATTAGTTTTCCCCTCCTCCCACAATACTTGGCTGCAGCAGGGCCTTCCACAAGTCTTAATCTGGTGTAATTGGCTGTGGTTTTATAGATTTGTCTTCTAGATTTCTGCTTGTCAGGTGTTTAGACTCAATGCAACCAGCCACAGCTGTCAATGACTGATGCTGCTGTATGTGTCATGTCAGAATCTATACAAAAAAAAAAATTTAAAAAATCATATTGTCACTGTCCGAAGAAAAACATGTATCTCCACTTATGGTGATCTGGACTTTTTTCAATATATGCATTGTCCATAATGTTCCCTAACAGCCTGTAGCTTTGGTTATCCAAATGGCCAATGGAAAGATGTTTTATTTCATCATCTTTTCAACATTTATCTCTATTGGGTGTCAGAAGTGTTGATCAAAGCATGTATCTCCCACCTCTGACCCTGAGTTGTCATGTCTGCAAACAGTCTTAATGTTGTGATTGACTTATTACAGGCCAGGGTTACACTACACGGATGTCCTCACATCAACTGATGCCAACCTAAAACATTTTTTTTACCATGACAGTGTTGTTTACCTGCACAGTAAAAAATGTGTCAATATTTCAGTGTAAACTTATTTTAAACTAGATAGAGTATTTTCAACAATATGAAGAGTAAACCAACTCCAAGAATATAGTTAAAAGTAAGTGTAAAATCCGGCAGACCTGCAATGAAAAGGTTAAGCCTGGTAACACACTAAGGCAGAGGCTAGTTCATCCCAAGGACAAAACACAGCGACATAAACAGAGTGATGTGGTGTATGCTGTCCAGTGCAGCGAGGAATGCTTGGACCTGTACATTGGGGAAACTAAACAACCGCTTCACAAGCGCATGGCTCAACACAGGAGAGCCACTTCTTCAGGTCAGGACTCAGCTGTCCACCTTCACATAAAGGACACAGGTCACTCTTTCGAGGACAGCAATGTACAGGTGTTGGCTCGAGAAGACAGATGGTTTGAAAGAGGAGTTAAAGAAGCCATCTTTACCAGGCTGGAGAAACCTTCTCTGAACAGAGGGGGTGGACTCAGGCACAATCTCTCTGGCACATACAATGCAGTTCTCAGCTCTCTCCCCAGGAAGCTCCACAAACATTCACACCTGGAACCACATGACCCAGGTGTGGCATGAGTCATGTGGGCACACACCCAGAGATGGGTTTCTATGACCCATTCTTTTACAACTCCTCCCAGTCTTTGTCTGTCCCCTTCTCCAGTAAGCTAAATATCTGCTCCTCACACTAGCAATTTTAGAACTGAAGAAGCTTCCTGGATAAGAGGCGAAACGTCTTCTCAACTCGACACAGTCCAGTTGCCTGTTTTTAAGTCTCCCTTTCATTATAACTCTTTGGGGGTCGGACTAAGCATGGGCAGAGCTATGCCTGAGACAGACCCCCATCCTGAGTCTCTCACTGCGGGGCCTCTACAGAACCTCCCAGACCAACCAGACATGCAACACTTCTCATCAACGTCATTATCCATCACAACATTCACGCATCAGACAAGATATACACACTCCTGAAACTGTATTAAATATTCAAACTTATATCGTTGTGGCGTGGTCATTGCTAGTGAATTGATTGTTAATTTTGACACTGAATGGAGTAGAATTAACACTGAAAATGTGACACTGGCCATAGAATTACTTTTACTCTAATGTTGAGTGGGACCAAATATTACCGAAATTGAGTTAAATTTAACTTTGTTGTACACTCTGTTTTTTACTGTATGTACGTTAGATTTCTTGAACAGAAGCTCATCTCCAGAGATAAAGCTGCTGTGGTCTCTCCCCCTCACATGTTTACTATCACTTCACTTTGTTGTGTTTCCACTATCTTTTGATTCCCCCGCTGGCATTAAAGTGAAATCAGAGCCAGAGTTTTATTGACAACTAATTAAGAGAGTCAAATAAGAACTCAAAGCACATTATTCAGTTGTTTTTTGAGTGCATGTGCTTCAGCACCATAAACAGAGCTCTATCTGTTATCCATGCAAACCATCATGGGGGGTTCACAAACACCAGTGCATGTTACAATGGGGGTTCAGGCTCAAAAATGTTTAGAATCACTGTGCTATGTGGAATTGTAGGATAGCCTGCTATCAATAGTTTACTAACATTTAATTTTTTTCAAAATTTTAATATTGAATTTCCCTTTGGGGATTAATAAAGTTCTTCTTATTCTTAACACAGAGGGACATATACAGGATACTCGAGGCTTGTAAAAAACCGAAGCTACCAGGGGCCTCATGTATCAACGCTTGCGGCGCAAGAAAACCTTGCGTACGCCAAAATCGGCGCACACGTCCAGATTTATCATCGCGAAACGAGCGTCGGTTCCAGCGCTAATCAACGCAAAGTCAGGAGGTGGTGTAGAAATTGGCGTTGAGCTGGATATTTGCGTTGACTGTGATTCGCACTTTGGCGACGCTGTGTGGCGGTGTTTGGTGACTCACTATGTGACCAGCGTGCACCACATCCCCGTGGCCGGGCAGCACGTCGCCCCACATGACGAACCAGCAGCAGACGGAGGGATGCGAGCTGATCCCTGCCGGGCCGCCGTCCTCGCGCGGGAGAATCTCATCGCCACAGTGTGAATGGGTAAGAAGTGAATACACAGTTCAATGAGCCAAATTAATTTATTTTCTCCACCAGACGCTCGAGGAAATTTACGAGCCGGTCCAGCCGCTCGTTGATCCCCGCGATCCCCCTGATGATTTCTTCCTGCGATTGCAGGACCCCCTCCGCGAGGACCCTTCCACTGCGTCCGGGTGGTCCAGCGGAAGCGCCGCGGCTGGTGGACGCTCCACCGCTTGTCGGCGCGCTGGTGCTGATGCTGGTGCTGGGGCCGGGGGCCGGGGTGGCCCGAATGCCGCTGGTCCTGGCCGACGACTCCGAGCCGGCGGACGGGCTGCCGCGGGCCAGGGTTCCGCAAGCCGGCGACACGGCCGACACATTAATTTCTGTGACACAATAAAAATATTAGTTCATTTCAATTCCTGCTTCTGTGTATCTGTTGCGTTTACATCTCTCTCCACGGTATCATAGGTAATGTAATCCAGTATTTCGAGGTCAGTTATGCACATTACAGTTGTTTATTGCATAAAAAGTTATCGGAAAATGAAGTTAAGGGCGAAGTATTAATCACGTCTAAAAATAGACTGAATCCCGACGTTGAAATGAAGTATAAACTTAGACTAGACGTCTAATATACGTCTTTTGCTCAGTGGGATGACAAAGCATGTGGACATTTGTGTGACACGCCACTTACCCTATAATAATAATCGCCACCACCCGCTGCTCAAACGGTGTGAGGGTCTCCTCCCCCGGACCCCCACCTGTCTGGCCGGTACTCCTCCGGAGGGCAGCTGTACGCCGCTTGACCTCCACCTTGAGGTCCGACCACTGTTTTTTAATCTCCGCGGGGGTGCGTGTCTCTCGGAACCCACCGCATTCACCCTCTCGCAAACTTTCTCCCACTCCAAGCGTTTTTGTTTTGCACTGACGCCACTGGACAGGCTGCCAAACAAAACACGCTGTCGCTCCTCCACCTCCGCCACCAGCACCTCCACCTCGCACGCCGTAAATGTAGTTTTTCTTGTCATTTTGTCTGCGTGCGAGGACAGGGAGACCCTATTTAAATAAATCTGCATATTTATAGGAGGGCGTAACGAGGACGGGCCCAGTCACTCCGACATCTGCGCTCAATTCCACGCTGATTGGGATTTATCAAGGAAACACACGTGGATTTCGGCGCCCGCACACATTGATACATACGGATTTTTTTCAGCGTGACGGACCTTGCGTGCGCTCGTTTCTGGTATGAGTTCCACGCAAGTGTTGATACATGAGGCCCCAGATCAGCTAGTAGGACCATTATAACCAGAGCCATTACAAAAAATACAGCACATATGTCCACTACCACTCTCACAAAGTACGGAAGTCCATTTAAAATATCATATAAGTCACTAATGATTGTGTCAATGTAGATTTTCATTTCAGGTCCTAATTGTGTCAAAATAAAATAGCTGACCAATACAGTCCCACCATGAAAGATCCTGAAAAAACAATGTACCTCTGTACCTTGAAAAAAAAATGCATGTCAATAATTCAATTTTTTTTTCCATACTGAAGACAATGCAACATCTGTGTTAAGATTACAGTAATTTTTTTCATTATTGTTGTTGTTATTTAATCTGTGTGTGTCACCAGATTCTCACACCTCCACAAAGACTTTTGTTGATATTCAAGCCGTACCTCACACATGTAGGAGAAATAAGGACTGTGACAGTCAGCAGGGCATCAACGCAAAATAAAATAAAATAAAATAAACTAAGCAGAGTAACTTGGACTTCAGCATGTTCCACCTAAATGTAAGTCCAGTGCTCAACAACAGATACTGGCGTGTATCAAATATCATCCACAATCAACTCTTTCAGTTTTCAGGGGTCTTCTGGGCCTAGAGGGCCTAATATAGGGTTTACACCATTTGCAAACTATCCAACTTATTTTTTGTCAGCTTTCTATATAGCAACCAAACAAAGAAATTTAACATGACAGTGGCACATCCTGAACCATCATTTCTATATGTTACAATCAGGTACAAGTAAGTGTTTTATAACATCAGATTTCACTCCTTAGCCATTTTTCAACAATACTCTATCAGAAGAGCAAGCTAAGTTCCATACGTTTTACCTCTCCACTGGTGCCCAGGCACATGCACCACCTGGTTAAATGTTCCGACACAAAGAGTGCTCTCTAGCAGAGTGTATTCAGACGGTTAGACATGGATCTCCATCACCGCCTTCATGCTTTCTCCCGGGTACACGACATCTTTAGCGCCAGGCTGCCTAATCACCATGCAAAGGATCACCCTGCCAATTACAGAGACACAAAGTGACTTTCACGACCCTGTGGGCGCAGCATGTATTCAGCTAAGTAGAAATTATTCACCCTGCATGTATAGTAAGCCCTCATCAGCAGCGCAACCCTTGGCAGTCACACTGCTGGACTGGGAGACTCTCACATAGATGAAATCACCCACTGACCTGCAGGGAAAATGGCACATGTATGCAGTCTGTGTGTCACAAGGGCAAGGGCTCGTGTGTGCACTCATGTGTGTGCTTGTGTTTGTGTGAACAATAATTTGAACTATTATTTCTGCATTCTAAACTTTATCTCTGCATTTCCTACATGCAGATGGCTCTTTTATTTCACCGGTGCCTCGCAGGCTTCAAATCACAATGCCTTCATGAGCACTTAGCCATCAAATGGTCCAGTTGGATTAATATAACTGCAGTCTCATATTAACCCATATCGACACACACACACATGCACACACACACTGTGCAGCAGACTCAAAATTAAGCAGTCACATAGGTGCTGAATGCAGCAAATCAGTGTCCAAGTGCCTGATGTAGATCATATGACCCTTTTCTTCATTGAATCCCACACATGCATTAAACATAAGCCATATGTGCCTCTACACATAATCATGCAAATAATTTGTATATTCCCTCATGCTGTATATTCAAGCTTTCATGGCCTTAATGACTTACCTTCTCTGTTAATCATCTTGGATATAGAGAGGGGACACATCCACCAAAACAATGATAACAGAGGTAAGTGATCATGGCTGGTACCGATGAGGACTGTCTCTGGGCTCATTAGCCATCAGCAGGATGGGAAACGTGAGGTGAAATATTTGATTACAGAATCATCTGAAAACAAATCATTAAATAAATAAACATCCAAAGAGGCAGGAAAACACTACTCTTTTTTGTTTTGTTTTGTTTTCATTTGTGTGCTTACATTCTCTCAAGGCAGACAACTGATTAATTATGAAAATAGGATTTTTGGAATTAATTTTTACAAATCTAGGCAATCCTTTTGCATGACAAAGGACACTACAGCTGCTGTTACCTGGATAATAATAATAATAATTATTATTATTATTATTATTTTCTTTTTTTTTCTTTATGCTTGAACCCAAAGCTGAATAATCAGTAAGTCTCCTTCACTGATTGAAACCCCACAGATTTCTCACTAATCAACTGTTGAAGAGCAGATTCTGATCGGTCATAACCGATTACAGCTGTCATTAACTCTGGATGTTAAGAGCAATACCAAGGACACCCAGATTACACACACTATTGAATCAAACTGTGGAGAGTTTATGATTCTACCTCTGCTTGTAGGTGAAAGGGAAAAGAAGTTAGTCTATGATAACATCACTAAACAACTTGGAGGGAATTCTAATATTACCCTCTGGGGCTGTTGCGATAAGCCACGATAGCTGTCTTTGAAATAAAGTAAGTATTTGCTATTGAACAATAGAGAATAAGCATATCATGCTGATGTGAGTTTAATGTAGTGGTCCTGTACGCCTGTTGCCACATCATAAAATTGAAGAACAATGAATAAGCAGCAGACAGTGTTTAGGTTGAGGGGCTCTGATGATCTCAGCTGGATACAATGGAGACTGATGACCATGGCTGCAAGAACATAGCTAAGGACAAGAATAAAAGGCTGTTTCAGCTTCCATTTTCAGTTCAGGGGGAGTGTCATGCTTTTCCACATCTACAACAAAACTGCAAAGTTAGAAAGTTTGTTGTCCGTCAACGTGTATGCAAAGTTTCAAATCACAATAGGGCCTTCCTTCTTTAAATCAGATTGTTAAGCACAATTATTTAACCGCTCAGAGTAATGTTTTGAAAGACATGGACAAATGGATGCTCCTCCCTATGTCGCTGCAAGCTCGTATCTCTGCGGTTAAAATGGATATTTTACCTAGGATAAATTTTGTGTGTTCTATGCTTCCTTTGTCTCCCCCTGCTGGTTACTGGGCTAAACTACAATCAGCGGTTTCTAAATTCATCTGGAAAGGCAAACGACCGCAGCTTAAAATGACAACCCTACAAAGGAGAAAAGAAGGTGGCAGCCTATCAGTCCCGACTTTAAACTCTATTTTTGTCCTTTGTGTTAAGGCCTCTCCTCATTTGGTTTAATTCAGACATATCATCTTCATGGCGTGCCTTAGAAGGTGCTAAAACAGAGCCATGGTTATTACATGATGTTCTCTTTGCCAACATTTCTGATAAACAGTGTCAATTGCGCTTTGGTCCTATTATCTCCCATCTGATAAACGTCTGGAGAGCGGCTGAAAACTTTTTACACATTTCTTGTATTTGGCATCCACTCTCCCCAATATTCAACAATAAATCACTTCTGATTGGTAAGAGGCCCATTACATCACCTCAGTGGGAACAAAGAGGGATTCATTACTTAAGAAATATCTTCAATGAAGCTGGTTTATTATCTTTCACTGACCTGCAAGGTGCATTTGGTCTACCGCGTTCATCCTTTTTCTTTTATCTTCAGTTAAGATCAGCACTTACAGCTCATGGCGTCCCATGGCAGAGTCCCTTGGATAACCATCCATTGAGAGAATTGTATGCTCCCCAGTCTGGCACCAAGGGCCTGCTGTCTTGCCTTTACCATTACCTAATAACACCCAGTTGCCTGGTCTTCCTGTAGAGACGATCTGGAAGTGTGACTACCCAGATCTGAGCAGCGAATTTGATTGGCATGTTGTCTGGCCGAATGTCAAAGAAACATCACGTAATCCAGACCATCAACAGATCCACTTTAATTTCATCTATAGAACATATCTGCACCACATGAAAATCATTAACAGCCCTTTATGTACCCTCTGCTCAACTCAGGCCCAAGGCACTTACTTTCACATGTTCTGGGACTGTCCTCCTGTCTCCCAATTTTGAAACAACATAGTGTCCCATCTATCCACCCTGGTCAATATCTCTATACCGGTCAATATACCTGTTTTGGTTTTCAATGATCTGTCTACTCTCCATGTCTCCAAAATACTAAAGCGTGTTATCTACGCTGGACTCACAGAAAGAAAAGAAAATGGTGGCAACCTGCTGGAAATCCCCTCACGACCTCTCTACCCGCACCTGCACTCTTTCCTTTCTGGATGTCGTAATCATGGAACTCTCTACAGCTCGTATAAATGGAGCTTCGAAAAGGAAAACTTTGGACTCTTGGCTTGGGATTGCTGAATCCTTGAAACGAATGTTGATTTTGCTCCTCTACCCTGACTTAAAGATGTCTATCACCTGGTTGTTTGTCCGTGTGTTTGTTTGTCTTGTGTGATGTATGTCTACCCCTTCCTATTCCTCCCATGTATGTTTTTCATTATTTGTTCTATGCACATAGGCGTGTTCCGTGCCTTGGGCATTTTGTATCTATGTAATTATATGTGAATTTCTCAAATAAAAATTTTTGATCACAAAAAAAAAGATTCAGAATCAATTATCCCGATTTGATTCAATATCTATCATTTTTGTGATAGGTATCATTGGCTTCAGAGCTTTGCATACATCTGCATCTGCTATGTCTTCCTCTCTCAGGGTGCACAGTTCTTTTTCATTTCCGCAGACTTAGGGTGCGAGCAGAGCAGCAGATATTGCAGGTTGCTGTTCTAAAAAGTGCTATAACATATCTAGTCCGTTGTTCTAATGAGTCACGACATCAAAAGTGAGCTTGTGCTCCTTCGGCTGCAGTAACTGCTGCATTTCTTTGAGGCTGTGGGTGGCTGACGTACTGCAGTGAAAGTACTTTGTGATGTGCCTCACTCTCTCAAGCAGGCGTGCAACATGTGGGAGTTTGAGACCGGCTTGCGATGCAAGGTTTATAATGTGAGCGAAGCAGCCTACATGCGTTAGCCCCATTATCTCAACTGCACGGACCATATTTGCCACGTCGTCGGTCACCATAGCTGAATCCTTGCTTGTCAGCCCCCACTTCTGTATCGCTCTCGTCAACATTGCTGCTAAACTGGCAGAGCGATGGTCAGTTTCAACTTTGGTGGTTTGTAGCACATGAAAGAAGGAGGTTCCACTCATTATCTATGTTATAGTCATGAAAGACACCATAGCCATGGATGTCCATGTGTGGCTGGTAATACCGACCCTTTGAGCCGACTTCAGCTCACCCTTCATGGTTTCTTTATCAGATCCGTACATTTTTGGGATAACTGTTTCAGACAAATGTTTTTGAGACACCATCACGTAGAGTGGTTCTGTCATCTTCATCAGACGCTTAAATCTGACATTTTTAGCCTTTGTTTCCTTTGTTGTGGCCCCGACCTAGACGGCTCATTTATCATATTTGCGTGATGTCTCAACGTGTGGTTGCGGAGATTAGTGGTATTCCCACGGTACTTTACTTCAAGTTGACAAAGCTTGCAAGTTGCTTTGCTTTTGTCAAGCACATTAGTCCCAAGACTGTTTCTAAATCTGAAATGCTGCGATATATCAGAGACTATCTGGCGTTTTTAAAAGGGCTTTGTTATCACTAGTCACCGGAGTCTCTGTCTCTGCCACCATTTTGCATATTTTGCTCTGCACTCATTCGTGCGTCATATGCATGATGATGCGACTTGTAGGGTTAAAGTTCAAAGCAAGATAAGAAATGAAGAATATTGTTAAACATTGAGAAAAAAAATGATATTTGGATGTACGAATTGATATTGGGGAACTGGACAGAGAATCGATCCAGAATTGGTGAACAGATTTTTTAAACTCAGGCTTAAATCACAAGGTCATTGTATTTTGTCACTGTCAAAAGATGTAAACTGTTCAAAACAGGAGCCTGCTTGAAGAGACTCTCTAAATGCCTGCATCGGCATAATAGTCTCTCCCTACTAGCTGATCTGTGCAAAGCTGAACGGCCTGGCTCCAACAGACATTACCCCACTCTGCTGCTCTACTGGTTGAGCACAATAGAGGGGGCAGGGCCAAGTTATCAAGCTCTACCCTTGGCCAGCCAATCAGAAGTAAGTGTGTTCATGGGGAGGCTTAAAGAGACAACAGCTAAAACAATGGTTTCAGACGGAGGCTGAATATTTTCTTTTTATTTGAAAATCATGTGACGATATGAAAGAGAGATCAGACAGGAAGCACAAAGTCTTAAAAAAAAGCATAACCCCCCCATTCTTAAGTAATGTCAATAATGTATGAAGTACATGAAATACATGAAATACATCTTCAACAGAAGGTAATAGTGTTTATAGCAGTGGATTAATGTACATTTTGAGAGTCAAGAAAAGCACTTAGAAATAAAATGTAATATTTTTGTGCGATTTCGTGCTTCAGTTAGGCAGTAAACTATGGAATAGAATAAATTACCACCACACCGCCCATGTTCCTCGTAATGAAGCAACATGTCATCCAGTGCTGCTCAATGCAACATGCTGTTTATTTGGAGCATTTTTTAATAATTACTTTAAAGGTCAAACAGAGAAGAGAAGGTCTTATATGAACAGCTTAATCAGGATGAACAGGCCTCACCTGAAACTTTAACCTGCTGGGTTTGTTGTTCCCCTTAAACCAATGAAAAACAAATTAAATTTTGTAATGGGCTTCAACTGTAACTGGATATTTCATTACCCAGCATGATGGAGGAATTTTGCTAACCTGTTTTTAAGGCTTATTAGTGCCACCTCTAAATAGGGCAATACAATGGTTTAAACAATGTTTGATCAAGAGCAATGATGCCAGTAACAGGCTACTCCAATAAATCCACTTTTGACCTTGAAACAATCATGTATTCACGTGTAATACATGTGCGCACACACATAAAGCAGCCGCAGCAAAACGTACATAAACAACGATGGAGGGAGGAGAGAGATGCGCATTCTCAAGCTGGAAATACAGCCACTATTTCGACTTTGTGTCAGCTAAAGATAACGATATGCAAGTGGTTAAAATGGTTGTCATTTATATGTTGAGGCTGCTGAATGTAACTCAAAAAATAACTTGGTATCTTATTTAGTTACTTTACGGATTACTTCCAGACTTCCTTGTTGTTCCAACACTGTATAGACCTTGTTTACATGTATGTATCAAAGCTGTGCCAAAGGCTATGCCTCAGGTTGCCCCCGTAGCCTTGTACCCTATGAAGCGGCGCAGCCCGGCGTAAGTATCCCCCCTCCCTAACTCAGCTCCTCCCAGCGGTGTAAGTCATAGGGAGGGAGGAGAGGGGGTGTGGAGTGGATTTAACACAGCCAATAACATGTATTGACTGTATTGACCAATAACATGAGCTCCTCTCCTCACCTTTAAATCCACCACCGGCGAGTCGTATTACAATTTTCGTGAAGTAGTCAAAGTGATCAAGAGATGTCTGAAAACAGCAATGCCAGACGATGGCGACAGAAGGCAGCTCCTCAACAAGTGTCACTGTAAACACTGCAGAGGGCGTCCTTCACACTCTCAAATAAGCACAGATGGATTTGGTGTGTGTAATGCTGGACCCACTAGTACAGGGGTGGGCAATCATGTGCCATGGAGGGCCGAGAGGCTGCAGGTTTTCTTTCCAACCCAAAACTCCACCAGGTGATTTCACTGATTAGTCCCTGCTCTCTGCTTGGAGGTAAGGTAATCAGTGAAATCAACTGGTGGAGTTTTGGGTTGGAAAGAAAACCTGCAGCCTCTCAGCCCTCCATGGCACATGATTGCCCACCCCTGCACTAGTAAGACAAACATCCCTTTCCACAAATAAAGACACTCACATAAAGTTGCACATATTCAAACCTCACATGACAAAGGTGGGTTTTGCGCACAGATCACGAAATAAATTCCAAAAATGGCATTAAAATCGGAACCATCTGTGTGTAAAGGACGCATCGCACTCTGTGGCCTGGCTCTTTCTTTCATAGATGTTGGCATATAAAATAAATTTGGCTCACAAAACTGAATACTATAAACACACAAACTGAATATTATAATATTATAAGTAAATAACTTATCTGATCACTGAAACAAATCATCTGTTCAGCCGCCACAGCAAGCAGCTGCAACAGGACGGGAAGAGGACACAGAGGCATGGCCAAGTCTGACTGCGCAAGAAATAAGAGGAAGAGGAAGAAAGAAAAGGAGGGAGACGAATTACATATCTTGTTAACTTTATCATGTGTGTCTATTTACTAGATATTTAATTTAATTCAATAAGGTTTCAGCTGTGTTGATTTGGTCAGGTTGTGTGTCCAAACGAGTGACAAACTCGCTAATCTGATCAGATATAGATCAGAATATATCTATATAGATCTAAATGTATGTGCTGACTCAGATTATTAGTTGTTGATGATTATTTATTGCACTGAAATGTGCCTGACACTGTGGAAACCTGCCGGTGAGGCATCAGTGACATATGCCAATACGGCGGTCTACCAAAATACCACTAGACCAGCTGCGCTCCGCCTGCGCTGAAGGCTAACCAGGTTTGAATCGGCGAGCTTTCAGCGCACTGATTCTGTCGACATCTCCCCCTGCCACGCCACCACGCCCAGCTTGGCAGACCTCAGCACGCCCCAGTCCACGAGAATACCAAACTGGCTGTATGCCGGGCTCTGCCAGATGGAAATACCACTGCGCAGGGTCCGCCACCCTCCGCCGCGTCCCCGGCGGACACAATAATAGAGCCGTATGTCTCCGGATGCTGAGGCTCTTCTCCTGATCTGGCTCATGGCCACTTCTTGATTCATCTTTTACTGCAGGGTGGTATTAAAATGAACACAAATAAGACTGAGGAAATCAATCAAATCAATCAAAAATAATGCCAAGTGACTTTGAACATCTTTCTTTATTCAAACACAACCTCCAGTGACACTGCACACACTGTTCTGGTGCAGTGGTTGTACTTAAGAGCCATGGTCCATCTGAAGCAAGTATTAGGTAGCCTATTAAAATAAATTACAGCTGTGATTGGGTATAGAATAGAATGCTTTATTCTTACATTGACAATACACAAAGTGTGTGCCCTGCTCCATTAAGGTACGTAACCCTGAAAATAAGCCATTATAAAGCCACACACTATGGAGCAAAGAGCCATTGCGCACCACCATCTGTTTACAATACGCATCGATATCATATATTAAACATGGGACTGTGTTTTTGATTTTGATGTGGCACGTTTCTTAGAACCCCATGATTAGAAAGTCAGACTGTAAAATGTAGTGAAATGGGTATTCACTAAATCGACTGCACTTCTCAACAATGTTATCACTCACCAACAAGCTGTAGTGTAAGGTAGAGGAGATCAACATTCAAATTTATGATCATTTTGTCACAATATCTCATAAATGTAGCAAATGCCATTGGCCTTGGGGCAAAGAGTCGATCATCCTGCGCTGGGCTTCAGTTCCTGGTGGGTCGTATACACAGGCTGCTGAAGAAGGAAAAGTATGTTAATTGTGTTGGAGCTAGCGCCCCTGTCTACCTCACTGCTGTGCTTGAGAACCTGACTGCTGAGATCCTAGAACTGGCTGGAAAAGCCACCTGCAACAACGAGAAGACCCATATCACCTGCAGCTGACTGTCCACAATGATGAGGAGCTAAATAAGCTGCTGGGCAGAGTGACCATTGCTCAGGGAGGAGTGTTGCCCAACATCCAGGCTGTGCTGCTGCCCAACAGGTTCTAGAAGAACGCCAAGAAGCAAAGATCCTGATGTAAATGTAGTAAACCAACGGCTCTCATAAAGCACCTTAAAGCCAAGCATTTTGATTCATGTATGACCAGTTACCTTGAGAAGTTTGAGGTCTTTTACCTGAAGCAGAGGGGTTGGCATGGATATAAGAGAGTTACCGTCACCTGAAGGTAGTGTTAGGGGATGGTGGGTGGGCCACACAATTGTGGATTTTGAAATGTATTTCTCTAATAAGGTCTCTGAGAACAGCAGACTCAACAGTTTGAATGTGAAGCATGTCTCCAATAAGACACCTTACAGTCAGTCTGTCCAGAGGGGTCAGTCTCAGTCTTTCTTGAATGCAGATTATGGAGCTGGTGGTGATTTCTAAATCAAGCATTGGCTTTGTTGATGGAGTAGCTCCTCATTGGTCTGCCAAGCTAACTTGAGCTGCTGCGAGGTCAGCAGTGTTTTCAGCACTGGGCTCTCTGGAGTAGAAGCATGTTATTGTTTGCTTAGGTGCTTCAGAGACTAGAATTACTCATCTCTCATGTAACATACATAGACAACAACTTGATGCTATATTTATGTCATTGACCTTGGGAAGAGGAGTCAATGATGTTCCGATATTTCCAAGAAAGACGGCCCCTGCTGAAATTACTATGAGCCATTGTGTGTGTGTTTACTGTAAGTGATAGATGTTCCCTAAAGATGCTCCTGTGCTGTGCTGATGCTCCTGATCTGCTCAAACTGATGGTTCTTATGTAACTGTTGACTACGCGCTATAACATTGTTCAATATTTTAATGATTGTAATGGCTGTATTGACTAGCAAAGTAACTAAATAGAATGTTAGTGACTCAAAGAGTATTGGAGTTACTCACAGAGGTGTGCATAAACTTTTCATAGTCATACTACCTGTTATGATAAACCACCTTAATGTCAATGAGGAAAACAAACTAAACACAGCACAGACCTCACTGATTCAAAACACAAGAATCAATGCCAGGTGTTAGGTTTTTAAGTACATTAAACTCTTGCATTGAGGCATGCAAACACACGCGCGCACACACACACACACACACACACACACACACTCAGAATAAGTGTCAAGTCTTGTTGCAGCAGCACCTCGATGTGCCTCGATTAATGACTCAACACACTGTTAACTTTCTTACACACACCCAGGAAATTATGGCTGTATATACACACACAATACTACACAAACACACAGCAGCAAGTATGAACTGATGCACACATTACAGTGCTGTACAGTATTGTAATAAATGAAGAAATGAAACACAGACAGACATAAAAGCAGATACACACGTACACACACACACACACACACACACAAACACAAACACACACACAAACTGTCTCTGTTTGCCAGGGTTCATTAATTTCACATTATCAGGTGATTAGGAGTTGTGATTAAGAAGCTTGTAGGAGAGAGACGAGACACCGGGATGAACATTGATTCTTCATTTTCTTTTAATGTCACACAGAATTTAATGAGCTTTGACGATATTTAAATTTAATTGTACTATAGAAATAAGAAATCCAATACTAAACCAGTGTGATGGACTGTTTTGTTTCAGAGCACCAAGATTAATGTGTTTGAACAAATTAGGGTTTAAAATTAAACTAAAATTTAGAATTTCCTTATTTCTGTGTGAGGAAATATGATGTTACTACAGCTGCTGTGTGTGAACAAGGCTTCAAGCTATTACTCTCTGCGGGATATTTTCTCTTTAATCCCTGATAATGAACATAAACGGTGCTGCTGCTGCTCACAGGTTCATTGGGCACTGGTAGTTCTTTTCAACAAAGCAAACAGTGAGGTGCTCCTTACACAAGGTTTCCTAGATGGATACATATCTCTTAACATACGCATTTAACTGTAAAGTTAAGAAAAATTCAGCCTTTTCTATAGGACAAATGAAACATTAGAAAAAGATGTGTTCATAGTGCACTGTATCATTTAGGTTCAAAAATAGCCCAGCAACCCACAAGTTAGGACACCATGTAGGCTGTATTGGCTGAGTGAGATCGTGTGGGTTCGTTCCACTTCAGTGGGGCAACATAAACTGTGATTCATAAAATAGCTCTATTGATAGTAAGTACTATAAATAAATATCTACTCATGCCATCATGACGATTTTTAGTAATCAGTGTTTCGGTGTTGAACTATTTCCTTTCTGCGGCTTAGTGATACTTGCACACGCGCAATCGAATATGCAGGTGGTGAAGCGATTTTTGTCATGTGGACCAATAGGAGCCGAGTCTTGTTGCCATAGTATCAGAAATACACAAACATGGTGACGAGCGCATCTAGCAGCGAGACAAGTGAAGAGGAAAAAAAGAAAAGGAAAAAAAGAAAACAGCCTTCAAAAGTGCATAAAAAAGAACAAAACGATGTTATATGCATCTATCATCTGTCCAGAGTGAAGATGTTCTCGACTTTACAAGGACACGTTGGGAAACTTACAGAACTAGTATTACAAAGTGGCTTTCTCTACAGGGTGAGACAAAGGACCTTGCAGAAACTTATAAACATTGCGTTGATATCGACTTTGACAATGTTCCTGATGACGCTGGGTTTCACATGACATGCTACCAGCCATTTATTTGCAAAAGGGGTTTGAGAAACAAGAACGTGATGCAGCCGCGGGTCAGCCAAACCCCTCAGGCAGCATCGCCAATGCATCCACGTCCACAGCATCTGAAACTGTGGTGAGACGCCTCCTCCTCTTGTTTGTTGTTTATTGTTGTTTATTTTGGTTGGACTTCCTGTGTTTCTTTGTTTTCATGGTCTGGCTTGACTCTTTTCCAGAGCTCCCTCCCCTCCCCGGTCGCTGAGGCTGAGTGAGACTCCACACCTGCTCTACATCTGCAATCAAGGCACTTCAAGAAGCCAGCAGCCCTCAGTCTCAGCGCCTGACTATTGTCTTCACTCCCAAGTGGTACAGACGCGTCTCCTGGCCTCCTCTTTGATAAGTGCTTGTAATTTTGCTCCTCGTGATCCATTGTATGTCTCCTAACATCCTTCTCCTCTGTTTTCCCCACAGTGTCTCCAGCCCACACGACAGCCAGCCAGCCTACCGGACTTCCTCTTTTGCCTTTAACCTGAGTTTGGACATTAAAATTACACCTTAAGTTGATATCTGCCTCTGTGTCTGCTTCTGGGTCCTCAAAACACACCACCACGCCACAGAAACTCTGCGAAAGAAACTTCACTCGAGGTCATAGGCTGTATTGGGACAAAGGAAAAAGTTCCCAGAAAGTGAATTTCGTTCAAATACGCTGGTGCTACTTTTTCAATGCATTTTTGCAAAGACAATACCATTCTGGACTTTGGGTTAAAATATCTACTCAGACTATCTGTCAGACTTTTGTCACCAGCCAGAAATGTACATATATGTGAGTAACCCAAAAAACAATGATATGGTGCTGCTGTTTTTGCTTGTAGAAACTGCTATGTTGATTCTGGCAGGACAAAATATTTCTCAAATGTCATGAATACATCTACCTAACATCTAAAACAGTTATTGGTGCCTTAGTATACGCATAAGTGAATTCAGATTATGAAATGTAGCAAATTTCTTGAAGAAAACGTCTCAACTCAAGTGATTTGCACCCAGCACAATGAAATATATACAGTACATTTAGCTAAAAATGACATAACCTACTGTGTAATAAAAGCAATAAAATATAAACAGCACACCATGGCCATAAATGGCTGAAAGTCAATCAAATTGCTACCATGCCCTCCAAAATTTGAATAATGGAAAAAATGTAACAAGACAAAAATAAATGCACAAAAGGTCTGAATTAATTCAAAATATGGTATAAAACATTTATTCAAGTATCACAGCGGTCTACAGGACATATCATGAGAAAAATAAGCTGCTTTACAGCGATAAACATTTGCTATATTCATTTGATTGGTAATTTTCAAAACTCGTTGGTAAATTCATACTTTTTAACACTGTTTTCTTCAGGCAAACAAAGGAGGATGAAGACACCAGCCAGAGTCAAACCAAGGATGTGATAAGGCATGAATCCACCCACCTCATAAATGTTGACATCCTGACACCTGCTGCAAGACAATTTGATTGAAAAGAAAACAAGAGCTGACACAACTTATTTCATGGCAAAGCTTTAATTGTAGCCCAGAGGAGGCTGCTGGGACATGTCTATTTGAAGAGCTTATTGAGTTTGTAAACACAGACTTTAATTAATTCCTCTGTTCAACACAATAACTGCTATTCTATACAGAATCTAAATCCATACTCTAACTCATTGCACACTAGTTTGTAGTCTAAATATCATTTTTCAGTTCACACACCTCACTGAGCATTAACTGTTCCCTTAATGAATCATTCATGCAGTTTAAATGACACGAGTCAAACATCAGAAGTATTAGCAGAGTTTCCGAGGCCTTTCACGAACAATCGTTAATCATTGATGAAGGTAAACAAGAGCAAGAGAGTGGAATGAGCAGCGAAGAGGAAAGAAAAGGAGACGGATGAGTTAAAGTAGCCGTATGAAAGAGCAATCCTTGAAATAAAAAAAGACAAATGTTTTAAAAGATATTGGAACAAACACTTTGCTCTTTCAATGACCTTTTTTGTCAGATCCAACTGAGTAGGTACAAATAGTATCCATAGCAAAAGAGTTCCCTCTATTGCTTTTACCCAGCTTGCCATTCCCAGATTTTCCTGGCAGCCAGAAGTTAGACATAGCACATAATACCAAAAGTAGATTGTCAGTCAGGGCTCTGCTCTCTGTTTTGCTGCTGCTCACCTCAAGTTTTGCTGTCACATGCAGCATCCACCCCACCCCCAACCCCAGTAAAAAAAGTAAGAAAATGACAAATCATTTCAGGACAGACAGAGGGCTCTATTTTCATGTCCGCCAGTGACACGGCGAAGGGTGGCGGACCCCGCGCAGTATTTTTTTTGTCTGGCGGAGCCAGGCATACAGCCACTTTGGTATTTTATATATATTGATATATATATTTTATAAAGAACTGGCTTCATATAATGTATACTAGTGTTACCTTTTTGGCTACCTTGTCCCTAACTGTGGTATGGGACAGCTACTTTGGCTCATATAAGGCTGGTAACTCGCTGTTCCAGCTAACATGACATTTAAAATATGTACCAGGAAATAAAGGAGCAGGGATGGACACAAATATTTACCTAAAAGGCTCTGCGGAGAAACTGAAACAAATTGCATGTTGAAGTGAGTGAATTGCAAAATTAAAATAACGTCGAAGAATGCAACATGGAATTAAGGAAAAATACTTCAAATGCAACATAGATGCATGAGTACAATAGAAGCAGTTGTTTACATGGAATATTTTCCAGCAAAAATTGAAGCAAACGTCACATACTGTTAAGAAACTGACCAGTAGATCAGTGCTGTCCTTTTATTTATTGATAAGGCTTGGCTTGTTGAAGAGAAATTTGATGGGTTTAGATCTTCAGGGTAAAGCAAGAGGCCATTAAACAATGGTTATCAGAAGTTTCAGAAAACAGCAATACCAGTACATTCCTACAGAAAGTATAAGAACATGACTTGCAGAGGAAATTGAAATCTTTTAACATCATCTCTGACTCCAGATTACATGAAGGAGGCACTGAGACCTCTCTTTGATATTCGTCATCTTGTTGACATACAGTGCAGGTTTACTCTCCAACACAACATTTCTACAGGAGGCAGTCAAGAAAGATTAACCATTACCAGGTAAGGGGCAGGTGTTCACAGCCCTTATGCTGTGAGTACCTGCCCTTACCTGCCCACTCTTGTTATGGAGAGTTGATCTTCCTCACTGACTTAGCTGATAACATCATGTGATCTTACTTCAGCAGATATGCTGCTGTTCCTCAGTATACTTGCCACTAAAATCTGCATTTCCTAATAAAGTTCCCCCTGTGTGTTCATACCCAGACTAAAGGGTGAACCATGTCTAACAAAGTGGCGAGGACAGCTGCAGTGTTGAACCTTCGGTCTACATGTGTCCCATTAATAAAAAGAGTTGCTCAAAAGGTCAATTTTAATTTAACACTCAGTGCTGTGTAAAACAGAAGTCAAAGGAGCAGTTATGTCATCCTCTAATCTGCGATGTCACGCCGATGCACGGTGATAATGAACAGAAAACTATGTAAAGTGACTCTGACAGTGTCCAGGTCTATATTCCCTGTCTAATGGTGCATTATTCTGATCCTGAATAGACATGACTGACGGCACATTAACAGTGTTGAGAAATATGTCCATCTTTTATCATTAGGCAGCTTCAAGCTGAGAGACAGCATGACTAATGAGCTACCTGTGATCTGTTATAATTGATCCTCAAGTGACACAGATCCAAAGCCTGAAGAGTAAGTGATCTGGATTTACAGAGGCTGAAAGATTTAAATCAGGGGATTCATGTCAAATATTCTGTTTCAGTATAAAAAGATAAAAATAAAGTCATCTAACCCTCTGAACTGCTCACCCTGACAGAGGACTTGACTGTAACACAAAAAAGAGCTGATTTAAAGTTATCTAGATGAAGTTTGTGTGATCAGATTACTGTTCTAATGCTGAAATTAGAGGGAACACATGCCGGGGAGGACAAAAGGGATCAAGAGAAGGGAGATTTTAATGCCCAGGGTTAAGTCTTCTTGTCTATAAAGGACTACAAAGGTGGTCGATGTGCATGCTGTGCAAAGACAAGAGTAAATAAAGGGGCAAGAGCATCATGCAGAAGGTGAAAAACTGGAGTTACTCCTGGAAATAGCAGATCAAATTCAATACTTGCTCTCTTAAAATAATCAAGAAACTTGATTACTACTCTTTATTCATTGTACCAGTTTCAGTATTTAATGAACCACTGAAGCAGTTTATAAAGGGTCAATCAATCTATAAGGCAGCCAACTGGTAAATGGTAAATGGAGCCCATTTTACCCAGAGTGGTATACATGAACAAGAAGAGTAAGAACACACATATTATTTCCCTGCTTGGAGCTGCCTCTTTTAAATACACCCACAGTGCTGTGAAAAAGTATTTGCCCCCTTACAGATTACCTCTATTTTTTGCACATTTTCCAGACTTAAAAGTTCCAGATCATCAAACAAATTCTAATATCAAACTAAGATAACCCAAGTAAATACAAAATGCGTTTTTTAAATGATTTTTCATTTATTAATTGAAAATGCCATCCAAATCAGCCTGGCCCTGTGTGAAAAAGTATATGCCCCCCTTGTCAAATTGTGAGTGAACTGTGATTAACCACATTTTTTGAAAAGCTGAGTTCAATTTCACTAGCCACACCCACGCCCAATTACTACCAGACTTGTAAAATCAAGAAATCACTTGAATAGAACCTGTCTGACAACATGAAGATGGAACAGCAACACATCATGCCGCAATCTAAGGAAATCAGTGAGCAGATGAGAAAGACAATCATTGACATCCATCAGTCTGGAAAGGGTTACAAAGCCATTTCTAAGGCTCTGGGACTCCAACGAACCACTGTGAGAGCCATTATCCACAAATGGAGAAAGCATGAAACAGTGGTGAACCTTCCCAGGAGTGGGCAACCAACCAAAATTACTACAAGAGCCCATCAATGACTCATCCAGGAGGTCACAAAAGATCCTAGAACAACATCTAAAGAACTGCAGGCCTCACTTGCCTCAGTTAAGGTTCGACCACAAGAAAGAGACTGGGCAAAAGTGACAACTATGGCAGAGTTCCAAGGTGAAAACCACTACTGTCCAAAAAGAACATAAAGGCTCGTCTCACATCTTCCAAAAAACACCTGGATGATCCCCAAGACTTCTGGGAAAATATTCTGTGGACTGATGAGACAAAAGTGGAACTTTTTGGAAGGTGTGTGTCTCGTTACATCTGGTGAAAAACTAACAAAGCATTTGATAAAAAGAATGTCATACCAACAGTCAAACACGGTGGTGGTAGTGTGATGGTCTGGGGCTGCTTTGCTGCTTCGGGGCCTCGACGACTTGCAATAATCGATGGAACCATGAATTCTGCTCTCTATCAAAGAGTCCTGAAGGAGAATGTCCGGCCATCAGTTCGTGACCTTAAACTCAAGCA